CATCATCGGCCACCTCCAGTAATAAGTCTAAATCTTCATTTATACCCTCGAACAAAGCCTTTACTGTGTGCTCAACTCAACTCTGTGACTGTATGCGTCTTTAATCTCGACAGTCTCAGACTATCATGTACACGCAGGGCTCCAGAAGATGTAGGCTATACGGTATAGAATAAGAGAGAGAACTAATGATATTGGTGGAAGACGATACCTTGGCAGTCCTTGATAGCACTGTCGATGGCCTCAGCGGAAAGGATAGATGAGAGCGACATTTTATTCCTGCATGTAGGGAGACAAGCGTGGTGAATTATTAACACAGTTATCCAGGAACAGGAGCAAACTCGCGCACTTGTCACTGATAGATAGCTAAAAAGGTGTGCAGGTAACGATGCTGCTCAAATAAGTCCTACATTTTCATAAAGATGTAAAGAAAGTCAGCGTGGAAATACTGTTAAAAACACTCCACTGTCTCTTACGCACAGCTTAAACGTTGCAGAAGCTTCTTTGGCAAAAAAAAAGAACGCGCAGAGCTCTCCCCCATTACGCACGCAATTATTTCACCTTTAATCAAACTAGGACGACCTTAAAGTGCTCTGAGTAAAAGCGCAGAGGAGCCAGAGAATCTGCAAAAACTTTAAAACAGCAAAAATAAGAAAGCAGCAACTTTCCTTTCAAACAGCAAACCTCCCAAGAATCCACTCGGCAACTTACCGTGTTGTGGGGGGGTTCTCGTCCGGTTGGTGATCCAGCAGAAAGGTAAGGCTGTGTGTGGTGACTGCTTGTCTGTCAAGGCGGATTTATATAGGTCTGATTGCAGTGACAATGGGGATTGCTTGAGTTACCTGTCTGTGGATCAAGTTCTAACTGCCCGCCCCTGATCCAATTTCTCTGCTAACTAATTAACCTTCACTGTTTATAACGCCCGCCCCATACATTCCACCGTGGACATCTGTAACGTCCTTGTAAATAGCAAATTAAGTTAATAAGCGCATTCTTTTCCCCCCACACACCACTCCCTCCTGTCACCCCTCCCTCCCTCCCTCCCTCCTCCTCTCACCTCTAGAATTATACAGTACAGTAAATGCAGGGAGACTCTAATGTAACTGCAATCTCTCTCTCTCTCCTGTTTCTCCCTCCCTTGCTGTTTCTTTTTCTCTTTCCTCCCCCCCCTCCTCCTCCCACCCTTTCATGCAGATATCCTTTTACAGGCAGCAGTCCCAAAACGAGCACATCTGAGCCACATCCTACTTCAAATATGCCCCTATCATTAGAGGTGAGTGATATAGAAATATAAGGTCACCTTTCATGTGCGTATTTTTTGGCATTCTGCTGCGCTTCACCTGTCCAAATCTGGACCCATCCCCCTGCTCTGACCTCAACAGATGTGGGCTGAGATTATAACCAACCAAATCATCTGTAATATAATCCTTAAACTCGCATCACTCAATGTCAGGGACGCCGGTGCTCCTGAACCTCCCCACCCTCTGACATGGGAACAGTCTCGCCAAATTGCTTTGTCAACTCTGCTGATTAAGGGACACGAGGTCACCCTCCGCTGAAGGCGTCCCCGTCCCGCCATGATGATGATGGTGATGATGGTGCATAATGTGCAGTGTCCCAGGTACTTACGTTCATCATTTAGAGAGAGGTCAGACATCTGACATTTTATGAGCTTCATTTCGACATGGAGTTCAGTATTTTTTTTTTTGGTCACTAAGTTGCAGCCAGTTTGCCCAATTTGTGCACTTGCAAAATGACCAGTTCAGGTTGTCTTTTCGGAGGGCATCTGTGGCCCCCGGCGGGTGTGACACACAAACACATTCAGGGGTCATTAAGCAGAGTCCTGGGAGAGTGGTCACTGCAGCACGCTCAGAGAAAGAAGGTTGTTTCTCTCGATGATGTAGGTTGAATGAAAGTGTTTATATGCGGGATAGAGCAGCATCTTTTATGAGGAGGAGAGGGCTGGAAATGGTTCGTCTGTTAGCATAGACATTGTTTCCAACCAATGCACACTATAATCAACCTGCAATAAATTGCACGAGCTGAATTAAAACCAGTCCGTGCGCTAAGGTCACCAGTGCTGACCCTTTACATCATTCATGCTTCCGCCTCTACTTAGTGTCACCTCCCGAAGTGTTTCCAAAATATCTGCAACCTGAAACTCAGGGGATATCCTTGGTTGCAACCAGAGGCAGGGGCACAGCATCCCCTACCCCCCCCCCCCCCCCCCCCCCCCCTCGGACAGTCACCCAGCCTCCTGGCATCAGGAGTCAGGCACTCCTCGCGTCAGCTGGCCAGCGTGAAGTGCAGGTGATGCTGGCCTGGTGCTAAACTATCCTCTTAAACATTATTTAAAGGCCAAATTCCAAAACTTTTCTTCTGTAGGCTACTCTTTAAACAGTTCCCGAGTATTTGTACTGTGCTTTAGTGTTCTTTTAGGGATAACATTATTTCTTACCCCCCAACATTTGAACGCAAATATGTCTTCTATACGGTTTGGTTGTTGCATGCACAGGTTTACCGAAAGCAGTTTGGTGCAACGTGATCTTAGGTGGGGGTTTCACGGTGCAGCAGGAGATTACCCTGGACATTAGAACAAAGTTATTGTTCTTTCTTGTCGTTTGCCTTCATTAAATTGCTCTTAGATGTATTTTTAGTTGGATACATTGAGTTTAAGTTTAATCTAAATGTGACGTAATGTTCAGTAATATTTGCACTGAAACGTCAGGTGGAAATTTCCATCAGAGGGCTTTACTTTTTGCATTTGGTTTTAACTAACGAAAATTACAGTACAATTCCAATACAGTAATTGTGCTGTATTTATATATCTTGTGCTTTTTCATGATGATGTAGGTCTGAAATAAAGAATATATATTTCATGTAAAGTGAGAAATGATGTGTTTACTTTTTGCCACCTGTAGAAGTCACATCTCGTTCCATCTTATTTGATCATTTGCTGGTGAAAAGATTAAAGAGCCTTGATTATGTTAAGTAACCTGAACAGATGACCTCTCCGCGCAGTCAACGCACGACAGCCTTTTGTTTAATTCTCTGGCGGCACCGTGGCGTCTTTCACTATTGAATAAAAGCTTGTATCTCCGGTGGTTTGTCACTGTCAACCTTTCCTAATTCTTAAACCGGTGCCAACTTGTTAATGGATAGATAGTCAGATAGTGTTCTGCTGCGAGTGAGAGAGAAACTCAATCAGCTTCTCCAAACTGGGCGTGAAAAGTAGGAGGACACCGGATTTTGTTTTAACTACAAACCCCTCTGCATGATGTCATGCGCCATGTTGATACCTCGCAGACTATACTGTTACTGCGCTGATCATTTATTCATTGCTTAGGTTCTTTACGAGGCTCACTGCTGGACATATAGACGAGCTGCTCTCTAAGAAGTCACTCTATTCTTTTCAGTGTTCGTTTCAGAAACAAGAAGTGATTAAATGGAGAGTGTCTGTTTCTATCTTTGTTACTCTATATATGCTTGAATGTGTTCATCTCTAACACACAACCTTTAGATCATTTAATTAGAAAATATTTCCCAAAGTAGTCATCAGTTTAGAAACAATAAGGAGAAGCGGAAATGGAGATCACAAGATTTTAACTACATATTAAAACATACTGATATATATATATATATATATATATATATATATGTTGAAGAAAATGTGCGCAAAATATCTCATTTATTATTCCTCGTTACCCTATATGGAGTCCGTTGTTAGTTTCCCACTGACACTACTAAACTAGGTCTTCATAACCAAAAGACTGGCTCTTCAGTTTGGATGTTTGAGGTGTTACTCCAAACCAGTAGCGGTTCTACGACTTTTACAGAGGGGGCCAACCGGGGGCCAGTTGTTTTGTCAGAGGGGAACAATAAACCCAGGTGAAAAATAGACAAAGATGATTGCTTTAAAAAAGATATATATATTGTGCCAAATGATAGAGCACATCATTAAATACCACACCATAAAATATCATGTGTCAGTAACAATATTTAATACTAGATTGTGAGTCCGGTTGTTGAGTCAAATACTGTGTATGTGTTATTAGGGGGGCTCTTCGTTTTGGAGGGGGTGGCCACAGGGGGGACCAAGCTCAGTGTTACAGGGGCACTGGCCCCTGTTGGCCCCTGCTTAGAACCACCCATGCTCCAAGCAGGTGGAGGTCGTTTTTATAGTCAGTTGAAGACTTCGATAACGTGTCCCAACTCCTGCTGTTCATGGTCATAACTCCATCTAGTGGCAGAAGAGGGGAACTGCAGAGAGGGAAGCCACAACAAACTGTACTTTTACCATATCCATTATTTCATTATTTCATTATGCCTATAGATGTGTAGTTATGGGACACTAAGACACATTTTAGGTCATTTTGAGTAATTTTAAACTGTAGTTGTTTTTTTTTCTCCATAATAATGTTCTTGTTTTTATTTATCTATTTACACATCTTTACACTTCCCTAATCAGAGGCTGGACTCAATTTAGAATCACTTTTCGGCCTGTGTTCACCAGGCTTCTGGTAGATTTCAATGTTGCATTTATTGTTTCAGTACCTTCAGTTGTGTGTAAACTATTTTTTCTTTCCATAGAAATCTGCAAGTAAAAACTCTTGCACACCCTCACTTTCAATGGACTGACTTGCCAATATGCTCATAAGTTAGACAGCGTACAATAGATTGCATGTAATTTTCTAAGTTCATTTTAATTGCTACTCTGGACATACATCTTCTTTTTTAGTCCCCGAAGAATTAGCTAAGGAGATTAAGCCTATGTTTCCCAATTGTGTTGATTACAAGTGCTATGGACATTTTACACTGAGAACAATGGGATGTAGGTGTGTGCGTGTGTGTATTTTAATTGTGTCTTATTTATTTTATTTTATTTTTATTGGATCCTGATGAGAAACCCTCTCTCATTTTGTTTGCACTTCTGTAATGACCAAAAAGCTTTGAAGTGAATTGAATGACGGAGAAAACAACAAAACAGAACAGAAAGCCCATAAGACCGTTGTAAAAGAAGATTTATTCTTTTTTACCGTTCGTACCTGGAAAGTGCATCATAAATTTTACAGTAAGCAAAATTCATTTTTAAGACATGAACACAACCGAGCGACATTCACAACCATCATTTTTGGACAGTGAGTTGCATAGGAGGAAACGTCTCTTAAGCAAATGTATAAAAATTATTTAGCCTATATTCGGATGAAAAGGGGGGAGGTTGAAGTGGGCTTTGTTGTTCCATCAGAGCAGGTGTGGTTGGTCAGGTGACATTTATCCCTTAACCACGGCTGAAAACTCTGCGTGGAGACATGAGAGGGAGACAAAAGGTTAGAGAACACAGTAACCATGCTGTTTGCGTGAAAAGCTCGCCATCATTGACCCACCATCAACGCCGATCTTGCCGTCACCGTCGGAGTCACCGGCCTTGAGGAAAATCTTGGTCTCGTCGTCGGTCAGTGCGCGTGCATCTGCCTTGAAGTTCTGCAGGAACAGCCTGTGATTGGACAGAGGTGGTGGTTAGTTCAGGGACCCGAAAAAATACTTTTGGGTAAAGAAAATGTTGAATGGACTGACATCATTTGGACATTTGCGTAATATTCACTGTGAACCTGGATGTCTCTGGTAAGACTTTCAATTTTTAAAAAAATCAACATATTACCCTTAACTTAATTAAATGAAAAGAGTAAGTTCAACTTGTAGATCATTTTGTTCCAATAAAAGCAGCCTATAGCGTCTTTGAAGTCGCGCATGCGCCTTAGGACTATTAAAGATGGCTAGTTTGGACCTTAGGACGTTTATGTAAAATGTAGCATGTGCCATCTGCACAAAGATAAAGTTAATGTTTAACTGCGATTACAATGATTGAATTAATAAAATGGATAAAAGTTAAAAGTTGTCATTAATAAATTATTAAAATTTATAAATTTGGTCCGAATGAGAAACGATAATTGGATGTAGCAGGCTGAAGGTCTAAGCCTGCATGGCTCTGTCCAAACGTGTGCAGTGTGTCCTCACAGCACAACACATCTGAAGTATCTGTTACATGCCCTGGTGAAAGGGCATAAATCTCAACTATTCAATGCACTCACTTCAGCTCATCCTCCTCAATGAACCCACTCTTGTCCTGGTCGATGATCGCGAAGGCCTTCTTCAGTTCATCTCCGGTCTTAGCGGCCAGTCCGCATGCCTTGAAGAACTTACTGTGGTTGAAAGTGCCAGCGTCTGAAATGAACGTCAAGTTGCTGTTAAAATAACACGCACAGAGGTGAATCTAGGATCGAAACAAAAGCAGCCTCAAGGGGGCTGAGAGGTGGAGAGTCACCTTTGCACCCAGCCAGGGCTGCAGTGACATCAGCATCAGCCAGTACACCTGCGAAGGCCATTGTGATCTGCAGGAATAAGATACAATCATCTGTTACTGCCTGAATGTATGAACAGATAATCACATTGTGTTAAAGTTCACTGCCTATTCAAATATGTTTTACCAGTCATGAGAAATACTACACTGATTTAAACATAAAGCCCCAATCCATCTTCTGCAGAACAGTTCATTTTAAACTTATTAATGTAGTTTAAAATGCTATAGGAGTTCCAAAAGCAAAAAAAAAAGTACAGTCTGGATTAGAATAAAATCATTCGATATTACAAAAAGAAAAAAAGATTCAATCCCCATTTCTCTGTGTGGCTCATTCGATGTTGCATCTCCAAATCCCACAAAACAGGCTCGGATTGACTTTTATAATTCAATCCTACAGATGAGCTCTGAGCAGTAATCCACGTCTTCATGCAGCAGGATGAAAACCGAAGTCCACTTTACATCTGTTTTAAAAATCACAGTTTTCTCAAAGATGCCAATAATGGAGATGCTGCGTCTCGGATCTGTCCTTCCCCGTGCGCACTCACCTGTGCTGTTTTTGCTTTGTAGTCTACAGATGATACAGACAAGACTCCGAGTCGACTGCAGTGATCTTCCCGGTGCTCCCGGTGACCTTTTATAGTTTCACTCTATGGAAATCTGAGACACAAGAGAACTGACACCGCCTGGAAGGGGGGGTGGCGAAAATCCTGTGGCCGAAGAGCGGTCTATTTTGAGTTTCACAAACGAAGACGCTTAAAAGGTGCGTTTGAAGAAGTCTTCAATATGCCCCAATGCTAAGAATAGGCCTGTGCATTGCTGAGGAGGACGAATTGGAAGTGCTGCTGGCACCACACTGCTGTATTCAGGAGGGTGGGTACGGAGCATGCATGCGCTGGAGCTGGCGTAAGTGGCGCTAATTGGTTCTTTTTCCTCTTTTCATGTGTTTGGACCATTGTATTCATGAATTTAACTTGAATGTACCTTTAGAAAGACAGTCAGAATCTTTAAAAGTAACCCTTTTGCTTTTAAAAACTGATTTACACCACTGATTTAATGATTTATATAAGTAAATTTTTTAGTGTTTTGTCAGATTTAGCCAGTATCTTGGACTTTACAGCACATTAGAGCTATAGTGCAAATTATAATCCCGTTTTATAATCATCCAAACTAATCAGAGAAGACTAAATTATTTCTGGAAAAGCTTCTCATGAGTTGCTGTTTGCACAAACCCCTTTTCTTTACAATTCCATTTATAATTACTATCATTGGAAGGGATTAAGAAGGCTTTTTTTGTTTGTTGTTTTTTTGTTTGTTGTTTTTTTTTTTTTGTTAACCCCAAAAGAAAAGTCAAATAAAAGTAAGGAGATTCTGGATCTCTTATAATGCTGTTATCAGTTTGACCTGCAGGGGGCAGCCCTGTCTTGTAGGGAGAAGGTTAGAAGAACTTCTCTGTTTGGTCTGCTGGTTGTTGGTAACGAGCTCGGAGTGTTATCTGATAGGGTTGAGGGTTTACATATTGCTGACTTGCAGTTTGCTGAGCATTCTCGAGATCCCATCCTCAACTTGTAATCTGATTTAAGTATGACTGAGGCTGATGGATCATTTAAATGCATTTATGTGCCAACAAATTGTGGCACATTCCAAATACTAAAAGAAGACTGAGAGAAAACATTGATGGTATTTCTTTCTAGCCCCTCAGACTACTGAAAATCTGCATCTCTGCACCAGATTCAAGCTGCTCAAAGTTCCTGCTGATGCAACAGTGGCTGTTAATAGCTCTCCTGTTGCCACAGCACATCATCTAATTGACTACACAGCAGTTGAGACCTTGGAGCAGAGCAGCTTTTTTTTTCCCTTATGTGTGACAGCTATCCATTTCAAGCCTTCCCCGAGCCCTGGAAGTGTGCTAGCAAAGCTTGGGGCCATTCCCGCTGGCCTTAGTCCAGCTGAATCCCCCTCCCCCCTCCTCCCCCCTCTTATTAACCATTTCTCTAAACAAGTGTAGAGCATCCTTCTAGTATTTAAAAACCCTGGAAGGTTCCTAGAGCTATATGTCAACACATTGAGTTGCAAAAATACAGCAAAATAGAAAAGACGAGGGACCTGAAGGATTTGATTTACACCAAAAGAGTATTTATTCCTGGTTTTTCACTCTTCCTCAAAAGTGCAGACGGTGTTTTACAGTTTGCACAAGTCATTTTTCAGAACATTTAACACACCTGTAATATATTAACAGTAAAATGTGTGTTCCATGCTGAGAAATAATCCGCAGGCAACTCATAAATAAGTAATAAAAAATATTCTTTCAGCTTGATGAATACTGAATCTTGCAAGGAGTTTCGTAGTTCCATGAAATGAAGTGGATCTTGGTCAATGGAAATTTATGCCTTAACAAGGGCAGCGAACTCTGTGAAAGTAGAATGAAACTGCCATTAGTAGGGAGCAAAATATGGTTGAGATTCTTATATGCGATCGTGTCTAATTGGACCCGTATTCTGACCGAGACTTGTGGGAAAGTGAATGGGTGTTTTAAAGTTGTCCCACAAATTCATAATGTGGACAATGTGGATATGTGATTCTCACCATCAACACCAATCTTGCCATCACCGTCACTGTCTCCAGCGGCGAGGAAAGCTGCTGTCTCCTTGTCGGTCAGAGCTCTGGCACCAGCAGAGAAGTTCTGCAGGAACAGCCTGACAGGTGGGACGAGAGCGGCATGAGTCAAATATATGAACATCTCACACTTAATTGAATGGTATGTTGTAAATCCCCATGCAGAATGGAAAGCATTTAAAGCATTCAAGAGATGATTTAGCGTGTCCGAAGTCAAGTCTTTAGGGAGCTAAATGTTTAAAAACCTTCAGGCTTCATTAAATGTGATCTTTCTTTGGTTTATTTAGTGCATTAAGTGTGAAGTCTGAGTGCAGCATTCAAGACCGAGCTCAGACTAAATGTTTAAATAAGAATAAAAATCAGCTGTTGTCTCTGTTAGAGCTAAAAAAAAAAACCCAGTGCAGGATCATTGGATCTGGTGCATATTTTGGGCTTCCTTTGCTTAAGTGTGCATTCCTCAAGTGTCTTACTTCAGCTCTTCCTCCTCAATGAAGCCGCTGTTGTCCTGGTCGATGATGGCGAAGGCCTTCTTGACCTCATCTGAGGACTTGCCGGCCATGCCGCATGCCTTGAAGAAAGTCTTGTAGTCGAAGGAGTCAGCAGCTGAAACACACATTTTAACACAGTTAGCACCCAGGGGGGGGCTGCGTGATCACAACACAGGGACTAATGAGTGTTGATGTGAGATGATGATTGTTGCTGTAGGTTTAGGTTACATATTTAGAGAGAGAGAGAGAGGTTCTGTGATCTCAGACACTTTGGAGGTGTTTTGAGCCAAATGTGTGTTTTTGCAGAATTTGAAATAATGAGTATTAAAAAAAAAAAAAAGGTGCAACGCATTAACTTTATGAATGTTGCACACTAAGTGAAGATGTTGAAGCTCACCTGCGCAGCCGTCCAGAGCGGCTTTGACTTCAGCAGCATTGAGTACACCGGCGATGGCCATTTTTTATTTCTGAGGGGAGAGAAAGAGGAAGACAGTTTAGAAAAAAACATCACAAATCAAAAACAATAGTAGTCAAATGTTGAAATGCAGAGTCGTCAAAGAAAACCATTTGAATGACTGATGTTTTAAGCATCTGAGAGGTGGAACTAAGATGCAGCAAGAGTTTGATGTGCTTCTTTTAAAGTGAGTTCTCCTCCATGTTTTTAAATTCTAATGTGTTAAACAGCATCTTTAGGTCTGAAGACTTAAGTTAAGCATCACATATTAACTTGATTGTATTAAATAGAGCCTCTATTGCTCAATTAAATAATGCAAGTTAAGGCACTGGTAAGCATCTTTAAATGTTTCACTATCAGCCTTTTAAAGCCCTCTGGTCTGCTTAGATCATTTGTAGGTTTTTAGATTGTACTAGTTAGTTGCTTCTTGTTTCGTGTGGGCTAAAGAGCTTCTCTTTGCCAGCGGATGCCTGATCACACACAGGTCTGACTCTGTATCCAAACGCTGCTCTGGCACTACATAGATGATGCTCCCACTGAGAGGCCAAATCAAGGCAGCAATGAATCACTGCCACCCAAACGTGCTGCAGTGATGTCAAACGCGTCGATAGCGTTGGCTGTGGTTTTTTCTTTGGCTCATCCGGATCATGTAAAATAGATGCATTTTATCATCCATAGATCCTTTGCAAATCAAGCGGCCACATTTTGGTCTCCCCTTTGGCTCTCATCGTCCTGAGGTCCGAGTTGTTTGCTATGTTGGTTCCAATTCTCTCTCTACAGTTATAGTCCACGAGGATCTCCTGATCTGAGTCCCTTTTTTCCTCCCTTGTTTTGCAAAGTGCCAGAAGCCAGTGCGGTCTTTGCGGGGCGCACTCTCCACTCACCTTTGAGCTGCGTTGAGGTTGAGGCGAGTGAAAACCAAGGCGGACTCGAGTGAATGCCCTAAGCAAGCTTTCCCTCTCGCTTATATATCCTCGAGCAACACCATTTACAGAGCTTTGAGTCTCAGTATCAGATACCAAGATGCATGGGTTTCGAAAAAATGTGTCTACTAGCCTCGACCTATTTTTAGGTGAACAAATGAGGATGCTACCATGTGTGAGGAGGCCTATAGCTAGACGTGTGGAAACCCGAGCGGGCCCCACTTGCTCTCTGACTTCACTGCACTCAAAAGATTTACGGCCAACATTTAAGATGCTGATTCTGATGTCGCGAGTTTCATCCGAGAATATCAACGAAATGAATGGAAATGTGCGGGAGTGAATACACTGCAGCAACATGGTTCATGCTCCCTGTTGTGGTTTGTGAGAAACACTCCGAGCTCCGAGGGCTAAATTTAACTCCTCTTCACTTTCGCTGAATATTTAATTTACGGCCTTGCGCGTAATTGATCACTCTGTAAGGCAATAGCATATTAAACCACTTAAAAGTTGTAAATATAGTATTAAGATCTGCTCGGTTACTGTATTGAGAAACACTCAAGCTTTAATGCTTATCACTTTATTATTGTAATAAGAAAAGAGACGCATTCCTCTGTGATAACTTGATTGTTGGGAATTGGTGTGTTTTAGATAAAATGTTCCAGTTCATTCACACTGAACCTGCAGAGCTTCTTTCCAACTTAACAGAGCTTCACTTAATATGTGATCTTAAATATTACCAGCAGGTACTTTGCCTGAATTGCCTCCAAACGGCTGTACATGAGTTAATTAACACAATTGCCTCGTTGTGTGTCATGTGTCATATGTGTTATTAAGAGTTGACGATGCATTATTGGAGGCCAATTTATTTATTTTTTTTGCATCTGCAGGAATGTGGTTGCCCCAATCGCCCTGAGATGTTCTCAGATGGTAGATATTTGCAGCTTCTGCCGCTCTGCAGTCTTGCGACATTAGCTGTATACCTCAACCATAGGTTACTCCATAAGGCTGATCCGAACTCAGAGTCGACTTTCAGACGAACCCAGCGACCTAACAGGGACCAGACTTTTGGGACCTGCACCTCCCGTCGGATCACAGTCCTCAGTATGAAATGTACCAATCATTTGGACATTTTTTTTTCTGCGTGAACAAGTTTGCAAAATGTTGACAGCTCGTTCCTCTCTGACGCGCTCACATGGCGCAAAACGCAGCGCGTCTCTCTCACTGAATGGTAACATCATGAACTCTCACATCTTTTGAGGACTTTTCTGTATGTTGTAAAGCCTCGTTGGATTGTTTGTTGGTGGGGTGTCACCTCAGATTGTCAATATTATGGACACTTAAGCCAATGCAATGACCATATAAACCCTTATCAGTCATTCTCTTGGTTTTGTTTTAACCACGTGTACGGGATGTCTTTGGAATGGTTGAAATCTCTTGCTTGTGCAGAAATTTGGAAACTGTCCAGTAGAAGGCAGTACAAGTCATAATTAAGAAAAATGAAGAGAGTCTTTGGAAGAACTCAAGTTCTCTTTCACTTGAGAGGGGTTGTCCAAACAGTATAAATGTTTAAGTATATGTTAGTGTGAATGGTTTGTCATTCTCTCATCAACTCTGAGTGTACATTGTGGCGTATAACCTCACAGGGTATAGGACAGACTTAAGGTTATAAGTTTCTCTTTAGAAGTAAATCAGAATATGAATTTTATCAGCGTCAAAATAATGTGAGGAAATAACTCTTTTCTGGGGTTAAAATGCTACCAGAGCCCTTAATGTCTATTTCTATAAAGTAAGGTCAATACTCAGCATGATTGAATATTGAACATCTGTTTCATGATTTATTTATTTCTAATGATTTCCTGCAAGAATGTGTGTATATGTCTCTTAAAACCCCTCTGCCCTTACTCTCTAACATTTCTTATAAATGTTTTCAGGGTACATGCAGCTCAATGGATTAAGTGAATTTAAACCCCTGATTATAACAGATGTCCCTCCATTAGTTTAATAAGCGGAGGTGTTTACCCTGCCATGTAAAAAAAAAAAAAAAAAAAAAGAACCAGCACACCGTGAAATCACATGTTCACTCAATTTTAATAATTCAATCCAGGTACCTGATTGATTCAACACACAAGTACTATCCAACAAAAGCTGTCAGTCCAACACATTTATTACACATTATTGTTTCACATCAACAGGGAGAGCAGCAGGCAGGAACAGAACATCTGAGGTTTCTCGTCTTTGCATCAAACAATCTGGACGGTCTTGATATCCATAAGAGATCCATTATTTAAAACAGGGAGGGGAAAGCCGTGGTCAGATGTGTTGATTCTCTTTATTTCAGGATGTCACAGAACTCTGAGGGAGAGAGAGAAAACATCGGATTCAGTCGGAAATCATGAAAACTTAGGATACAAAACCTGCAGATTTGTTGTATTGCCTGGTTTGAGTGCATGTTTTTTTTTTATAGAGTGCAACTTCAGCACTGAGTAATGGACAGCTCCTCAGCCGAAACAGCTCTCATTCTCATCTGCAGCCAGCTCTTACAGATGTTTAACTAACACCCACCTTCCATCCCGATCTTTCCATCACCGTCCTTATCTCCTGCAGCCATCAGAGACTTAGTCTCAGCCACGGTCAGCTCCCTCGCCCCCGGGAAGAAATTCTGCAGGAACAGCCTGATGGGTGCATCAAAAAAAATATCAGCGATAAGTTCAGCCTTATGTCTGTGTGGACATTATCTTTTCTGATGACATTTTCTCCCCCTGTAGGGCCTTTCTCCTTCACTCACACACAAGACCCCCCCCCATCATGTCTTACTGAATTCATTCACAGCGGAAATGCTCCCTCCATTCACACACTGACCTCTGCCTGAGGGCCATGACACGGATGTGGGACTCATGCACCAACACACTTGCACACACGTCTGTATCCTTGCTTTAGCCCTTAAAACATACTTACACACACACACACACACACTTGCACATCCTTTTCTTACTTTAGCTCCTCCTCTTCAATGTATCCACTCCTGTCTTGGTCCAGAACTGTAAACACTTTCTCCCCCTCAGCCTCAGACGAGCCAGTCAGCCCCACTTGTACAAAGAATGCCTTGTGGTCGAAGGTGCCTGGAGCTACACGGGCAGAGAGAGAGTGAGAGATGAAGAGGGTAACAGACAGAGAGGACAGATGCAGAAGTGAGAGGTCGATCCCCAGAATGACAAGAAAGCGAGAGTGCGAGCGGCTGAAAAGAGCTGTCACATGTACTCATTCGCTCAGATGACTTTCATTCTTCAACCGGTGACATTTACCAATACACACCCTGTAGCGCATCACTGTCTTTTGCCATTAACAGGGATGTCATTATGCCATTGAAACAGTCAAAGCGCACTGAGTATTGCCTATGGGTCTAATGCGAACTAAATGTTAAAAGCCTTTCTTTTTCCTTTTTTTTCAAACTATTCAGGTTGAAAAGAAAAGATAATCTGGGATGAATTACCTGCGCGTAAATTATTAACTGAATGACTCCTTGAGTTACAGTATAAACTGAAATATTAACAGTCGTATATGAAAATGAATAACAGTATGAAAAGAGAGACAAAGAGACACCTCTTTAAAAAATGCATCACAAACCGTCATGTGATTTTTATGTTTTTGCTTCGCCTACTTCATCACTCCTTCAAAAAACCCTGTTAAATTAGCACCTTCTTTAATTGAGACATGCAAAAAAAAATGTCAAAGTTTGAAAGTCATTTGTTGTTGAACTTAAAGAGGGGTTGGGTTTCTCGAATAAAGGGCATGTAAGCACTGACATTTGGTTTTCATTGGAGCGGTGCAGCTGAGTTTGCCTCCTCATGCAGACGTAATTGCCAGAGATAAATGATTAAGTGCTCTGGGATGTGAGAGCTTGTGAGATTTGGGCTTCTCTGTGTGAAGGCTCAGCACAAACACGATGGTATCTAGGTGGTAACAGCTCTCCTGCCACACTGCTGCCTGGTTACCTGCAGGCTCCCCGTCCCCACTGTGAACAACACATCATACAGGTATCCCCTGTGGGGGTCGGGGTGGGCTTGTCTCTTTCGCTCTGTATTACATGAATGGATGTAAAACCGCTTACTCTAAAGTATGTGTTAATGATCAGTTGCTTGTTATGTGTGTCTCCTTGCATGCAATAGTGTGTGTGTGTGTGTGTGACTCACTTTGACAAGCCTGGACCGCAGCCCTGATGTCCTCGTCGCTCAGCATCCCTGAAAATGCCATGGTCCTCTGTAGCTGCCTGAGGGATGCAAGCACACACGCACGGGAGAAATGTAAAGTGACAGTAAATGACACAGGTGCAGGTGTTTTCAGCTGTCAGGTTACAGTCCCTGTCAGTTACAAACTATCAGAACTTTATCATATCTCTGTGTTTAGTCTGCAGGTACATCTGTACTTACAAAAAAAACAAAAAACAGGCAGAGTGTAACCTATTTATCAGTAGGGCTGTACCATTTTGTCAGCAAGGTACAACAGCATTAACAAAATCTATAATTCATCATTGTTTTCTCAAAGAGAGAAATAAAAACATGTATCATATGACATTTGAATGATATAAGAATTATCTGACTGTCAAATCGTATTAATGAAAGAAAGGAGTGTTTTCTCCACTGATAAAGTTGTTGCAACTTGAAAAAAGGCAAACACGCACAAGGTTGGACATCCATGTTTTGTCATGCATCTCTCTTTTAGAGCAAAAATACTTCAAGGCACAAACACCCCATCCACACAACTGCCAACCATCATCACACAAACATAGGAATTCACACAAAAAAAAGCCTGGCACCTACCGTGCTTCGGGTGAGGTTTGCACTCTCTGTGATGATGATGTGCAGATCTCTGCCTCACTTTATTGCTCAGTGTCTAAAAAGCCAGCGACGCTCTCTCTTGCAGCTTCGTGATCCAGAGTGCAAGAAGCAACCTGACGTATCTGTCCTCAAACCCAGGAGATTTCCCCCACGCCACAGAGTGCATCCTCCTCCCCCTTCATCAGTTAATCAGAGCAGATAATCTTCTTACTCATATTGCTTTGAAGAACAAAGACTCAAAAAACTTGTAAAAATACAATAAAAACATATTACATATATCTAACCTGATAATCATTCATATATTGTTTAATCAATGCATTTTTTAAAATCATATTTTATCCACTGCTCCTGCATTAACTACTTATTCTTAAAAAAATACAACTAATGCTTTTTTTCTTCAACAACCAAATTTCCCCCTGGGATTATTAAAGTATTTCTGATTCTAAACTTCACATTAACATTGATTAAGTAATTGTAATATTAAACACATAGGCAGGTGAACTCAAGAAATGTGACCAGCAGTGGTCTTACTTTTCTTTTTTTTTGGTTTATGTCATTGAGTAAAAATATAAAAACGCAGTTGTCATTTTTAAAAGTTAAGCTTTATATAATAAAGGCTAAATAAGGGGCTTGAGTTGTAAACAACAAAACAAACATTCTGCTCTATATTCTCATATTAGGTTTAATCACACCTCATACAGAAAACAAAGGTGTGCAAGACATGAATGTCATCAAAACAACTCTGGATAAGGCTGTCTAAACTTTGAATCTTTCCATTTCTTACATCTTACATCAACTATTATTATTATTTAATTTGAGTTGTATTTTTGTTCCCTTCGCTATTAGTATAAATTTATAGAGAATATAATTTTTTTCAGTACATCTAATGCCAAGTAATAATCATATTTACTGACTGGTAATGTAAAAATACATTAAATAAATCGTGTTGCTTCAGCCAGACTCACTGCTCCTTTTAAAATGACCAGATTCACCTTTAAACATCTCTACTGTAGTAAAAGGTTGATCTTGATATAAACATTTACAGACAGGTCGTATTTCCTTGATAGTTCATCACATGGTTGGCAAGTGAAAGGATGTAAAAAAATAAAAATAAAAAAAGCTTATTTTTTTGAGACAGACAACTGGAATCACTTGACTGAAAATGAAGCTCGAAACTGATTGGCTCAGTGCGCTTAAGATGTTGGCATTCTTTGCTGTGATTGGCTCGACTACTTGTCAATCATGTCCTTTTTTTTACGCCTCATTCCCTGACGTGACGTTGAACAGGAACATGGCGCTTTGGAGGATAGGTGTTTCTTGATATTCAGGGCTATCGATCATTATCATGTAGCTATGTTCAGTTAAATAGCATGAAGGTAAATGCGCTCAACATGATAGGTCGTGAAAGGTAATCGCTGATTTTGTCTGTATGGACGACGGCACGTTAAATTTCGTAGAGGTGTTTGCTGTCGTCAGCTGAAACTGTTAGCATGGAGAGGCTAACCTGATGCGAGCTAGCTGGCTAACAGAAAGTCGCTCACGCTAAACGGACAGAACAAATGCTTTTTGTGTAAGCTAAGCTGCCTATAAACGTATCATCAATGGTTAAAATAATAAATGTAATATTAAATCCGGAAGATACCGCTTAGCACGACGATACCATATAGCTAGCATTTCCTTAGCTAAGCTAGGAGAATGAAGAGCCGCCATGGATGTGTTTTGTTGCTGGCCGGTGGGATTTCGCTGTCGGTGTTCAGTCTCTGCGAAGGAGCCCCTCTTCTCTATCCCCACAAATCAGGTGAGACAGCTGACAGCAAGCTGAAGCACAGCTCAGCGTTTGTTTGTTCAAGTACTACCACTCAATGTTGACCCGACTGCTCGTTTAGCAGATGTTCTTGTGAGCTAATATTTGCTTGTGTAGGTGTGTGTTGCTAATCAGAAGCTAAAAGCTAACAACACAACAACTACCTGGATTCATTTCCTGCTTACAAGTGAAGACTGTTTACCAATGTATCGATGCTTGTTCTAGCTGATAATCGTTTTTCCTTTTCAGGATATATTTAAACAAAGTCTTAATGAATCATTCAGTATTTCTTATTAAAAAGATAACACCCTGTCTTGTCACGAATCAAACATTACATTTTCATACTGCCAGCACACAGGAAATACTCATTAACCAAGTCTAGTTGAATTGTCATTGAAGTTAACAAATGAATCAGTTCCTAGGTATGAGTGGCATGACTTGGTTAATATACAACTGCATGTTTAAACTGCAGGTACAGAGGTGTTAAATGTCAGTGGGTTGGTCAGGTCATTGACATTTAACTACGTTTATGGATCAATGGCGTGGATAGAGGCCTGCCAGCATGGAAACTCGTACTGTTTCTTATTGTTTTGAAGTGCACCAAGAGTAACATGGTCTGTGTTTTGTCATGGCTCCTTTCCTGCATCACCAGTTTTGTCCCATATGTGATCACATATATGGTTATTTTAGGATGCATGGCAGTGTACCGTACATGGAAGACAATGTCATACCATGATGTCATTAGAAGACTTGTGACTGTAATTAAAGCGTTTTATTAGGGAGGCACCGATGCATCAGTTAAACATCAGTTAAATTCGGTATCGGCCCCATTTACAGACATCGGCACATCTTCAAATAATGTGAACCGATGTCAGAAGCAGATGTTTATGTGTTGTGTGGAATCATTTCAATGTTGACATTTAGTACACATAACTACTGACTCAGAGAATATATTTTTTTATTGGGCAGAGGCGGTCACCTGTTGGACAAACTGTCATGTTTTCATGGTCAAACATGAGGGAAGGTCTTGCAGCAAAAGAAGTAATGGAAAAAAACCATCATTCAGCTAAAATGTTATCAGCCCTGATTTTCACCATCTGTTCATTGCTACATTTTATAAACAGAGGGAGCTGGTGCAAAACAATCCAATTCCATCTGTTTTACTTTGGATACTAATTTCAGTTTCTAATTCATAAAGGATCAGCAAAAAGAAATGGATGGCAGTTCAGATTTTTGTTTGTCCAATTTAGTACTTATCAGTTTAAGCAAAGTGTTAACAGATTCATAGATGTCAGTATTTATGTTTTTCTTTGTTTTCGCCACATTTTACATATCAATCAATCATTATTTGTATAGCGCCAATTCATAACAAGTGTTATCTCGAGAGGCTTTTACAAAAGAGCATATGGGATAATATGCAGGCGGGATTTCTCCTTTTCTATTCCTCGTGTTCCTGTTGTCCACACTTCCTTGCCACTGAGGTGGAGGTCGGAGCAGGCCGTGCATGAATGAGGACAGCGGTGGTTGTGGGGACGACACAGTTCGATGGTAGTAGCTGGGCATCAGGGACGACGGGTGGTAGAAACGGGTTTAAAGCCTTTTAGATATTTCATGTAATTTCTGCAGACATTTCATTTACCTTACAGTTACTGATACAGATTCTGAGTATTGATCAGATACCTGATAGAGTAAAACAAAAATACACCAATCCAGATGTTATGTTGCATTCTGGTTAATTGCATGAGATAAATGAACTTAAATCAGTCATCCTTTATTGCTTTAAAACAAATCCGATGGTGGTGAAAGCACAACCATTTAGAAACAAGGAAACGGTTGCAGAGTTTTTCCCACCTTGTTTTGCTGCTGCTGCTTCTCCGAGGCTCAGTCATTGATGCCTCTCTCGATATTATAGTCCTACCTGCTTCCTTATGAGGGCGGGTAATGTTTAACTGTAACACATTCCAACCTTATCGGCACAAGTCAATGATTAGCAATGATATGGTTTGCCAAATCATTAAATAACATAGAGGAAACTGATGTTGCAATATGTGATTCATTGTTACGCTTTTCTCAAACGGCAACCTGATCCTTGCCCCACCTACACATTTTATTAACCGCTGCAAAGTCTTTGTTTTTTTTAAGGCTCGCATGAGGGTGTGATCAGACATAAACTTTTACCTGAAAAGTTGTTTGCTATGCCTCTCTCTCCAAGTACCATATGCTCTGTTTACACATTTGAAACCTTTACTTTATTAACAGCCAGGTGAAGTTGCCATGTCTGGACTGTAAGTCAAGGTGGACATTGGCCTTGATCTTTCTTTACATTGCTCAGTGATTCAGTGACAACCACTCCAGGCTTTAGGGGATTCTGCTTGTACGAACCAGCCATGCTTTATGTTGCTGTCACAGGGCAAGGCTCCGACCAGAGCTTCTTTCCTCCAGGGGGGATGCTTCCTTCACTGCACATCTTTTCACCGACTTCTTATTTTTGAAAAATGACAACACAAAGTCTCTGTAAGAATCAGCTGCTTCAGAATCCCTGGGCTCCTTATTTGATCGATGAGGCTTCAATCTTAGCAGACAGAAGAATCGTAGCTGAACCCTAACACGTCAGCCAGACAATGCCATCTTTCATCCTGTTTGCAGCTGAAAGTACAGACATGCACTGTTGTGCACGCTGGTGGGTAAAGTCTGCAAAAATGGGTCAGCTCCCCCTCTGCGTGAATGCCTGCTAAAATATGCAGTGGAACCAAAATAAGACCTGGCAGCTCCCTGCCGTATTGGTCCCAAAAACCAGTTGAGTCATTTTGTGGGGGCTTGCCAAGTCATAATATGAACCCATGACTCAGTTAATGCCTAAATGAGGGGGACTGATCCCATGTAGCGCTGCTTTGACCTCGCTCCTGTTTCTTTACTATCTGACTTCTGCTGCAGTCTCACTGGGTGTCCTGCTCTTCCTGAAACCCCGTTGCTCTGCTGAAATAGACAGGTGGCGTTTGAATCGAAATCGCTGCCCCCATTACAGCCAAATGTCTTTTTATTCCAGGATTGTTTCAAAGCTAGATTTCAGATCTGTTTAAGCCAGCTGGAATTCTCTCGAGAATATGGCTCCTGCCAGTAACATGTACTCATTTTATAAGCTGTAAATGATTTGTGAAAAAATGCCCATATGACATATATTTTAGATCTGACTGGAATGGATCCATGGCAATTTGGTTTGAAATCAGCTCCATCATACTGTCATGATTATTTATATTTAATTCTTGCAGATTAGTTGTTTCTTGTTGTAGCCTGAATCTCTCCAGTGTGGGTAAACAACTTCCAAAGAGTTCCAGAGTGGCCAAAAAAAGCCTAAAAGCATCCAACTAGAGAAGTAGATCACCTATATTTGCAGTATTTATATTTGCCAGGTTACTTCCTGTGGTTTTGATAAAAGCGCTGACTCCCGACCTGTGGTGTTTCTGGGACAAGGATGTTTTTGTCGTTACTTTCAAACCAAAACACTAATTGTTTTGAAATACACCCTCCAACTATTTTCCTTTCCTTAAGCTGTGAATGCTTCATAGTTGTAGCTGCACTCATCGGGGGACTGTGTCAAGTGTTAAGTGTATAGTTAGACTTACAATGAGCTTAAATGATTAAAGGTATCGTGTAGTCTGTGGCTTTTGTTCAAGCATGTTAAGCTGATTCTGTGTAGTAGGCCGGGCTGCGTCACACTCTCATTCCCCACTTACAACTGTACTGCAAAGGTATTATGGGTAACCTTCAGGAACCCACATAAGACCAAGCAAGGCTTACCACCTCTCCCTTGATACTCTTGATGAATTGCAAGGTAGGAAACACTTTAACAATTGTAAGTAAACATCTGCATTTAGAGCTGCTTCCACCGGGCCTGTGTCCTGACTATAGACCTCTTTAATCTTTAATTCCTCTTCTCATCAATATTTCACAGAAGACACTGTCTCTTTGTTGCAATCTTTAGCACAGAGTGGAGGTCTGTGGAATCAATCCTGTGGACACACCTTATAGTTTTACCAAATGCTAGGTGGTGTCTTAAACATTGAGGCACTATAATATTTGTTTAAAGTCAGAATGCTTGGACGAATATTGTTTTTGACATTGTAAAGAGACCAGATTTGACAGTCATGTCTATTTCTGTGGATGATAGCTTGGTGTAGTGTAGTAGACATGGAATGAATCTCAATCTTCTTGGCTGACATTATCTAATAATCCTGTGGGAGATGGAGTGATGCTGCTCGTCTCATCCTCACTCTGACAGGCTGTGCCGTACAGATTCATAACCGCTCCTTGTGAACAAATCTGACTTGTAGTAAGAGCACTGCTCAGCATGATGTCTGACAAGTTCCTACATCAGGCTTATTTCAAGGCGATATTTTATTAATGAACTGCAGGAAGGCAGGACTTAATGCCTAATCACTTAGCACAGTGTCTGCTCAACAACTTTCTTGATGCTTGGTTTGGCCAATGTTACCGTTCTGTCAACTTTAGCAATCACGGTGCGGTCATTGGTCAAGGCCTCGTCTATTTGGATAGGTTTAAAAGCATTATTTACATGTTGAAACAACACACATCCACTTAAGCTTTTGATGATTAAATAGTAGGGGGAAAATATCTCCACTCAGCTGACTTCTTTCTTTCTGTCTTTTGACATTTGCATGCTTCATAAATAGTACTGTGTTTAAAGCTGTCTCAGCATTACAGTTAATTCCTGCACTGCTGCCTGTAGAGCATTCATGACATATTAAATCTGTAGCAACATGAGCTTAAATGCATATTAAATACAGAGCTTTGAATCATTGGATTAACAATATATATGGAGCTTCTGGAAATATATATTTTTTACATTGCAGGACCAAATTGACCAAGCAAATAAGCCATGAAAACATTGGGACATGCTGTGCTTTTTGGATTGGTCGGCCATGAGGAGACGCAGTGATTAATACAGCTTAGCGCTGACACATTGGCCTCGTCTGCATTCTCTTTTATTCCAAAAGGCTCAGACTGTTGGTGCTGCAGTCACACTCTATTTTCTAATTTTCTCTCATGTGGCGGTGTGAAAGGAGTCGGTTTGTAGTCTGGATGTGTTCAGGAGGAGTCGCTTTCATCAGTTGGGACTTTGTAGCTCAGCAGAAGGAGACTCGGTAGGTGTTGGATCTCCCTCCAGCAGGCAGGATGTACCTGACAAGCTTCGACCAGTGGGAGACAGAATAAACTCAGGGGGGGAGAACAGAGGGCCAGTGCTTCCAAAAATTCTCTCTGTTCCTTCAGTACACACGTTCGTATTCACCTCATGCCAAAGGAAGGTGTGATGAAGTGTTCTGAGAGACAATGTTTACATTTACTACAGAGTGATACAACATAATTAAAGGGGAAAAGTTGTACACATGCATTCTTCTCCCAGACGACATACAAAACATTTCTGACTGACTTATTAGTCAGAAGCAAGAGATATTAACAGTACAACACATAAGCATCACGTGTATGCAGTGTGACATCTCTTGACTGTTCACTCACACACCACGGAGTCTATGACACTCCCGCACTCATACCTATCAGATGAGCAGTTAGGGATGAGCAGTGACATTTCAGACGTGAGAGGACAAGGTGGGGTTGCCAAAGGTGACAGGCTCGCAATAAATGCCAACAAAGACAAGTCTGTCAGTATTTACAAGGTGTCAGTTGTGTTCACTGTAAAACTAAGTCCATACACATGGCATCCTTTGACAACATCTTTTTAGACAGGACAATCAACCACACTTTGTAAGGCTGATGTAGCACATTTTGTTTAAATATAATATGACTGAAATCTTTGAAGACTGCTTTCTTATTTTACTGCCTGTTTCAGCCCACTCTAAAATAGTGTCTTTATTTATTACAGGAGCACACTGTAAAAGCTGGAATAAATAGTTCCACTAATAGTTAATGTGTTTTGTGTGTGGGGCAGTCCAGAGAGCAAAGCTTTAGTGGGAAATCAGTCGCACTAAAACACAAAGCTGCTGTGTAAATGTTGGTCAGCATCAGCGGAGACGGAGAGAGAGCAGTAGCTGAGCGGTGCGGTGGGTTGTAAGGCTGCTGTCAGCCCTCGCACTCAAACTGCAGGGCAAGCAGCATCTTCACCGGCATGGACCCACACCTGCTGTCACCGCTGCTGCACCATCAGCTGCTTAGCGGCGAGGGGAAACCCCCGCAGCTGTCTCTCTGAACGGCTGATTAGAGATGAAGGTTGTGTCATGTGGTAGAAGAAGTCCCATGTATTGTCACATCATGTTTGCAGAAAAATGTAAACCTTAAAAATCATGACTTGGACTCTTTTCATGCTTAGAATTTTTGTATGCCTTGCTGCTGCATGATTTATGAGCTGGCATTTCTATCGCTGCGGTTTAGCTTCATTGAAATAGCACTGCAGGGTTTATTTTTGTATGTGAAGCTTACCTTTTGTTGTGGGTGGATTTAGAACAAGAGCCAGCACATCCCCGATGTTCTGTGTTACTCAAACACACTTGTGTTTATACCTGAAACAGTGCAGTCTTCCTTCCTTGTTTTGTTCTATGTTAGATTATATTTTGACACACTACCATGAATTCAAATGATTAACCATAGTTTTAATCTTTTCTTTCTATTTCAGTTGGAAGCACAGCAGACCCCTTGTCTACAACACTCTACCTGTCCCTTGTTGTGTCACTGACGGCGCTTGTGGCCTTGGTGGTGTTGTTCGTGAACTGTGTGAGCTGCTGCAAAGAGAGAGAGATCAACTTCAAGGTGAGAGTCTTGGCAGGCAGGGCGCTGACATGCCCCATGTGGGCCCCCCACCCCTAATGAATACAGAGTGGGCAACAATTGTAAAGGACAATCTCTGTTATGAAAGATATGCAGTGTTGTGTTGTAGCATGTCAAGCCTGTTTTCACCTCTCTCTGTCTTTTTGATGATATAGGAGTTTGAGGACCACTTTGAGGATGAGATTGACTTCACTCCACCGGCGGAGGACACGCCCTCTATGCAGTCACCGGCTGAGGTTTATACCCTTGCTGTGTCCCCTGTGGCCCTGCCCGGACCCCCACATCTCCAACCTCCTGCTCGCATCACAGGTCGGACACAAACTCATCATGAACAGATTCAATCTGTGTGACAAAACATGTCTCTTAAAGTCTTTGCTCCAAACATGCACAGAAACATACCTTTTTTTTTTTTTTTTTAGTTGCACTCTTACCTACTGTGCCGTTTTCTGTGTCTTTATATATTTTGAAGATTGATGAGTTTTGTTTACTCTCATGAAAATCACATCTGGCTGGAATCATAACAGATTTGTGCAGGATAAAACCCTCAGTGTTTGTTCATTTTAATGTCTTTCTTCTAGTCTTTTTTTTAATGTAGGAATTCACCACGTGTCTGACCAACAGAAGCTCTAAGGGAAACTTTTAAATCAGTATGTAATTAACATTTGTTTGTTTCTTTATACAGAAGGACCTGCAGGCTTCCAAGTAGCGCGTCACAGTCTGAGTTACATCCAAGAGATCGGCAATGGCTGGTTTGGTCAGGTAAGATCAGTTTTTTCTTCAAATTGAAGTCTTTGATTTATCTAAACAAAATTAAAATGCAAATCCTGAGGTCAGTTCAATCTATACCACCTTTAAGTAGAGAGTGCTGAAGGTCCTGATTCATTTCTTAACTTAGGCCCCGTGTCCACCTAGCATTTCTTTCTGGGCAGAAAACGGTGGCTGATCGCTCGGGAGCACATCCATGAAGCACTTTGGCACTGAGAAGAAAAACGCTGCACGTCCTGTCCCTATGACAACAGTATTTTTACCCCAGCAGACACGGAGCAAAGATGATATGAGTACAAAAAATAATCTCTAGGAAACAAAGAATACAGGGAATATCAGACGATTGGAAAAGAGCACAGGCGACGTCAACAGCGCCTTTCTGAAGCGCTCTGAGTGGCTGCACAGAAAAAGGCAGAGGGCTCGGAAAAAGGATGCTGGGCCCTGCTCTTTTTCTCCGGTTGGCCGCCTGCTGCAAATGCTCTCTCCTCATTAAAAACCTTTTTTAAAAAGACACTGGTGCTCAGAAATAAACATTACGTGGACACAGGGCCTTATCTTAGTATTACTGACTTCAACGTTCTGTCGTTTCCAACCTTTTACCTCTTTGAAATATGCATCATGATGTTACATGTATCAATGGTATTGGGCTTTTTTTCTCTGTAACTTGAAAGCCTAATGTGTTGTCATGTACAAACAGGTCCTCCTGAGTGAAATCTACACTGATCCAGGTGGAGCCAGAGTGGTGGTGAAGGAGTTAAAGGCTAATGCAAATGCCAAGGAGCAAAATGATTTCCTGCAGCAGGGAGATCCATACAGGTAAACCTTTAACACCTACACAATGCAGACAGAAGACTATTATTATGAGTCATGCTTTTTAAAGGAGCATATTTATAGGTCAAATGATTAATATTTGATTGATTAATAAAAGCATGAAGATTTATCTGCAATCAGTCTTTTAAAAAAGACATTCAGAATGACATGCATACAGTATAGGTGGACAAAAATAGCTTGAAGACAACACTTGTATTATCAGCAGCACCCTCTGCCTTTCTCCTGACACATTGCATGAGACTTTAGCTCTTGTAGAATCTCACAGATGATCACTTTAAGCTTAATAACAGAATAACTTATTGACAGGCTTCATGTCATTTTGTTTGAACAGAGTTCTGCAGCACCCAAACATCCTGCAGTGCCTGGGTCAGTGTGTTGAGGCGATCCCCTTCTTGCTCGTCTTTGAGTACTGCGAAATGGTGAGTGACCAAATGCTCTACTGAAGGTTTATTTTGGAATATCTTTGAATTGGTAAGACATTGATATAATGCATATCTGCAGGGTTTAATCTGACCTTTTCCCCATTGAACATGAATCCCCGGTGTTCTACTAGTGAAGAGTTTATTTACTGCTTTCCACTTCAGCACTTCTTCACTCAGAAGGCTCCATTAGTTGAGAAATCTCCTAATTAGCTCATGTCAGCCTGTTAAACTCACACATTCATAGGGCGAGACCCCCCCCCCCCCCCCTTAAATACTGTCCAGCAGGCATGCATAGCTGACCTGCCCTATTGACCATCTGGACTGGGAGCCTACTGTCCCAAATCAATCCTCCTCTTCATCTCTACAGATTGAAGTGACTCAGACTTCATCATGGCAGCTGATTTATTCACTGTTTCTCTATCTGTCCTGGATGGGCCGGGCCCTGGCTGCTGGGAGCTCCCTCCCTCTTTCTCCCCCCTCCCTCCTCTGCTCCCCTTTCCCCTGCTGAAGTTGCATAGCTAGTCTAAGCTTGGGACTTCTCACATTCCCACCTCACCCAGTAAAGAAACAGGCTCCATTTACGCTCCTCTTGGTGTCAGCTCCACCAGTTGCTGTGTTTGTGCATTTTTATGAGTAGCACCATGTGAATGTGGAGACAGTCGAGTTAGGTCTGCACTCTGAAGCAAACCAAGCTGTTCCTAAAGAACCCCATGGGCTGCCCCTTGACGAGTGCAAGGAGATCGAAATGTTGCGCCACCTTGTTTACATGTTGTTTGATTGATCTCAAATCGGACATCCAACATGTTACAAATACTTCCACTCAGTCAATGTGATGTTGATTGAACATTTAGCATACTTCTGGATAATGATATATTGAAAAGTGTTTCTAATATTGTCCTTGAAAATAAGAGTTGAAACACCTTAAATTGATGAATCAGCTTTTGTTAAATACCTAAATATAAAGTCTTCTTTGATGGTCCAGGACATTTTGATGGACTTTGAGTTGAGCTGCAGCTAGCTTGTTTTTAGGTAACCAGCTTGTTTGTTTGGCTTTGTCCACTTATTGTTAGTGTTGTAGTCAAGGCCACACTAACCAAGACCAAGACATACAGAACCAGAGACCAGAGGGCTCAGACCGAGACAAGACCAAGGCCATAAATATCACAGAAAAATCATCATCATCTTGTGGCAGGGGGCGTGTCATTAATTTAGACCGTACCACCGGGAAGTTTGTTGTTGTAACTGGGGGATAAAAATTACAAATTAATTGAAGTCATTGATTCTTTTAGAAAAAGGCGTTTTCCTTCTAATCACAGTAATGACCTAAAAATGGCTGATCAGTGGTGGTCTTGATCGGTCTTTATTTAGAATCCGGAGTCCGCCCAGACTGAGACCGAGACGACACAGAGTAAAAATGCTTTTGATTCCGAGTCGAGACCGAGACCATCAAAAAGTGGTCTTAAGTTTTATTTTTTTTGCCAGGAGCTGAGCTCTCCCCTTATGTCGCCTGCTCTCGACAGGAAATAGACCCCATGAATAAGTGAACAAAGTTAAAAAAACAAATAAAGACGACTCAGGCAAACTAAATCATTGTTTTTCCGACCCTCTTCCACCTGGACTGGGGGGAGGCTGTCAGTGGTGACCAGCTGGATTTAAAAATGATGATTAATTCAGTTCAGTGATACAGTCAGAAAAGCTGTTAATGTGAATTGTACTAGTTCACAAAGCAATCAGCTGATACTGTTTAAAAGTCCAGCCAGCAGCGTTATGCTTATAGACCGCTCTGACTGATCTCAACATTAAACTTTTAAAGACTTCTATCATATGAAACTGAAAACACTGTAAATAAGTATTGGCAGACAGCATACAAAGTCAGGTGATGCCAAAGTCACAGTGAACTTTATGATGAACTAAAGTACTTAGACGGATTGTAAACTTGTTGATTGTTAACACTCTGTTGTATATCTTTCATCCCTACGTGCGGATACTGTTGATCACATGTCCTGCTATGGCAGCAATAAATGATCTTGTGTGTCCGAGTGCACAAGGGCAGTAGAGGAGCATCTACTTCCTGCTTGAATCCAGGATGTCATAAGCCATAAAGATTTGATTTATTTTTTTAAATCAGGTTTGTTTGGTGGATTTTAATCAGCAGTAGTTTTTGTTCATATGTGCAGCATGCAGTCTGATGGAAGCCTCTTGGCTGTTAAGACACATTTTATTTGTTTGCAGTAAAAAGATCTCTAGCTGTTTAATTGACACAGATTCATTTGAGTATCTTCCCCTCCACCAAGGCTCCCATTAGTCCAAACCCAGTAACGTTTCCGTCAGGGTCCAGTTTGGCTCGCCATCCACCGATTGCATAACTCTGTTTGGCTTGGGTATTGTCAGCTGCCTGGGTCTGGCTGCTCTCCTGGCATTGTGGTCTTTCCCAGCCAGCTCTAATGTCTCTGACAGGAGATGGAAATGAGTCAAGGTGAATGACTTATCACACGTGTGCACCGCTCATTAGGCTAGATGGTGTAGTGAAGGGCTGCTCCGCTGTGTTAAAGGTGCTAATGTGTGAGGGGAAACACAACTGAGTGATGTCTATGCTCATTATCCCGCACTGGATGGGGACTTTTTAGTTCCTCATCTAAGTGGGACCGTCTTTGGAATAAACAGCACAAGGTCATTTTCAGTACTTTCATATTAAACTTTACAATAATTTGCTTCCTGTAAAAAAAAAAAAAAAAAAAGGTGAGATTTCAAGTAAAAGACGACTTGTCTGTGGCCTCTTTATTACTTCAGGCCATGTCAATCAACTCCTAGATGTCGAAACATGAAATATGACACTGCAGCTGCACATTGGACAAGATAAATCCCAAAAAGCCAATATGCTGTGACGTTCCCTCTGACAGCCCGGAGATTGATGCTGGTTTTTCTGTCCCATATCACCCGTGCCGGGTAACCCTGACTCAAAGCATTTTAGACATCAAAATACATCCAGCAACTGGTACAGGGGCTACAGAATGTCACATGCCAGAGTGTGAGTGACAGCCTCTAATGCATGGATCCTCGGATGTAAGCCAGCTGACGTTTAGCTTTTCGAAAGTTGTTGATCTCCTGCATTTATAACGGCTGTTAAAGTGACAATTCTCGCACAAATATGGAAGTGCTCTTTATGTCACTGTCATGGCATTCTTTAGGAAGTTGAACGGTATACGTTACTGACCACACTTTGAATTGATTTTACTTTTAAATGATAATCACACCTTCCATTAGGTGCTTTACTCTCTATTTGCCGCACTGTCTCTGTTATGCTTACACAAAATAAGCTAAAAATAAACCATGATATCACCTGTTTCTAGTAGCTTAGACAACAAGCCCTTCATATCTTGAAAATCATCTTTTTATATGCAACTCATCAAACGGTGACCCTAGCCAGAATGTAATTTGTTGCAGTGGGAACTCGGCCGTGTTTATTTGTGGGTTTCACACACGGCCTAATTGTTTTGGCTGTTCACAGTTAATGTCATTTCATTAACAGCACTGGGTTCCCCCCTCCCCCAGACACCCAGACCTAATCACCTGCTGCGGAGCCTTCACAGATACAGACAGGCAGAGGGAGTGTCACTTACCATACATTGAATATAGCTCTTCTCTGAAGACTTATTCTCAGAGCTGTTTTTTGTGCAGCGCTTTTTCTATGCGTTCGTGTTTGCGTGTGCAGGGGTGAACATGGCTGAAGCAAACCCAAGGTGCTTATGTAAGACGACAGATCTAAGCTGCTTGTAGTGGGGATAGCTCGGGGACAATAAAGCCTTTGTAAACACACAGACAGACACAGAGACTTGAATGCTCAGTAACCGCATTTGAGTTGACATTTTCAACAAAGCGGCTCATATATTATGAGAGTAGTTTGCCGTGTGTGTGTGTACAGTGTGTTCTTAATAGCTCATTCCTCAGGAGATCCTCCGTTCTTCTGGCTAATCAGGAATCCCCTTCACTCCAACATTGTTTTGAACACTGAACAGCTTCTCAAAAGACAATTTAAAAGCGTTCACATTTTGGAATCTGAGTCAAAAACGGTGACTCACATCATCCGAAAAGCTTGGCTTATTAGCAGTTTAATTACCATTATTTGTTCTGTAACTCGTCGGTGAATGGTCACTATATGTGTCCACAGAAATTCCAGACCAGCTCCACACAGTTGACCCTTGTTCACATTTAGAGTTCCTCAGTCTAAACACAGAGACCCCTGTAGGTCTAATATCGGTAATACTGTCTGACATGACGAGCTTTATTCTTGCATGATAACCTTGTGTGTATACCTGTGTGAGTTTATTCTGTGGGTGCTGTTAAAGGTAAACTCAAAGTTTTTGTCTGGGGACACCTTGTTCTCCTCTCTCATTGAGCTCTGAAACTTGGCTGGATGAAGAGACAGTTTATTTCACTGACCTGAGCTGGACTCTTTTATTTATAAATCTCTGTGACACAGCATCGAGGTCCACCAAACAGCGTTACCCTTATTTGGTGCTCTCGCCCATCAGCAGTGAGAAGTGCTGAGACAGGAACAGGAGAGCCTGCTGCCCCCGTGTGGTCATGTGTGCACAGTGCATTTTACCACCTGTTCAATTTCCACTATTGCTGTAAAACAACTGAATCTTTTCCTTCATCCATAAATGTTGATGTTTGACATTGATGAGCTGCTAAACGTTTGTGTCGTCTGCTTGTTTGTGTCTTCACAGGGCGACTTGCGGGGCTACCTTTCCCAGCAGGACTGGGTGTTTCGAAATGCTGAGCTGCTGCAACTGCAGAGGATGGCTTGTGAAATCGCTGCTGGTGTCACTCACCTTCACAAACACAACTTCTTGCACAGGTAGCATTTCATGATTGCAAAAAATAAAACTAATACAAAGACCCATTGAACTTAGCTTTTCATAACAATTCTTCAAAAAAAGGGGGTTTCGGATAAAACTTAGTGGACAACAACAGACAAGAAGAACAAGAAAAGTTTAATTTACAATTTCTCACAGATGCTTCACATTTGTCTCTTTGCCAACATTTTCATAGTTTTACCTGAAAGTGTTTTTTCTCTTGTCCAGTGCAACATTTGGGTCTTAAAGGGATTTAGATTTTTTTCCAATTTTATGACTTAAAAGACAAATCTCAAAACTTTTAATATCGCATTTCTCAAGGCATAAAATACATCTAAAAATTGTCGCCCTTAATCTTTGGATCAAATATTTTTTACTACAAGTTTCATGCTGTGATTTATGTTTTGTCATTTCTTTCCGGGTTTGTAATTTGACATAGCCTCATAAACTATGGATGTAAAAAGTTAGGTCAACAGTTAGTTTAACAGTTAGTGCTCAGTGTCCACCCGGTCTTAAGAGTGCCAGTGTTCTCCAAAAAAGGTTTGTACAGCAGAGAGGCTGCATTTCATTTTCATTTTTACCCCCTTGGAGTGCTGGATGTCTGGCTGTGGGCCGCCTGCAGGGTACAGGGGGGTGTTGGGAACGTGTGGCTTGGGGGTAACATACGATGTGCCGCTCATCAGCTCTATTTTGCATGCTCAGAATAAGCTCAGAGGGTTCCAATTACACAGCTCGCATGCATTGCCACAGTGTCAGCTGTCCGCTGCCAGAGGGATATGATGATTCTGCTCTTTGCGTGTAAAAGGATAGCCCAATATTGGGAGTCGTGTTTTAATCCTTGCTACAACTTAATGGGAGTTGTACAGGCTCTCCTCCATGTGGACTAAATTAAGTTCCAAGTCTTAAAAATATTTCTGTCAGTTCAAGGCCACAAACATGTAAAAAAGGGAGACAGAAATGAGAGCAGCAGGTAAAAGTGAACAGGAGGTGATTGACTGGTTGGTTATGGTGCGCTGCCACAGACACAAAACCCTCTTGGCCGGCACTGTGAGGGCTGATATCCAGAGCTGAAACCTCAGAGGGTGTGAGGGACGTGAAACTGAAGAAGGAAGTTTCTTTCTTTCTCTTAAGCTGATTTCATGTCTTAAATTTGTTCCCAAAAGTGCAATACAAAGAGATTTGTTAATCACTTCTTTCCTAGTTTCCCTTAAGGATAAACTACAAAAGATGTTTAAGCTCCCAAGCTTTGCAATAAGCCTCTCAAGCATTTACTACAATTAATTTTAATTATATTTCAGAGTCACTGTGGGATACTATTTCAAGCAATAACGATGTTAACTTTACTTTGAAATGAAATGTTGTTACAGGATGCTAAAGTGCTGCTAAACTGAGTGGTTGATGTAATGTTGCAGACCTTGAAACAGTAGCTGGTATCACAGATAGAATCAAGAAGGTGCCTTCAGATATTACACCTAACTTCACAGACGTCTCATGTCATAGGAGTGATCATTGCAGGCTAGTGTTAGCCTTGTAGGGTTAAGAGACTGGACCCATTTCATTACTGCTATGTTACTATATGTGAGGCTTTGAGCCAAATGCAGCGGACAGGGGACATGAGAGTCAAAAATAAATCACCATCTATCTTCCAGAGGTTTCAGCGGCTCTGACAGTAGCCGGTCGCGTACACACAGGAACACCGGTGTCAGCAGAGATTGTCGCTAGGCGGGTAAAGGGGGACTTGAAACTTGCGCGGAGGGAATGCCGCTGGGGGCTCACAGGAAACCAAAGCCTGCCACTCCATTCTCTTGAGAATGATCTACCACATGTCAATGCTTTATGTGCAGAGACTGCTTTGGCTTCTGACGCCCTCTCCTGGCAGGCCTGCAAGAGCCTGTGTCTCCCCTCCTGAAATGTTATCCTTCTGCTGTATGCACGAGTCAGGAATAGCCCCTGTATGTCTTGTTGTGAAGAGCAGCGGCAAATGACAGAAGAAGAATCTCCTATAGTTGCCAAAGTCATTCAAGATCATTGCCCAACTCCCTTGCAGTTGATTCTTATGAGGTCATGAGGCTTTTGATGCCACAATCAGATCAAAGATAACCTGTTGTTATTGATAACATTGAGTGTGTGGTTCCTTTAACCTGGTCTCTGCAGGCATTTATAGACAGTAATACAATGTACAACATTACAATGTACAGGTTAAACACTAACTGGGGAAAAAAGCTGAACATCCCCTGACAAAAAAGAAACGTCCTGCTTCACAATCATTGCCTGATTTCATCTTTATGACCCTGTTTCCAATGAAGCCATCCCTAAGTGTCATGCTGATTTCTTTCTCTCTCTTTTTTTTTTCATAGTGATTTGGCTCTGAGGAACTGCTACCTGACTGCAGATCTTACTGTCAAAGTGGGAGACTATGGAATTGGACCCTACAGATATAAAGTAAGCTTTGACCTCAGTTTCAGATATGTTCTCCTTCAGCTGTATTGAGCTCAATGTCTTTGTCAACACTAGGAGCTTGTTGCACACAGATACAGTACGTTAGACTTGTTTGTTTACTAAAACACATCAACAATTAAATGCACATAATCCAATCAAAGCTTTGAGGGTTGATGCTATTGGTCAATATCACATTATTTAGGATTACTAGTTAGATTCCAACAAGTCTTAATAATGCTGCATTTTAATGAAGTGATCAAACCATCCCAGATAAAGACTTCTCAAGGGTCTGCGTCTCTCTTGGATGTTAATAAGCCACTTCCTGCATACACTGCAAATCCATCCCTCTGGGGTTGTCTTTGCCATTTGAAGTCTCCGTGCAGTTAGGGAACAAAATGACACTTCCTAACAAAGACTTGAAGGTTAGCCCAGGCTTTTAAGATGAAATAGCCAGTGAAAGCATTTCTGTTTGTTTTGCCTGATTTGTTCATTTAGAGACCACTGATTGGGACGTTTGTAAGAAATACCTTCCAATACACAGAGGAGCCAAAGCTGTTGTTAAAATGTGGCCTGTGACGAGTCCTTCTGATTGGCCAAAGAGGAGCATGTCAGGAAAGGTTTAACTTTGAACAAGCGGGTTGTTTGGGGCGCCTGTTGTGCTCAGTAGGTAGACCTGGTGCTCCATATATGGACGCTGCAGGCCTCGATGCGTCGGTCACATCAGGACAGTTCCCGGCCTTGAATCGTTGATTGTTTACCCCGGTCTCTTGTTCCCATATTTGACGCCTCTCTTCAGCTGTCATTTAAATTAAATACAAAAAGCCAAAAAAAAAGGTCTTAATAAATGAAGCCTGAAATTTAACTAAATAACAAAAAGGTTCCCTCTGAAGTTGGCTAACAAGCGCTCTGTATTGTGCAACAGCTGAACTTAAGTTGCCTGTCTGAAGTCACTGTCAACATCTATCTTTGACTCCCAGCCCCGGATGACCTGGCAGGATATAAACCTTTTGTGTTGTCATAGGCCATGCAGGTGTCAGCATTTGATTGATTCAATATTTCACTGAACAATTCCGATCGTCCTCTCCCGTAACTTGAAACGCTGCATATGTCCTAAGGAAGTTCTGTCTGCTGCATTCCCTAAATACTGCTGATCCGTCAGTTCGGCTGTCTGAATTTAGTACTCATAAGATAAGGTCACCCAGCCAATCTATTTCTGTAAAGAAAGAGAGAAGCTAAGGAAGAGTGCACTGCTTCAGTCAGAGCAAATAAACAAATGATTTCTCTTATTGCAATGAGGAGTTAAATTACCCTGCACAGTTTTCTAGATCCCTGCAGTTTGTGAAAGTTGCAAACACTCTGTGTGACTGATTTTGTGACTAATGTTATTATAGGAGGATTACATCATCACGGAGGATGATGTGTTTGCACCCCTCCGCTGGTTGGCCCCTGAACTGGTGGGCGAGCGACACGGGGGTGTGGTTACCATGGAGCCGACCAAGCCCAGCAATGTGTGGTAGGTACCGGTTTACAACTCCTCACTACACTAGAGGACAGCTTTAAAAAACACATCAATCATAATGCCCGTGAGTGGACTAAAATGACTCTTCTGAGAAAATGAAATATAAACATGTTTTATGTACTTGTAGTAACCCCAAAATACATTATGGCAGGTCATTGCATTACCGTATATCTCCGGCCACTTGCTGAGAAATGAAGCCCTTTCTGCTAATTCTAGAGTTCGTAAATCACCAAAGATCTGGATTATTTCCAGAAGAGAGTAAAAGGAAATTTGACACTACACCAACTAAGCATCTCTCCACACTGTAAATTCTGAGTAGGCCCCCCCCCCCGCCGCCTTTACGGGATGAGTCGTTGGTCAGATGCTTTCTGGTCATAAATTACAGAGGTTACATAAGGTAGCTGTAATTACAAGAGCCGGACTCCTCTCACAATAACAATATGGTAATAATAACAATGTTCTCCATGGAGGCATCATGTCTACCTTTTAGTGAAGTAGTCCTGTTTGGTTCTTGCTATCGTGGCTTCTTTATGAATCATGAATTGTTTTTGTTGTTGTGGGTTTGAACATTCACAACAGCTCACTTGATAATCACTTAACCCCCTTGGTCATTAAACTTTAAGGTACTTTTCTAAACGGGTGATGTGTAAGATTTATTTTGTCCTAGCGTAAATTCCAACAGCTCTTTTCTTCTTGCTCGTCCGCAGGGCCTTGGGCGTCACATTGTGGGAGCTCTTTGAGAACGCTGCTCAGCCGTATCCACATCTGTCCGACCGAGAGGTTCTCAATCATGTCATCAAGGATCATCAAGTCAAACTCTTTAAGCCGCAGCTGGAGCTTCCTTATTCGGACAGATGGTGAGTCCTCTGACATGTCTATTAGAACAAACGTCATACAGATAGTTTTCTAAAAATGTGTTGAGAGCAGTGGCGGATGTTGATTGTTGTCAGAGTTGGTGCAATTTGATCACAGATGGAAAATGATGTACATCTAAGTTTGTTAGCTTGATGCTAACACATCATGTCAATTGCTCACTAACAGAATTGGTCTTGTGATCGTGGTAATTCTAAAAAAGTATATATCTTACACAGCAATGTTAAGGAAAATGGAGCGTTTCTTAAGTTGGGGTTGAAAATTAGTTTCTTAGCTTCTCTACAGGCTGTAACGCTACAGTTGTGTCATTAGTCAATAGTCCGAATGATCAGCAATCACAGGGGGCGTGCCATGACACCTGTCAATCATTTCCACTATGGAAGAGGATGCTACAGTGCTCGGACTGTAGAAATATTAGAGATATCACGTTAAATTGTAACTATTAGGTGTGGTTGCTACTCTAGGTTTTCACAAAAATGTTAAATTTGAATTATTTGAAGAACAATAAAGATAAACTTTATTGATTCCCATTGGGGGAAATTGTTGTTACAACAGCTCAAAAACAGGAGTTTAATTAGCAACAATAGCAAAAATTAAAAAAATATTTACATTCATTAAATAAAGCAAGAAAAATACAATAGAGATAAAATAATACCAGGCATAGACTATTTACACTTTCACTTGTGGAACGACAGAGGACAGTTCTTATTAAAAAAACACACAGTGTGTAGAATTATTGATTGTGAACATTATTAGAGTCAGGTGGTGGTACTGTTGAACAGTCAGACTGCAGACGGTATGAACGACCTGCGGTAGCGCTCTTGTCAATGTTCTCATTTAGGTAGGGCTTAGTCCTGCTAGCCTGTTTATACCAGCCATCCCAAATGATCACAGTTAATAAAAATATACCTTGTTTGAAAATGTCTGCAGGTACGAGGTCCTGCAGTTCTGCTGGCTGTCTCCAGACAAGCGGGCAACAGCAGAGGAAGTACACCGTCTGCTTACCTACCTGCGCATGCAAGGCCAGAAGGACATGGAAGAAGATTTTGAGCAACGCTGGGATGCTCTGAAGCCTAACCCCTCCACACGCCAGACCACTGTTAGCCACTCCTCCTTCCCTATCTTGGAGCAGTTCGCTGATGACGCCCTGCGACAGGAGATCGATGAAGTTCTCACCGTCACGGAAACAAGCAAAGGTCTCAGCTTTGAGTACGTTTGGGAGGCAGCCAAGCACGACCACTACGAAGGCAACCACGGACGCTCAAACATGGACACAACGCTGAACTATCACAGCATGTTCTTCCCTGTTTCCAGTGAAGACATCCAGGCACATTTCCCTGATTCTGTAGCCAGAGCAGAGCACACAGAAGTTGGGAACACTACTTCAGGAATCCATGGGATTGTACCAGTGTTTGATGTACAAAAGCCCACAAATGGGAATGAATATTACATTCAACTAGAAGAACAAGGAGAGAGCACTATTGGGGGAGAAGGCAGCAGAGGGCAAGACTTGGACTTCAGCTCGGGCCGGCAAGACTTCGTTGTTCTCCAAGATGTCCGTCTGGATGAGTCGAGTACTGATGCTGACTTTTTCCACCAAAGTATCGACTCCAAGGACTCTTACTTACCAGACAGCCACATCTGGTCATCTCTGGAAAATGACAGTCCATACCACACCAACATATTCACTGAAGGTGGATCCAAGCAGGGGGACTCTCCTTCCTGGGGACAGAGTTTTATGGAGCTTCCAGAGCGAAATGGGAACCCTTTCCATGAAGCTGCCTCATTAGAAGTCCAGGTGGTGGATATAGATAAAAGCTATGTGGATGCTTTTTTAGGGGGTAGTTCAGAAGCCACTCACCCTGCGTATTCTGTGGAAGTGGAGGGGGAGAGAAACACAGATGTGAGCAGGCTTCTGAACTCTGAAAAACTAGCCGACAACTTTTTGTTTCTTAAAGAAAATAACCTGATGAAAGAAGGATCTGGTTTCTCAAGTCCGCAGGAGAACTTTCTTTTACCCGGCATCGCCCACGAACCAGAAGACTCGTTCAGAATGCGTTCTTGGGACAACCTTGACAGCTTATGCAGCTTAACCATACCAGACAATTATCTTAAACCCGCAACAAGTAGCACATCTTCACGAGAGGAGCTTTTAGACTCTCCGAGTGCCAGCTTGGACGAGTCGTGTCCGTCTCTGATAGGAAATCAAACACTGGTGCCTTCCATTACTGTGGTCGCAGAAGATAACACGAGCATCCAGCTGCCAGTTAGAAATAGTTCTTCCACTGATGACTTTGGTCTCCTGCAGTCCTCTGACAGAGGTCTAGACTCTGGTTTTGATTCTACCTCAGAGAGGTTTGAGGTGACCGTCAGTCAAACTGATCATCACACCCCTGCACTCTCTCAAAGTGCCACTATGGACTCATTGTGCACAGATGCCAAAATCCCCAGCCTTGAAGAAGACATTGGAACCTCAAATGATGATCTTCAGCCCACAGAAACTGAAATGTCAGATACCTTGCAAGTCCAAGAATTGTCCACAGACAACGGGCACAATGAAGATCTAACAAGTAACGACCTGTTGAGTGAACTTACAGAGGATGCTGACATAGAACTGGAAACCACCCTCTCTGATCACGAGGAGTCCTTCATGGACACTAATGGGCGTCCTCTTGGCAGGTCCTCTCTGTTGGTCTCTGGTCCATCTTTGGACCAGATCAGCCAGGACAGTTTACTGGAGGACAGTATGTCCACCACTCTGCCCACCATAGAAAACTCCGCCGAGACCCCAGACTCTTTCGACTCTCTAGACATCCACAGGTTAGCCGAACAAGGAGAAGATCTAAATGCTCAAATAGCCCAACACAAACTCCAGCCTCCGTACAAAATATCCGACAGCGGGTATGAGACAGAGAACCTGGAGTCTCCCGAGTGGAACTCTCAGCCGAACGTCAAAGAACAATCCCCTGTAAAGAATGGCTTGAGTGTTGCCAAAGAAGAGGAGGAGACAGAAGAGTCCGCGTCGGCGACAAATCTGATTCCACCCGAGATCGTCATCTCTGAAGTCGAGGTTGTGCCGGATGCTCACATCGAGGACCCAAGTGAGGACCAGGAAGCTGAGCATGAAGCTCCTGCTGAGGAACCGCTCATGGGGAGTAATTACAGGGACTCCGCCTACTTCTCTGACAACGAATCAGAGCCCGAGAAGAAGTCTGAAGAAATGATTGCAGGAGGTTCTGTTGAAGCAGCATGGCTGAGGAACTCCACCGATGCAGTCAGCGGGGGTCCAGCATTGGAGGTTAACACAAAGAAAGAAGATTCCCTAACCCCTCAGCAGGAATCTTCTGAATCTGCTGAAGCATCGTCTGGTGGACGAACATCTGATCAGCATGTTGGAGGCGTAACAACACAAGCAGATTTAGATATCACAGAGAAACCTGAGAATAACGCTGCAGAGTCTGTTAACAATCATATTGAAGATGGAAACCAGCCCGATTTGTTGAAGGACATCACATCCCCCAGAGAGCAAGATCCATCCGAAGAAACCTCGTCTCCACTTCCTTCTGCTGCCCCATCAAACGCAGTCCACGCCAAACTAACCAGGACGTATGCAAGCGATGGTCACAAAATAAAAGAGCCAGACATGGAGGGCCGTTACCTGGGGAGGCGGGACGGCTCCGCTTTAGACGGACAGGAGGACAGCGGGGATGCAGACGAGGAAGACGAGAACAGCGAGGACTCGGACGATGACATGCGTGCGTACCAGCTCCACAGCTCCAGCTCGGACAGCGAGGATGATACGGTTCATCCAGTGCCGGTTATCGTCTCGGACGACAGCAGGGCCAAGAACCTGAAGAGCTTGTTGAAGCCAACCACGCTGAACATCGAGGCGTCGTCTCCCCAGTTTCCTGCGAGGTTCAGTGCAGACAACTCCAGAAGAGCCGTGTCCTTCTTCGATGATGTCACTGTCTACCTGTTTGATCAGGTAAAGAGCCGTCGTTTTTGTAGTCTTTACTGATATAGATATACAGATCTGTTTTTTTTTTGCAAACTTGAAAGTTCAAATTTTGCCGCAGCTTCAAAAAAAAAAGAAAAAAATCAAAACAAGTTGGATTTGTTTAGGCGCTTTTGTTTGTTAAAGAAATTGCTGCAGCAGTTTTCTAGTTACCTTTACATAAAGGACCCTGATTTACTGAAGTCAGATCAAAATATGATTGAAATTGAGCTTTGGAGGTACTCCTCAAAGCACCAAAAAGAAAATTCAAGCTCTTCATCTGTAAATTAGAACCTGCACATTAAATCAACTATGGTGTATTACATCGTTAAGGTAACTATTGATGTGTAGTTTGTAAGGAGACATCAAGTATCTAAATTATCTTTGTGCTTTTACCGTGTATAGTCTGAGAAATGACTCTAGTTTGAGGCTAAACTGGAAAAAAATCTAAAAGGGAGTTAATTGAACTGGACCCACTTGTTAGAAAAAATGCAGCTGTCCTCCTGTTGATTGAACTTGCACTTGTTGTGAGTGCAACATCTTCTTGGATGGATTGTTTTGTTGTGAGTTTCTGCAGTAAAAGCTAGTGGAACACTTTTTAATAAGCATTCTGTTTAATATCCCACTCATTGACTTTTAGGAGACCCCGACCAAGGAACTGGGTGACCACTCCTCAGGCTCAAACAGTCAGGCACCAGAGCTCAGCAGCCCAGTGTCCAGCTCCAGCTACATGAACCGCTTCACCAACTCTGAAAGCTCCACAGATGAAGAAGGTACGACCAGAAGCTTTGAGTCATGCTCCACTGATGAACACACTTTGCAAACACTCATTCATTTCTTCTCTACAGGTGGTGGGTTCGAGTGGGACGACGACTTCTCCTCCCCTTCGCCCGCCTTCCTGCCCAAGACGGACAAAAGCCCCGCATCAAAGACCATGTCGTCATCTGCGGCGTCACGCTTCACCTCCCCGCCCAGCACAGTCCTGGAGCCCAGCTGGACCGGCTCCTCCAACTACTCCCGTTTCTCCATCTCACCGGCTAGCATCGCCAGCTTCTCGCTCACGCATCTCACCGACTCTGACATCGAACAAGGAGGCAAGTGAAGCGTGAGGGCATGTGTGATGTTTTTAAACAGGCTTAGAGGAACAGGTTTTTGAAATGCACTAGTTTGGAAAGGAAATATGGCAAGATACGGGGAATCAACCAGGTCAGGTGAAAGATATTTAACTGAAAGAAAACACTTTCTTAAAAAAAATTTCAATTAAGGTTTATTCTCATTTCTTGTTTCTTGGTGCATATCTTTTCTGATATGATCAAATGTTGCTTCTCTTATAAATTTATTTAAGCTATGAACAGATACGACTTCCTTATTTGGCCACATAATGACACAATAAAGTCACATGTTTCTGTCATTCATTTATAAGCTGATTTCATGTTTTAACCTTCTTCCTCTTCTTTTGTTCCCCTTCAGGAAGCAGTGAAGACGGAGAAAAGGACTAGCCTGATAAATGAACGGACTGTTTTCCATCACACTTATCGGAAAAAATGAACCTTTACTCGCACTTTTTTTGGAATCGGCTGAATAAGGACAGATGACGCGGTTAGTGGGGCAAACCGCGGATGCTTCTCTCAGGCAGAACAGTTCTTTACCTACATAGACATGGCCGAAAGAAAAATGGCTGACGTAAAAATAAGACAGACCAGGCCCGGCCCCGGGAGTCTGAGCCCCACATCACGTCTCCATCCACATCAGTGTGTGTGTGTGTGTGTGTGTGTGAGTGAGAGAGTGTGTGTGTGGTCTCAGTTCAGTGCAATTCCATGTGGGCAAGAAAAAAAAAAAAAGTTTCTAAATGTTTGCTTTAAAGACTCATCAAACGCATTCCAGGTGTTTGGCTGCTTCCTTTCATTGTGTGTCCAAGTGCACTCCGTTTCCAGGACTTTTGCATCACCAAAAAGAAAAAAAAAAAGAAACGAAGACATGACTTTATATGTTCTGAACACGACGGGCTGAAGAGGAATCATCTCCTTGATTACAGCAGATGTAAATCTGAAGATCCACACTTTTTGCTCCAACATGATTCATTTCCCTCCTTCATGTTGTGCGATTTATTTCTGTGGTTGCCTTTTATGGAAGAGTACTTTTTTTTTCCTTTGTCATGCACTACCTGTGCAGTCTCCTTATCGGAGAGAAGCTATGTGTGTTTTTCCTTCTGTAGCAACTTTTGTAAAAAGAAGGGTTGACGTTGAGGAAGAGAAATCCATGCATAGGATGATCGTACAACTTAAAGATCTCTCATCTACAAAGGTGACTCACTGAATGTTCCTTTTATTTATGAGTAAAGGGAACATCTGCAGATCGTAGTTTCATATCTTTGAGACGTCTCCGTAAGAATAGTTTGTGCTGTTAATCGAGGGTTGTTTGTTGATCCTTGCAGAGGTGATATCCAGCTGAAAGTCCGGTGTGTAACACTTCATTGAATGCTCTGAAACGTGCAGGACGTTGCTCGGATGGTTAAGTCACCGGGTGTCATCACAGTGCCTGTGATGCTGTACAAAAAAAAAAAGAAAAAAAAAACAGCCGCACTCTTCCATTTATGATCACTACTAAATTTCAAATCACAATTTTGTAAGATTGTGTTTAAGAAAAGAAAAAAGTTGTATATTTTATTTTTAAATGTCAGAATGAAGAAATGTAATAAGCTGTTTGTGAACAAATGTGCAATGGAGTTTGTTGATTAGTTCAAGTTTGCGTCATGGGAAGGCGAGCGTTTCTTCAGTAATGTGCAGGGACTTAAAGCTTCACAGAAAAACACTACTAGAACAAAAACACTGCTGCTTTTATCAGCGTCATGAACAGAGTTGTCTGCCTTTTTATTTTTATTTTTTAACTTAAGTGTCAAACTTAATGAACCTGTTCTTATGACATTTTCCTCCTCGCCTGGTTGCAGTTTCCAGCATTTCATTGTTGAATATTATCATTTATAGGCTGAACATCTTCTCTGTGGCTGTACAGGGCGTGTCAGGATGTGTGTGTGTTTGTGTGTGTGTGTGTGTGTGTGTGTAAGCAGAGCTGCTGTTAGTCAATAGGCAAGGCAGGCAACTGATTGGGGCCACAGGCCACTAGGGGGCCCCCAAGGGCTGACACATTTTAAACCACAGCAGCTACTCAAAATGTGCGAGTTTTGCAATGACAGTAGGATATCTCCCTGAGGGGGGCCCCCATCTGACAGCACTCCCTCTCGTTGCCCTGCTAAGCGTGGCATGCATTTTTTTTACTTTGAAAACCAACATTTGTGAATGATATTAACAGAAGGAAATGCAAAGTAATCATCTATCTGGGAGTGAAAAAAGAATGAGAGAAAGACGAGTAAGCGTCTGGAAACTGGCAGACATAATGGTTATATTACTGGTTGCCTAGGGCCCCAACAGGCTCTATAATTGCCACTGTGTGTAAAACTTTGTGTGTTTCATCAGTTTCTGTAGCAACCAGTCCCGCAGCAGGACATTCAAACACAAGGTTTCAGTGTACAGCTATTAGACCAGTTATTTAATGTAGGTAATACAGTTACTGTACGAGTCTATCTGCACCTGCAGGAGATCCAGTCCATGCCTCCCTCCACACACAGAAGGCACTGTACAGTATCTTAGACAATGTCCACCTCTGTTTGAAACCAGCAGCCTCTGCTTCAGTTAAACTTGAACGTTTATTTAAAGGAGATCTTGTTTTATTTGACTACAGTATACATTTGCTTAATCTTGCACATTTGAGAAATGTAACTTAATGTTGAACTGTACCGATGTATGTAAATGTTATTCTTTTTTTTTTTTTTTCTGTCTGTAAATTGGGAAATGATGTAAGTAGGTATGAGGTATGATTTTGTAACTTAAAAAGCTGGGTTGATCAGAGGAACATATCACCGTCATCATCGGCAAAAAAGCGGTTAATTTAAGACACTAAAGGAGGTGTGAATTCATTCTGTCCTTAAAGAAACGTGTAGATTTTAAAAATATTTTTACGTCATATTTATCATGCTTAGTGTAATTGAATGAAATGTTTATAATTACACTGTTTAATATGAAAATAAATGCAAAAGAACTTCTGAAGTCTGAGCGTCTGCGTCACATGTTGAGACCGGTCGGTACAGAAACCTGCTCAGAGGATGTTGAATATTATTCCTGTGGTGGTGGTAAGGGGACAGAAAGTTCAGGCAGACGGCTCGAGCTGGTTCATCCTCATCATCAAACTCATCCTCCCAGTTTGGTGGTGCTAGATTTCCGGCCCCTCCCTCTGCTCCGTCAGTGTTTTGTGCTGTATTCAAACTTCCAATCCCCCTTGGGACCCTGGCCTCCCGCTTCAAGGACTACAGCCTCTGTACATATGGTGCACTAACTAACCACTAGGCCACATGTTCCCAAACTTTGCCATGCCAAGGACCCCTCAATTGCAAGATGTCTTCAATCCCTTTCCCTTTCCTTTACATTATGATGTCAATTCCATTTTTTAAAATAAATTTCCTGACATATATTAACAATTTATACGTTTGTTTATTTTATTCCATATGTTGTTTTTGTTCAGTCTTTCCATCAATCAATAGAACATAATTTGATATGCAGTGATTAAAAAGATCTCAGATTGAATTTTTATGTTATTTACACAAATGATGTTGTTAGTGGATTTTTATTTTTGTTCTATTTCCCTCTCTCTTCCCTCAAAGTTTCTAGAACTCTGCCCTTGAACCCCCTGGCGACCCCTCGTTGGGTCAGGACACCTTCTTTGAAAAACAACACAAGGCCATCGAATCTTCCTAATACAAATTCCTATACAATAATAAATAAGCATCAGAAGAATATTGAGTTGATTGGATGAAATTTGACAAGATCATGAAGAGTTTGGATGATGGTGGTCTTCAGGGTGAAGGTTCATATGTACCCCGCATGTCTTTGAATTCTGTCAACGTCTGTATATATAACAGCTGTTTTCATAATTAAACTTTCATCCACACAATTCATTTACTGCCATAAGAATAACTTAAATAATGAACAAATACAAGCGGACATGTCATGTTTTGAGACGTTTATTTCACATTTCAATGCCCCTGTAGGATGAATGTCGAGCTCTGGTGACACTCAGACCTGCTGTGCAGCTTCAACAGTCACGGTCATTTCACGCTGGACGGAGAAAACACGGAACAGGAAGAACTTTTCTTATTGTAGGCGATAGAGAGGTAAATGTAAATGTTCTCTGTCCCTCCCATTGCTGTAATTAAAGAGAGTTTTGATTTTCCTGAAGGATGAAGATTTCATTTTTTGTGCCAGTCATCATTTTTTAGAGAAACCTTTGATTATTAAAAAGGCTCGACGTAGCAACATGGGCGGAAAAAAAGACACTCCATTGCAAACACTGAAAGACAATTCAACAAATGCTTCATAAATAAATAAATACATAAATAAATAAAAACCACATGCAAACATCTGACAGGCAAGAACAAACAAAACAAAGAGTCTAGAAACAGTTCAGGCTACAGTGGGATTGTGAGTTTGAAGTTAGTCCGGTACCCGAGCCTTAGCCCTTTATCAAAGTCCCGCCCGCTCAGGTTTTCACAGGAGATTGTTCATTATAGTAAAAGCTATTGCTAGGTCCCAAATCACCCAGTAGCTAAAGCCTGGTAAGAGCAAACACATGCACTCCCATGTTTTGTTATATCCTACATGACATCCAGGTCCTTCTACTTAAATGCTCTTGTGCTCTCTTTTTCGATCGCTGCACTCTGACCCGGTCTCTGCCTGGGGAACAAGCCAGGAGGAAACATTCATCCATCCATCAAATCCAAACCAACATACTGAAGTCTAAACTCGGTGGTTTGAATGATTGTGCACTCCCCTCTACGAGAAAGGGGGGTGCGGGCCTGTGGGAGCGGTCTGACGACACACAAACGTTTGATCCAGGCACAAACAGGGCTGCAGGAAGAGGAAGAAGAGGAGGAGGAGGAGGAGACGTGTGAGGGGCGTTACACACCCACAGCGTTCCCGTTCACTTGTGCAGGAGGACGCTGGTGGGGGAGCGGGCTGCGTGGGGGTCCTGCAGCAGGAAGATGGGGGGCCCGAGGAGCCTCTGCTGAGTTTCCCCTCACACTGATGTGCTCCCAGCCTCCCTGAAAATGTAAACACACATCAATGACTGTTGGAACCTAAAAGTGATGTAAGATGGTGATAATTCTATATAATTCAAAATGCATTGTTGTCCAGAAACTATTTAAAATATCCCTGAAATTTAAGGAAAGGGAAGGAACATGTAATGATGAACTCACTCCTATTCCATAGTCCCAACCCTGGCCCTTGGGTTGCATGGGTCCCACCCCCAGCCTGTGGCAGACAGCTCCAGGGGTCTCCGATGTGAAACCTGGAACCCCGTCTGCTATGATCCACACCTGCAGAGAATACAGAACCCAAAAAAGAATCCATTATTTATCACCAGATAAAGTCAGCTCCCACGTTAACTCCTGCCTGACTTCAGTCTCTTAGACAGAGGCAGTATGACCCACCTGGTCCAGCGGTCCCACAGAAACCTTGGTGACGTTGTTAGAGATCAGCTCCCAGGCGGAGCCCTGAGGGTAGCTGGGGGTGAGGCCTTGTCTAAACCACAAGTTACCTAAATGAAGACAGAGGAGGGTCGCACTTTAGTCGATTAAATCCAACCCAATCTAATGAAAATAAAAACATGGTGTTAACTTCTCCTCACTGTTTTCATCCACAGCAAACACGGAGGTCCTCCCCACAGACAGCTGAGTGAGAGTCTGTCTGAGCGGGGACGGGATGTGGTACCAGCATTCTCCTGTAGGGGGACAAGATAGTTATGTTTTCTATAGAAGCGGGAGATTAATATTTGAACATTTTGAAATGATGTCCTGCATATATGATGCATTGAGTTTCATATCTTCAACTCACCTGCAGGGTTTGTGGAGAGACAGATCCTCTGTAGAAAACAGCTCCATCTTTGGCGATGGCCCACACCTGGTTGGCTCCGCCGATGGAAATGGACTTAAAGGGCTGGTCTGTGCCCACATGCAGCCAGGAGCTGCCCTGTGAAATCAAAACCCAATGACATTAGATTAAATCTGTGCAGCTCAAGCTGTCTGCATGAACTCGCTTGCAGGCGTTGCCTCGATTATGCTGAAGGTAGCTTCAGGAATGATGTCAGAATTTGAACGTGTCAGAAATGTTTTCATCCAAATGCCGAAGCATAGATGTAGAGTTAATTATTCCTCGACTTTAAACTAACCTTTCAGAAACACAGATGTTAATAAATACACATTTTACCATTACAGAGACATTTTCAAGAAGTTTTTGTTTTTCTCACCGCTGGGTTTTGGGGGCTGACTCCCAGTCGACACAGAACATCTCCTTTATCATTGAGCGCCCACACGGGGACCTGCTCCATGCTGCTCTGTGCCAGACACGGCATCACAGAGATGTCACTCAGAGAAATGGGCGGGACCTGCAGCCATGGACCTCTCAGCGAGAGTTTACACTTCCTGTAATAACCAGAATATGTGATTGTTTTTATGCTGAGAAAATAACGAGTTATGAGCTACAGAATGTGTGTGTGTGTGTGTGTGTGTGTGTGTGTGTGTGTGTGTGTGTGATCACCTGGTCCATCTTCTGCGTCTTACAAAGTCTTTCATGGTTTTGTGGCCATGAAATGTCCTGCAGGAGACAGAAGGTTAGACAGTTTCTCTTACAGTGAGGTGTGTTCATCGAGACAAAATCCTGGTAATAAAAAAAATAAATAACGTACACAGGGAAGTCCGCGGCGTACTGCCAGCCCTCTTTGTCCGTCCCTCCAGGAACGTTGTAGTCCACCGCCCACTCTGACACCTGAATGCACACACAGGTGATGGAGAATGAGCTCATGATGAAACAAGAAATAAAGTGTGTGTACGCAGGAGTCACTTTCAAACCATTCCACCTACCCAGGACCACTGAGGGGAGGGCGGGTGTGTGTTTCCTTTGGTGCACTCCTTCAGGCCGCTCTCATCGCTCCACATAGGGCGGTCTGTAGGAAGTCCTCTGGAACCAGAAAATACCAACTATTATAATTCTAAGAATTCAAAGAGAATGGAGATAAACTCGATGTGTTTAAATAATGGTTTTTACTTGTCTGTATATCCTGTCATTGGGTTCCATCTTTGATTCTCGTACACATGAACACTCCTGACATCAGTCTGCTGGTGCATCTCAACCTCATCTCCTGCAGAGAACACACAGGCTGTAATGATAGACAGCTAAATACCTTGACGTCTTTTTGCATATATGCATGTCTCTGTAGCTACAACAGACCGTGCTTAGGTACTTGCACACATTACTACAAGCTGTTAGCAAGAAGAAAATGCACTGGTATGTGTAAAAATACACCCAAAGCAAACAGCCTTAGCCTAGTTTCCTTCTAAATTATGATATATTAAAATCGCTCCAGCTCCAGCGAGAATAACTAAACAATTATTATAATAATAATAATCAGGAGTATGCAGGACTCAAATGTATTTATATATTTATCAAAGAAAGGAGAAGATGACATCTATATAAAAATGTCCACAGGGCCTTGATTACCCGGGGTGGCTTGGTGCCCAAAGCGCCCGCTGTAGACCCAGGCAGTGCCGTCCCACCCGATGCCCCACACCAGCCCTAGACTGCTTGACTCTACGCAGCGCAGGTGACCTGGGACCTGCCGCCAGAACCTGCAGCACCACACAGCGGAAGCACCCAGTGTTAGCAACTGTAGTGTTCATGCACACAGAGCAAAGTGAAAGACATACAGATGAGCAGCAGGAGTGTGACACACTTCCAGCAGGCGGAGCGGTGAGTAAGCAATGTTAGCAACATGACACGATGCAGAGTTTAAAGAGAGAGAGAGAGAGAGGACAGCTGATTAAAGAAGTAGAGAATGAAATCAAATCTACAGGTGTTGCTCTGCTGAGGGTTCATCTTTTTTTGGATTTTCTCTGTCTTATGCGACTTTAGGTCGTCAGTTTATGTGTTTTTTCAAAAGCCTATTCCAGAGATCTTCAGCCCAAATACAACCTGGCCGTCTTTGGAGGCTCTGCAGACACTTAACAAGCTCACATGCAGTTTGCAGATTGCTCTGCATCTGGGAACTGTATCAGGGGTTTGCAGGAAAAACGTGGAAGTCTACCTCAACACCCTGCTTCTTGCTCTGGCTTTAGGACATGTTGTCTGTTATACGACTGGAAAAACTGCTTCTGCACAAACCTACTACAAAGAGCACATTCTGGGTGTTTGGAGACATTTCTTGGCACAGCGTCAAACAAGTCTACAGACATAGAGACCCCTGCCTTCCCGGTTAGAGGAGCTGGTCTTAGTGCAGGACAATTCATCGAATTTAAATCAAGAATTTGGCTTCCCATGATCATGAAACAAGACGATGTAGAGTAAATGATTACACTGTGCTGCATGCTGTGTTCTGCTCTTCATGATCATAGGTGTTGTGATGTGTGAAAAACATTATATTATAGGTTTGTTTTGGACACAAGAGAACATCGACACTATCTAAAAAACAAGGTAAATTTATTTGATTTTCTTTGTATTATTATATATCATTATTTATGTATGATTTCACTGATTTATTGTTTGTTTTTCTTAGTGTTCAGAGCGTTCTAATGTAGGTGATGCAGATGTTGTAAAATCATTGCATAACTGTGTTTAATTATCATGATGTCAATAGCAATCAAAATAATCAGAATGGTGGTTTTTGCCATACTGGAGCAGCTCCAGTTGTCTTGGTGTTCAACTTGAAGTTTTTTTGCCTTCAGACATCTGAGTCGTCCCAGCTGGCTCCCGAGATGTTACTACTGTGATACTGGCTGCCCTGATTCTGTTGTTTGTTTGTCTTGTACTGTACATGTGTTGTTTTGTAGAAAGAAAAATTGTAAAACTGAAACCTGTAAATAAATACAAATAAAACTGATTAAAAAAAAGTCTCACATGAGGTCACAGGCTGGTGTCTGAGCAGGAGCCTCCAGAGAGAAGGACGGCTCGTGGACCATGATGTCTCCCTTTGAGGTCGTGGACCACAGGGCGTGTCTGGACGGGGGTCCTGTGATCCCCCGACACTCACAGCAACAGTCAGACAACAAGCTAAGCTAAACATGCAGGACAGGACCGGGAGACAACAGGACATGTGATCAGAAATGGGCTTCAGCTGGAGAGACCTTAGAGGTTCATAAAGTTGATTCTGTGTTTTGTATGTTTATTTTTTACCCATTCATTCATGTCCCTCTCAGTTTGTGCCGCCAGGACCAGAGGCCACCTCTGCTTGGTCCTCTGGGCCGTGTACACAGCGAAGGCATGGTGGGAGTCCCTGAGCACCGGAACCAGCGCCGTCACCTCGTTTATAAACACATGAAGGTACTGAAAGAGAAAAAGGGGGACACTTTTGAGTAGAAAGTACAAACGAGGATTTAACAATATTACAGCTGAACCAACCTTTTTCTCATCGTACTGTGTGTAGTAGACAAAGAAGATGCTGTCCTTCCTCCCGTCGGGTTTGGTTGACTGTTCCAGGGCTACACCCACATCCACCCAGCGCTGAGGCTTCCAGTCTCTCCACCAGCGCAGCGAACCTTTACGTACCCACACAGACTGAGGACAGACACGGGAAGATGAGACAAAGAGATGACAGAGACATGGAACCTTAACATCCCACACACCCTCTCTCTGTGCACTCCTACTTTAGGGTGATCCTCTTGCAGTGAGTGTACACAGATGCTGACTTACTGAGCCTGTGCAAGACCGTTTGTTCACCATGAAAGACTCTCTGTAAATGTGACATGAATGTTTATTTCTCATACAAAAGAAAACTGCTCATAGCTCCTGTGAGGATATTTGGGTTTGTGTTGGTTTTGGCCTCCCTGTGGACCAATCTGATGTCTTTGCTGATCCTGTCTGCTGGAGTATTTTCAGACTCATCCTGATTCATTTCAGCAGACAAATGGTATTACTCACTGTTGATCTTTTTCTGTGAAAAATGTAAACAAAGGCTCGTTCTGCAGCGTGCAATTTATCACCTAGTCCGACATCTACAGTGTGGCAGCTGTTTCTGCCATTTAAAAAAAAGAACTATGTGGAAACTATCAATCTTCTTCTTGATGGTCATTCAAATCTTGATTCAAATCTTGATCCAAAGACAACTGGACTTTGTAGAAGATCAACATCCAGTTACCTTTGGATCAAGCTTCAATTAACCACGACCTGGAGAGAACGGTTCTATAGAGTCCTCTGGATTAATCTTAGTCTGTTAGATATCCAGTTAAAAACCTCACACAGGAGGCTGTAAGATAAACATTAGTTCATTAATAATCAAGATAAAAGCAGTCTCACGTTGCTCCTCTCCAGCGGTTTCTTGCTGATCTCCTCTTTGTGTTCCGGCTGCTCGCTCCAGGCTGCTGACTGAACCGGAGTCAGTGACAGGGAGCTGGTGAGGGGACCTGACGGAGACACAGACACACAGAGGTAGATGGATGAGCTGAGTGATGACACATGGGAGTTATCTCTAAAGCAGACACAGAGTGGACGACATTCAAACAACATGGATAGAAATAAAACGGACAATCACCTCAAGTGTTTTTGATTTTGAAAGTTTGAGTTGAGAACATTCATGACTCTTATGTGTGAAATAATTGTACACTAGTTTTTCCACATACCTGAGGAACTGAGCCAGCTGATCTGTGACTCTGCGTCCACATCGCAGCCTCCACCGGAGATCCAGGCCCACACCGGTCCATCCTCTTCCCCCACAGCCTGAGAAGTCTCCAGAGTCCCGAGGGCGTATGTGGCCGCAGCACCGGCGTCGCCTGATGAGAGCCCCAATGCGTGTGCACTGCGAGCTGCTTCCGCCCCCTCCAGATCTACATTCATCCACGGCACGTCTTGTCCCGCCGCCACAGGGGTCAGCAGGACGGGGGCCGGGGACGTCTCCTCGCCGTCCTCCCGAGGGGCCTCTGCGATGGACGCCGGCTGTGTGGAGGTCTTGTCGCGGTCTGACACCAGGCTGTTGATGAAGCTGTCGCTCGCGGGGATGAAGGGTTTGGGGGCGTCCAGGAGGAGGGCTGACGGAGTGTCCTCTGTGTTCAGGGGAGGTGAAGGTGTGTCAGCCGCCCCCAGAGGGACCACAGAAGGGGCCGCTGCCTCCGGGACCGGCGTGTCATTGCGGCTGTTTTGTGGCTCAGCGGGGCCCAACTCTGAGTCTGAGTCCGTGCAGCTCAACACTGAGCCCCTCGAGGCCTCGGTCAGCTGGGTGCTTAACTCACACTCATTCCTAATAAAAGACAAACACAAGTGGAAGGATGAGGAAGGATTCGAAAAATAGTCAGGTTGATTTCAAGCATTGAAAAAACGACTTCATATCGAGTATTAGGAGGCGAGAAGGCAGTGTGGGAAATTAAAATGCTTTTCTTAGGTAGAGCTGCTAGGCTCCTGGTCTAAAACATAAACAACTGAAGATATCACCAAGAACGATTTCTACAGGTACAATCAAATACTTGATAACCTGTGTCCTGCTGTGAGATAACAGCTGATCAAAGCATTCAAACATTTCCTTGCTGACATCACAGTTTGAGAGTGTGATACCTTATAATAATAAAGGTGTACATTCCTAGATAACAGTTACATTCCCTCATAATTAGAGGAAGAATATGCACGGAATGATAACGTTAGTTTCTATCTAAAATGTGGTTATGTTCCTCCAGACTTTCAGTATCAATATTCATCTTCTTAGGTTGCTGATCAAACAAGATCTGCTGAAAGTAATGGTAAGATTGTCTTACCATCGTTGTTTTATTGGAGGGTTACCTAAAAGTACCCAGCCAATGTGCCTGACCAATCAGAGACGTTCAACGCTGCAGGCCCTGCCCCCAAATTCTCTGGACCTTTGGAAAGTACTACCCCCCATTATTTACCCCAGAACTAATTGAAGACCCCAGTTCCTTTAGTTGAAATGCATGTAGTTCTCTAAAAGGCCTTTAATTCCGGGGGAAAGTTCCTGAAGTCGAAAAGGGGCTCATGTGATATTCATCAATATATTTCTCAGTTATGCTCCTCTGTTTCTATTATAAGAGTTAAGCTGCAAAACTTCCTGAACTGAAAAAGCGCTCTGAAGCACCAGCTTTAGACATCAGTGAAATAAATCTGTTATCTGGAGTTAACAGTTAACGACTGCTTTGATTGGAGTAAACCTTTTCACGATTCCTCTTTGGCTAAAAAAACATTTGTTTGAGTCCGTCATATTTAATCTGAGAAACTTTAAAGAGAAAACAAAGTGCTTACAGGCTGAGATCTCATGTCCTCGTATACGTTGACCCATGTGCCAATGCTTTAAATAACCGGGACAACTCAAAGCACCTTACTCAGACAACCGTACTGACCTGGCTGGTAGAACTTCTTTACTGTTCCCCCACTGGGCAGAGACGGGGATCCAGCCGCTCCCGCTGGGTTCAGACGGGGTCACACCCATCCTGAAATACAGGCCGCGGTCCTCGCCTACCGCCCACACCTGACGGGAGAACACAGAGGACAACAATGAAGAGCAAAGGTGAGAGGAAACAATCGCACACACAAAAACACCTGTTGTAGCATGTCTGATCTCTTTATTAGGCCGCTCCTGAAAAAAAAACAGTAACACCATAAGAGGAAATAATGCGTCAGAATCCTAATGAATGTCACTATAAAACGTGTATTAGTCCTCACAGACGTATCAGAGGCACTATTAGGACACAGGCGACTGTGACTTTATAAGGACATATACTGTAACACTGGCGCCTGCCACCTCACACAAGCCATACCCATAATTACAGTCCGGCAATATGAAATATGGGATATGATGACGAGGCCTTGGCCAGCTTCTAATTAGGGAGTCTCCCATATGTCAGGCCAGTGGGGATATAGTCTGGGGATATATAAGGCTGGGCCTGAGGTGCTGCTACTGCTGCTGCTGGGACATTGGCTGGATCGTCTGTACTCGAGTTACAGGACGGGACTCGAGGCTGCAGGAGGAGGGGGGACGGGGGTGAGAGAGAGAGAAGGGGAGGAGGTGTGAGAAATGAGTTTGCAGTGCTAGCAAAGTCTTCAGGAGTGAGATACAGAGCGAAGGGGGCCCAGATCTGGCTTAACCTGAAACCAGATCCAACGTCCAGGCTATAGTGACTCGAGTAGAGAGACAAAGTGGGTCAGAAAAAAAAAAAGCAGCAGGAAGGATTAAAGGAATAATAGAAAACAGAGACACTGAAATAAAATGTTATCGTTAATGATGAAAGATCTTCAACATTTCTATATGGAAGTTAATATTTACAGTCTATGGTATAGATCTGTGTGATTAAATGTCATAAAATGCTGATCAAATCTGTTTTAACTTCAACCTAAACTTTTGTCATCGAGTCATTTTGAAAACCTCCTTCAGTAGTATTAATAATCACATAGTTCAATCACAATGAACGCAAATAGTGACTACTTGTAATTCTGATCAGGCCGACAAAGGTGTAGTACCAATATGTTGTCAAATGTCTTTTTGCAAGTTAGTCAGTGTGTGGGAGTTTACCTTTAAGTTTTGAATGGACTGCAATATTTAGTTTTCTTTTAAACAATTTATAAAACAAACAACAAAAATGTAGTTTTATGTAGAGATAGACAGAGTGAGGGGCTGCACATGAAAGAGTGACTTGCTCAAGGGCCCCTCCACACTGCTCAGAAAGTGACCTGGTACTACCAGACCGGACTCGAACTGGCAACCCTCCAACTCCCAACCCAAGTCCCTACAGACTGAGCTACTGCATCCCCGCTAAAATGTATCATACCCAAAAAAAACAAAACAATGATGTCATTATCAGGAGAACATTTTTAACCTGATCGTTGAGTCCTACATCCACCATCATCATCTCCCCTCCGATGGCAATCCAACCAGAGCCACAGGGATTGTGGGAGTTCACGCCGCGCCTAAACCACACCTTTAAACACACACACAAATAAATAAACACATAAGTTATAGCTGTGATGACAGTAAACTGAACTCTGCAGAGATTTAAATACATGTGTGAGGAGTGTTGGTTCACCTTGTAGTCTTTAGTGACCAACCAGACCACACTGACTCCCACAGCCACATGAAGAGCTTCAACCTCTTTTCCTGGTGATTCCACCTCCACCCACGACGTGCCTGATGGAGGAGGAAGATCAAGTGGTTACTGACGCTGAGCAAAGTCTAGACCTCGTGTTATACAGCTACCAGCATGACGGTTACAGTCAATGTTGTGTCTCGTAGAATTCCCTCGTAATCATAAAAACGCGTATGCTCGCCCTCCTGTTTCAAAGATATTTAAAAAGACTGTGGAGAAGTAATGCTTTGTAGATTATGACGCTGTAACAGAGATCATTTATGGATCCAAAGCAATTTCCACGGAGAGAAAATGCATTACAAGCTCCTAAAAAGACAAGAGGTTATTAAAAATAAAGATTATGTTACACCCTGGGTGATTATAAATCATATGATACTTTGTTTTTTGTTTTGATTGGTCATAGGTCATGTTTGTTTTTTTCTTTGTGGGGAAAAGTAAATGTGAAGTTCGGTGAACACTGACCAGTCGGGCTGTCCAAGGTGAGGCCAGTACGGACCAGCAGGTTCCCGTCCCACAGCAAAGCCCACAGCAGGTCTCCGGGGCCGGCTGACAGCTGAGCCACCTCTTTGGGTACTTCAACTTCCTCCCAGCAGGTACCCTCCGGGACCCGAGGGTGGATCCCCTCCCTGAACCACACCTACAGGGTACAAACACAGCTAAAAGATTGGACTGTATGGGACAGCACATAGCATTCTCCTTAAGTAAAATGATTTACTTATATAATGTATAAACAGGATACTTATGTGTGTGCAAGAACAGAACATTTTATATTGAAGATTAAACAATGAAAAGTTTTATATGAACTTTGTTTTTGTTGAAATAACTCAAAAAGATTTCATGCGATTAAAAGGACTCTGAAGTTTGAAATGCAGACTTGACATGGAGTCATGCTGCCCTCTAGTGGCAAGAAAATAAAGTCACTCCTACTGACATCCAGACATCAGCTCCAGTTTCCAAATGTGATACAAATTAGCAGCAATATTTACAACCCTAACCTTTTTTTAATTACAATTGACTGTTTCTAAATGTCTGTTAAAGGAAATGAAGACAAAGCTAGGTGTACTTCACCTGCTCTAAAAACCTTTGTGAGATGATGAGTGTTTTTTTTTAACCAGGAGAGAGAAAGTGGGGGTGACATGAATAGTTATCCAGTTTGGTGGATTATATCCTCCGTACATTGGGCACAATCGCTCTGCCCTGTGAATCGATGTGTTGTCCAATAGTCTCACCTGTCCTTGTTGGGACACGCCCCACAGGTAAGGATACCTTCCAGACTGGTCACTCATCTCCCAACCCCCACAGCTGATGTCACAGAGCGGCAGCGGGGGCTTCCTGGGATTATCCAGCGGGACCTGAAGAGAGACAGTGACTTCACATGAACCCTCTGACCTTTACGAAACTTTTTACATTGAAAGGTATTTGATTAAAACTCACAGAATCTTTCACAAGACAAGCGTCAATAAAGAGTGTCCAAACCTTGGCCCAGGTGCCTTGTGCGATGTATCGCCTGTAGCGGATCCAGCGCCTTCGACGGACACACGAGTTCCACTTCTTGTCGGGGGAGAAGTTTGCTGGGAAATCGACTGCATACTCCCAGCCCTGAGGAGAGTCACAAGCCGCTGGATTTAGTGTTCAGAGTGTGGGAAAAAAACATTTATCAGTTAAAATTGGAAATATGGCAAACCACTAAAAAGTAAAGACTTCAAATGTACCCCGGTCTGGCTGGGTTCTCCTCCACAGCTCTGGTCCACATACCAGTCCCCCTCCCACTCCCAGCTTCTGGAGGGAAGCTGAAAGCTGTGGAGCGGCTGAGGGTTCATCCCGGTCACGTCGCTCCACGGCCAGCGGTCGGTGGGCAGCAGTGTGTCAGTGAAGCTGTCGACTGGGTTCCACCTCTGGAAACACACACAGACACACAGTCACACACACAGTCACACAGTCACACACACAGTCACACACACAGTCACACACACAGTCACACACACACACACACACACACACACACACACACACACACACACACACACACACACACACACACACACACACACACACACACACACACACACACACACACACACACACACACACACAGAACAACTTTAGCATTACCAACATACAGCGCTACATTGTGCGTTGTACATGTGAGTTTGACTGACCTGGTTTTCATAGGTCTCCTCCCGGTAGCGGATGGAGGTCTCACTGGGCATCATGTTGAGGTAAACATGGTGGTCACAGCCGATGCCCCAGCAGCGCCCCTTCCCTGCAGTGACCCTCTTCAGCTCCAGCAACAGGTCGTCCGCTCGCTCCCAGCGCTGACCGGCTGTGGAGAGGCTGTACACCCTGCCGTACACGTCCACGGCCCACAGCAGCGTGATGGCGGGCATAATGACCCCTGAACAGAGACAGGAGGGAAGGTTGTTATTTCATACACGTGAACTTCAACCTAACATCCTGGAATGCCATTATGAGGACTATTAACTATAGAAGTAAAACAATCTTTGCAGTTTTGTCCGTGTGAAAAGCACAGATGGATTATTTGTTAAGGACAGATTTATTCTATTTGTTTATTACTGTTTGTCAGTTTATGTGTTAAATAATTTTTCAAAATTTTGAGAATGTTTAATCAAAATTTTACCAAAACAATTGAATTAAATGTAAAAAAGAAAATTGTCCCATGTTGTCTTTGATTATCAGAACTCATTTGTTTTCATCTTAAAGTTGTACAGAAAGCAGAATTTGTTCATTTCAACTTCCCCCTTAAAGTTTTGACCACTTTTTTAGAGTTTCCCTTTAGCATTTCCAATCATTTCATTTTAAGTCTTACTTCTTCAAAAAAAAAAAAAAAAAAGAGATTTTTCCTTACAAGTGAGCGCTTCACCGTTGCTATGGAGTTTTAATTTGAAGTTTCTGACCGGAAGTCCTGAGCTCTTGCTTTATCGACTGATACTAATCCTCTACAGTATTGACTGTCACTGCTACACATTCAAACAGGCCTTAAATCGACTCACTTTGATTGAATATATAGACTTATGTGATTAAAAACAGTCGCTTTAACTTTTATTCTCAAATACAAATAAGCCAAAATAATACCTGTAGAGGTAAATATTTAAAATCTAACTATCTAATTGTCATGGTATTCTGCAGAACAAAAGTACTACCATTGCATGGAGCTGTGTGAACATATGCTCCAGTCAGGATCACAAACACTCCGGACCTACCTGATTAAAGGTGGGATATCCGATCCGATCCGCGGTTGTCAAGGGAATATCAACATGTCATGGCATCAGGTGTAACAGCTGATACCTGCCGTCTCCGAGGCCCATGCTAAAACACATTTAAACCTCACGTTGAACAACAACACCATGCAGCATAATAACACAGAAAGCTGATATGGAGCCGTTTGCCGCAAAGTCGGCACTAAGCTGTTTACATTAGAGGCTGCGGTTAGCACTGAGCTAACACTTACAGGTTTACAAATACGTCACAGTTTCTTACCTGTGAGGCTGCGTCATGAGCAACACCTGTGCACAGGAGAGGTAAAGTCATTCGTGCACATTCCTGCAGCGGTGTTTAATTGTCATTCTGGACCAGAGGAATGCTCTCTCTCTATCCAACTCCCCGAGTCCACAACCACAACAGGAAATGGAGGAAGTGCCGTCCTGATTGGTTGAGACTCTGCAAGGAGGCGGGATCTCGTCTTCTTATTGGTGGAACACCGGAGCACCTGTTTCTTTTTTTTTTTCCTCGACGCACCGCTTCAGATTGACGCGCATATTTTAATAATTCATTCAGCGCCAACCAAGTTAATTATTGAAGCACGGGGTTGGCGTTACCTGTTTGGCAACATTTTATCTAAAGCAGAAAATAGACTGCATGTTTGTTTTGCATAAAGATTGCCAAGAACCAGTAAGAAAATAAATGACTGAATAGTGAAGACACTTTCTTAAAAATCATAACCAAGAACCTCCTTTCTTTAGCTTGCTCAATAGCCCAATTTATCCTACAGTGTGTGTGTGTGTGTGTGTGTGTGTGTGTGTGTGTGTGTGTGTGTGTGTGTGTGTGTATATATATACTGGGAAGAACAAACGAAAGTTTCAACAAGTCTTATTTGTCCAATCAGAAACATGTTAGAGAGATTGTAATAATTCCGCGCATGCTCAGTTAGATGCTGCCGCCACCAGGAGGACAGGTGCTACTGAAATAATTGGAAAAATGTTTCAAGGCTTTAAAAAAACATTTTAAATAGTTATAATTGTTTTGTACATCCTACTTTTTTTTATGTATTAACTTAAAAAAATACTTAGTTGAGTCCTTGTTTTGTTGGCTTCCAATCAGAATACTGTTTTTTTATTGCCCACTATATGGTCACAAGTAATGTGACTTGGTGTTTTAGCAAAACAGTTAGCATTTAGACATTGAGCAACAATCGTGAAAGGTTATAAAACAATCAGCAGTGCTCCTGCTGTAAAAAAAAATTAGATTAAAAATATAAAAAGCAATTAAAATATATGATATAACAAAATGTTATAAAATTCTAAATGTACAAAAGATGCAATGGACTTGTAAATTCTTTGATGCTACCTCTAACTATACCAAGGACAGCTCCAACATCCTTAGGGTCCTATATGTTTCAGAACCTTGGACAGAGGTGGAGACACATATTACTGCATTGTGTCCAAAAGAGATTCACCTGAGCTGCAGGTGGGCCTTGTTGAGGAAAAGTCTGCAGGTTGTAAAGGCCTCAGCTGGTCACATCAGTTTGTGGATTGTAATGATGGAGGACCATGTTCTCAAGGATTCAAGGGGGCTTTATTGAAGACAGTGCAACCCTTTCTGCTTTAATAATAAAAAATAAAAAACTCAATCCCACATCATAGACTGTAACACTGTCAAGATTATTTATACTGGGAATGTACTGTTCATATTAACACTACGCTTGGGGTGAGAAACCAACAAAAGAAAAAAAAGCCCTAAATTAAATCTTAAAAAATATATGAATAAAATAAGCATAAGTAAGTCTGGTTGAAAAATATCTGACATTTGGTTCACAATATTTATTAAGGAGTAGTCATAGGGTCCTCCTGAGGCTAGAGCAGTTTAGAAACACTGATATAGAGGCGCCCATGATACTCTAAACAAAGTGTCATCATCATTCACAAGAGAAAATAGTGTTTCCCATTACCTTAAAAATGTGTCCTTATATTCACTGACACATTATCATCGTTCCCCAACCTGCAGCCTCCTCCCCTGATTAAATCTGAAGCCATGAATCAAACATTATGCAACACCAAGGGGAGCCCACTCATAATCAGGACAAATATTATGTAAGTCAGAGGAAACAAGTGTGCCCTCCCTCCACACAATGGGGTCTATTCACACTGTGGGGCTGTGACCTCATTATAAACTGTACCAATAACTGTATTAAACAGTAAATCAGTCTGCATTGGAAGGTAAGTGTGTGCTTCTGAATGAAGATGAAGCTGATGTCTGTGTCTGCAGTGCGCTGCGTGACGCACTCCAGCCTTTTGTTTTCATGGACTGTCGCTTTAAGAAGCCTTTGGCTGCGCAGAGGCGCTACAGCAGCGCATCACATGATTCTTCTCTTGTGACAATCCAGACAGAAAGGAAAAAGCCTCTCTGACTTCTAGCCGAGTTAGAAGACGCTGCGATGACCGCTCACTGTCGTTTCTGTGCCAAAGGACCAACTTCAAGAGGGAAAATGGAGTTAAGTTAACCATTACCAGACTGACTCGGGCCATTCCTGTCTTTACATTTGGAGGATTTTTTGGCGTTGTTGCGCCGACGGGGACAAAGTTGGCGCATGGAGAGGGACGAAGTTTCATTTTTGCGCAGCATCTTTTCTTTGTTTTCTTTGTTTTTGTCGCGTCTGTGCAACACAAGCCGATAAGCTGGAGTTCAGTTTTGAGTTTTTCTGCCTTTTGAGTTCATTAAGTTAAGCACGAGAACGAGACAACTTGAGGACGTCACGTCGGGTGAGATGATGGACAGCAAACCTCTTCTTCAGAATCAGGACATACCTCCCCCCTACCCCGGCCCCGGGGCTCATGTGTACGGCCCGCCGCAGCACAACTACGGGGCCATCCCCGCGTCGGCCCCGCCGCCGTACTCGTACCCCGATGGCCAAGGCAAGTAGCCCTGTTTTTGTTTCACACACACACACACACACACACACACACACACACACACACACACACACACACACACACACACACACGGTCTCTCACGTTTACCTCAAAGTAGAGAGGAATCACTTCATCTCTCTTCCGCGTTCGTCTAAAGATCGCTCTGTGACGGCGCAGAGTTTGGAAATATGTGTGACTCATGAAGGAGCGGGGTTTGAACAACAAAAGTCACTAGGCCTACATTTTAATTTCTGCGAGCTAGTCACTAGTTTCGTTTATCGGTGGCCATAATTTTGCGCATGCGCAGAATAAGCACATACAAATATTGAGATTTTGCAGAGATTAGACAACATGCACATTGTATTTTCATTTTATAGGAGGCCTCATAATGTTAAATGTGTAAATATTGATTTTTTTTAAGTGTGCAGGTAGCTTTGCAGCCCCAGCAAAGAGCAAACAGTTGCGCAAACTAAGCCCCTTTATTTCCACTGTATGTCAACTTCATGTGAAGGAGGCTACCATCATTTTATTGTATCTGTATAAAAATCTGCAGTCAGCAAACACAGCAAGGAAGTTAAGCTTTCTTGACATTTCTCACATTTCCTGTAACTGCAAGTTATATCCTGTTTGCAGAAGCACAATGTTTTTAAGTCTTCACTGTGGATGAATGTAGTCTGACAGAGATCCTCATGAAAGCACAGCTATTCCTTTAAATGTGTCAGGTGAAGGCATCCTTATCAGACAAAAGCTTTAGGTAAACACCTCTGAGAATTCAAGTGTGGTGATCAAAGTTGACTGTTTACACAAGTTTATTAAACAAATCAATACCTAATGAAAAAGTGAATCCCCAAATCTCCTACACACACACACACACACACACACACACAACAGTGACGTGTCAACTTGTTTCTTTATACTTTATCCAAGTGCCCTTTTTTATCACCTTCATTATAATCAGATGAAACTTACTTCTGAAAATAACTTCTCACTGTTTCCAATGCAAATCATGCTATTATGACTTTCTGTCAGCTGAACACACAGAGTCTGCTCTCACTCAGATAAAAGCTCTGTTAAAGGACATTTGCTTGTTTAAACCTGCTTTCACACACACACAGATAAATGTCACATGACTTCATGAAGCACTGAAGCTCTCTGAGACTTGACTTTGAACCCAGTGTTCTGTTGCTATCTGACTGTGGAGCGGTTTGAGATAAACTCAGGTGACAGGTCCTGTTTACACTCGTTCATTCTGATAACTCCTGAATAGATCTAACCTCGTATGATCATTCTTTTTAATTCAGTTTTCATACTGTGCCTTAATCAGTTGTTGTTGTTGTTCTTTAAATATTTTATTAGGATTGTCACAATACCAGAATTTTAGATTTGGATACAATTTGAGTAAAAACCAAACGATATTGATACCTGTCTCGATCCATGGCGACGGAAATAGAAATTCAAGACACCCAATATTTGGTAATTTCTCGTTTTTCATTCACAAATATTGCAGACAAACTCCTGCACACGGTCTGAGTTGCACAAAAGCATTGACAACATTTCTGTACGGACACATTGCCAATGCTTTTAAGACAGGTGTGTTTTTTGATGGATTCATTCCTCTCTTATGTATCTGTCTGAAGAAATAGATGAACTTTTTAAAGAAGTTTCTGTAGTGTTTGATTCTATCGATCATAAAAAATATTCATGTTTGTATGGTTTTAAAAGGAGGAAGCTGTAGTCCCTCCAAGCCCGGGTCGAACCCAACCCGTGGCTCCTTTTCCACACGTCCTTCCCCACTCAGAATCAGAATCGGGGTTTATTGCTAAACAATTAACAAGGAAATAACGCAGAACTAGCAACAACTTAAATAATACAGTATAAGAAGCTATTACAATATATAAAATATGTAATATAAAAAAATAAAGGTGCAATGTAGGAGCTGTGCACTCTTTGTCTCTCCCAGATTTCGACTCTATCCACTGTCCTGTCCCTCTGATAAAGGTTAGAGAGTGCTGCAGCCGGATTGCTTAGAGGTCATGTTGCGCAGCCCCCATGTCAGGAGGGTACAGTCGCCTCAGCTCTTTGCTTCACGTCGTCCCCCACTCTCTCTCTCCTCCCATGTCCTGTCAATAAAATAATGGAGTGTCATACTCTTCCTCTGTCATACTCAGGATACCCTCCAGCCCAGATGGCCCCGGCTGTGTCCCAGCAGCCCTATCCTGGGACCTACACCATCATCCAGCCGTCTGTAGTGGTGGTGGGAGGCTGCCCCGCCTGCAGGTGAGGACTCACAGCGGTGTCCATTACAGTAGATAATGGAGAGCTAACATGATTACATGACGCCTGAGTGTCCTGAGTTGATACAGGGAAGCAAACTGAGAAACCACTAATGCACATGATAGCACTAACAGAGAGGTCTGTGTTGAAGCATGTGTTTGTATGTGAGAGTCTCGTGCTTACTGGAACCGCAGCGGCCCTCTGTCACGCTAAAACGATCAACTGTCTTTGTGTCTGTGCTTGCTTTTATATATTTTTGTTACGACCTGGTTGTATACTTTTATTGTTCATGCATTTGATGTTGTAAGGCAGAACAGAGAAGCAGACGTGACTTTCAGTTTTTTTTTTTTGGAGAAGCTTTCTCTGTGGTTGAGTCAACATCCTGTCAGTCAGATGATTTCAGACTCAAACTTGTGACGGGGCAAAAGGTGAGCGCAGGACACGAGACATGACGAGAACACCAAACTGAAGTCAGACGAGATCCCTCTAAGAACTGGTTCAAACTGAGTAATGACATTTATTCTGTGTCCATACCAGCTGCTTAAAGGACATTTGTGCACAATTTAGGGGGATCTTTCTGTATGCAGAAATGACAGTTTAATCATCTGATAATAAAAGTTGATGTTGAGGCTGCACAATAGGAGGAAAAAAAGGGAAGTGTGATAACAAAGGAGAAAACGATATGAAGTGCAATTCACAGAATGCTGATACACTTTGACTGACAGTTTTTTTTTTTAAGGTTTATTTTGGGGCTTTTTTTGCTTTTATTTTAGAGCTAGGACAGTGGATAGAGTCAGAAATCAGGAAGAAAGACTGAGAGAGTGGGGAATTACATGCGAGAAAGAAGCCACAGGTCGGAATTGAAACCAGGGGCCACCCTCCAGGAGAACCACAGCCTTCGCACTTGGGGCGTGTGCACCAACTACTAGGCCACTGGAGCCCTACACTGACAGTTTTTATGTCTTTTTGATGTTTTACCTAGCTTGAGCTTCATTTGACTGCACTAATATGTTGTGAAAGCAAAGTCATGACACCCGGGCATGCTGTGTGAGCAAGCATTTCTTGTGTATGTATAGTTATTGTTCTTATTTATGGCAACATGTTTATTGTCAGTGCTGCTCTTAATGCAATAAGTGTGAAGTCACAGTTAATTGCACGGCCCTAGTTGAGACCTTGTGTACTTTTTATAATGAGATATTTATATCTACAGGAGTGTTTCATCTCATCTTAGGTGGAACCAGTCGTGTTGTATCACCATATTTCTACAGTAGCCGCAAATAGAAGAACCGCACATTTGCTCTTGGGCAGATCTTCTGTGTTACATGCAAGAGTATTTCATCCACCAAAAGATTCTCCTGCAAAACTGGAAGAGGAGAGAGAGTGGAGGAGGAATCATTTGGTTGCAATCTGCAGCTTCAGCACGTAATGCCAGTAATATTACACTCTGATCCTTTAATTATTAAACCTGGTAGTGGAGCTTTAATTTATCGAGCGCTGCAGCGGGTTTGTTTACTGCTGCGAGTACACAAGCAGTGATACCCTGGAAGTCCCCGAAGTAAACTTTAACTGAACGTTTGCATGGTTATCAGTGGTCCTTTTTAAGTGACCTACATGACTGCCAGTCTCTGAAAATGACTGTAATATTTAGTAAAGTCTAAACCAGACAAAAACAATTAGAAAAGATGCATAACAGCACAAACAAATAATTCCCTTTGACGATTAAACTCTAAAAATAATATCACATCTTTCACATTGAGAGTTTATTACTTAATGTCCTTAAGACAGTAGTTGTGCTTCTCTTGGGCACATTGTGACAACAGTATGGTGTGTGTGTTAACTTCACGAGGTGTTGAAACTGGCTGGAACACTTGAGGTCGGGCTCTGTTTCCTTGGCCGATTAGAGCGTCGGTTCCTGGCACAAGTGTGCAAACAAGTTGTGCTAATCCAAATAGTTCTGACACAGAGTGTGGTGCGGTGCATTGTAGGCCAAACACTGTTTGCTCACACCCTATTGATTACAATGGCATGTAAGCAAGCCCTAAGAGGAAGAAATCATGTTAATGAGCTCTAAACCAGTTCATAAGCGCCGCAGAATCGAATACTTTGAGTGTTTATTGAGTTTATCTGTGATAATTCTGCATTCTAATGATTCTAAATCCACAGCTGTGTGACACTTTATAAAAGCATCAGCAGTAAGAGCGCTCTTAAGGAGCAATTTATTTATTTTCCATCTCTGGAGGAGCGAGGTCGATATGTTGCACGAGTGAAATCTTTGGAAGAGCGAGGTCAATGTGTTGCACGAGTGAAATCTCTGGAGGAGCGAGGTCGATATGTTGCATGAGTGAAATCTCTGGAGGAGCGAGGTCGATGTGTTGCACGAGTTAAATCTCTGGAAGAGCGAGGTCGATATGTTGCATGAGTGAAATCTCTGGAGGAGCGAGGTCGATGTGTTGCACGAGTTAAATCTCTGGAAGAGCGAGGTCGATATGTTACATGAGTGAAATCCTTCTCGGGGCCTCCAGCAGAATGACTCTCCACGCTGCTCTGCAGAGGTCAGTCATGAGACCAGTGTGAGCTCTTTGTTTACCATGACTTGACCTGTAACACAGATTTCAATACATAATGCTTCAAGACCTGGCAGTTATTTATTTTTATTTTTTGGCAGACAGACAAAAAAAACCTGTAAAAATGGGAGACTTAGAGATTCAAGAAGTGAGAAAGCTAAAAATAGCTTCATTAAAATGTGTTCTTGGTCTCAACAAGTGAAGTGTTCATAAAGATTGGGGAAGTAAATGAATGAGTTAAAAAAAATAAAAAAAAGCACTTGGTGAAAGATTTGCTAAATTGACTGTTTTCCGTGTGTTTTGCAGAGTCGGTGTCCTGGAGGATGACTTCACTTGCCTGGGGATTCTGTGTGCCATCTTCTTCTTCCCCCTGGGCCTCCTCTTCTGCTTCGCCCTGCGTCAGAGAAGGTGTCCCAACTGCGGCGCCACCTTCGGCTAGAGGGACCAAAACCCCCAGCTCATGCTCCCCGCTTGTTGCTCCCCATGCGTACAAACACATACACATAATCCAGCATTTATTTTTTATTTGATGTTTTCTTAATATTGCACTTTGCTGTTGCCATGACGTTATGTACTGCAAATGATCAAGATATTGACCTTGGATTATGATGTGAACTTTTTTTATTAGAGGAACGTGTAGAAATCTATTTTCATCTGCTAGTTGAGAACGTAATTTTCTGGCGTCTGTTTGTGTCCCTGTCTTGTCAGTGCCTTCACTTCACGAGTGATCATCAGAGATTCCATCAGTCATGACGCTTTTCTGTAGATGAAGCTCAGTATTTATAGGATCTGAGCAGATTCCTTCATGTTGCATCAAGCCACAAATAATCACGGCACATGTCAGATTTTGTGCCTAGTTTTATTTGATCCTTTTTTTTTTTGTCTTTGCTATTACGCTTTCTACATATTTTTTTTTTTGTTAAAATTGTGTTTAGGAACATTGTACTCATCACAGCATCCATGTAGATTGCCGTTTGTGTTCGCTTTCTGGAAAAAAAAACAAAAACATGTTTTTATGTAATCCTTTTTCTCGCTCTGTGCTTCACGGAATAACAGAAACATGTCTCTAAAAAAATAAAGAGGACGTGTGAAGATCTTTGGATAGGAGCTGTTCTGGCTGAAACGATGGACTTGTCTTGAACAGTTACCGGTCAGTTTTTTTGTCGTTGTTTTTTTCTTGGGGCCATATTTGCACTGGTCATTCGTTTGACGATTCTTCTGCTGGGTTGTGCTTTTCCAGGGCCAATGCAGAACTCAGGTACATACAATCTGAAAAAGCCCTCAACTTTACAACCTCAATCACTGTTGTACTCGGGACTTCGGGGCCGACTTTTAAGAGGACTATTATGTCAAATCGCAGGCTCCCCCCCCCCCCTTTAATGGGCGGAGCCTCACTTCGAGGAAGCATGCTGAGAGTGAAAGCTGAAAGAAATCTCTCACTAATGTGTATAATCTCTGGATTTGTATCTTAGTACTCCACTCTGTGACAAGTCACCCTGACCCCATTCCTCCCCAACCAGACAATCAACGGAGAATGTCTACGTCGGTGTATCTGCGGTGTCTCTGTGTCTACGTCTTCCATTCAGAAAGATGTTATAGAACTGTCCACGGCAGGAGAAGAAGAGATCTAACGGGGTGGGAGGGATTGAAATTAAAGAAACTTCTTGCTTTAGAAAACACACTACGCACGCTCTTATGATTGAGGTTCTTACTTTTGATATATAAGTTACTGTAATTAAAAAAGAATGCTACCTATGTGTCTGACTCTTGATTTATTTTTTAATGGATGAACATCAACTCTGTAAATAAGGCACACACATACTGTTAGTTTTCATACATACAATGAATGCACAGCAAATCATTCAAAACAGAACTTGAACTACTTTTCCCTGCAAGAACTTTCTGCAGAGACGATAGGTGTTTTCAGACCAAACAGTTCAGGGGACTTTTTGGAGAGGAGCTTCCCTGAGAGCTGCACACCATGAGGACTTTTTCTCTGTCAGCATTCACACCGTCATGGCACCTACTTTGAAGCAGGAGCTAAAAAGGTTCCTCTAAATGTGCTTCTAGGGACTAAAATAGTTCCAATAAAAAAAGAGCGATGTTCCAACAGTTTCTAGAACTATGAAAAAGTTTCTGTGGTTCAAAAAAACTCTCTTACGGTACAGAATCTGTGAGGCATGGACTTGGAGCATTAAAAATATGATTGAATATGTCTGCATTTTCTAATAACCATAGCAACAAGTACCTTTTCTTTTGCTTTGGAGTGTGGGAGGAAGCCAGAGAACCCAGGCATGCAAAGGGAGAACATCGAAACTCTTCGCAGGAAGGCCGCTCTCCGATGGGGATTCTAACCAGGAACCTGCACAACCCACTGTACCACTGTGCAGCCTGTCTGCTTGTTGACTGTTGTTAAAACTCCTTGAAAAGTAGTTCCTGGATTTTCATTTCCCTTTGGTGTAAACGTGATTTTTGTGTAGATAGTTTGTGGGATAACAAGCAAAAATAGAAGCTTGAAGAAATAAATCTTTATTTTCATACAGCAGATTCTGATAAGAGTGTTATGTTGTCCAAAGACCAAAAACAAGTGTACACACTTTGGTGCCACATGATGCGGTTGAAAGCACAATGATTGCACTGTCAATGCAAAGATGAGTCACAACTCGTGTCCACAATCTGAAGAATGCAACAGGAACATGATTCTTGTCTTACAGTAGGTATGTTTGTGTCATTAAGGCAAAAGTCCGTCTCCATGATCGTCTAGCTCTACAAAAAGTTCAGTTAGATGGCAGAGAACAATAGTCATAAAATCTGATGTACAAGTATATACACAAGAGGAGAAAGATCACTTGTGTGTTTCCTTTGATTTTTTTCAAATGCATCTCTTTACATGTTTGCAGTTTCCTCACAGCAGCCGACATCGTGTTGGTGTCGACACCGGGATTCAACGTTGTCATGAGGACCTGCAGGTGAAATGCAGAGGTCCTCTACAATACATTCTTTTACTGTCTCTATGGCAACAGAAAAGATTCCTAACAGTCATTTTGACGTCAAACGAGCCAACATCAAACAGTTTAAATACATCACATACAGTCTTTTCTTTGCCCATTTGTTTTTCATTCGTTTCTCAAGTGCAGGTAAGAAAGGCGTCTTTAAATGTCACCACAAACGGAGGGACAAAACAGACATGGAAAATATATATATATATATCTTAAATATAGGAGCATCTGTCCGGTAAATAAAACGGGTCCCACAATACTTCCAGATGAGTGTTTGCAGCAGTAAAGGGGCTCCAACATTCAAATGGCGTTTTGTTCTCCATGTGTTCTCTCCATCCCGATCAGGAGGATCTGCAGGAGCAGTAAAGTCTGTGCTCAGCTGCACAACCCGGAAGAAAAAGAGGGCGTGTGGGGATGGAGGACCTGTGGATCAGATGGCCGGTGCGGAGCGGTCATTGGTGACGGTAGGACGTAGTCGGACTGTGGCGAATGGGTTCCCTCCTCTGTGAAAATGCAAAAAAAAAAAAGATGTGTGTGAAGTGTGCAAGTCTACATGAGAGACAGGACGATCATGTGGTTTGATGTTCTTAAGGGACTTACGCGAGGTAAGCAGGCTGAGCTCTGGAGACGCCGTTAGTCTGAGCCGCCTGTGGAGAAAACACAGATTCCTGTATTAATACCTCAAACATCCCTCTTTCTTTCTGTTTGTTGAACTGTATAACCCAACACACACACACACACACACTCACACTCACACACTCACACACACACACACACACACACACACACACACACACACACACACACACACACACACACACACACACACACACACACACACACACACACACACACACACACACACACACACACACACACACACACACACACACACACACACACACACACACACACACACACACACACACACACACACACACACGCTCTCAGCTGCTGAATGATTGTACACACGGGATGAAAGGACGGGGGAGGGAAAGACGACGTGCTCTGTCACATCACGAGACAGTCACTGTGGAATCTCGACCTTCTAGAAATTCAAGTCTGGTCGTCAATCACCCGCATCAAGTTTTTATCATGAAGAGTCAAAGTCAGTCATCCTGTGCAGGGTTCATGTTCATCATTTAGATCACAGAAAAACAAAAAATCATTTTGAAAAATGTTTGCGTCCAAGACTTTGAGGGATTAACATCAAGTCAGGATCAGGATGAAACCAGCATGAGTCTCAGGAGGCAAGAACACGCTTTAAATACAATGTGGAACCACAGCATCACCTTTGACCCTCATCATGTTGATCTGAAAAAAATGAAGAAATCTCAATGTACTCCTGAAAGAGTCGACTATGTTCAGGAGGAGAGTTATAGTCTATATTATAAACCAGCATGAGAAATTATGATGACTCCATCCACCCATTATCTATAACGCTTTTCCCGTTCTGGGTCGCATCGGAGCTGGAGCCGATCCCAGCTGTCATTGGGCGAGAGGCGGGGTTACACCCTGGACTGACAACTATGTCAAAGTTATTTATTTATAAAAGTAATTCTTAAATGACATATATTTCTTTATATTTTTGTGTGAGTAGTGTAGCTGAACTTCCTTGCTGCTGGCTCTGTCGTCCTGTTATAAACCTGCAGTACAGCACAGCCTCCACAAGAGGTCAGCAGTGGATCAGGTCACTGATTTTCCTGTCGCGCTCAGTTTTGGCAAAGTCACTCTCACTGTGACTGTGACCCCCGTTTAATCCCATGGGACGTTCAGAGTTTCACATCTGTTCTGCTTTTACAGATGTTTGGATTCAAAATCACGTCAATCAGGCAATCATTTCTTAAATGAAGAGTTCTTAATGATTCTCTGAAATGTTCACTGTCTCTTTTTTGTCTTTCAGTGAAATAACAGGTGTGTATACAAACTGCTACATGCTCAGCGAGGGAGCAAAGATCGTCTTCCCCTCTGTCTGTTCTGCTCTGTTAAACTTTGAGTGTTGTTGTTTTTTTCTTTTAAATGATACTCTGCCCTTTAACTTTCTCACATCACTCTCTCTCTCTGTCCTCTGAATAGATTCATTCCTTTGAGTCGTTATCTTTCCCTCAACAAACCAGTGAGGGTGCATTTTTTCTCATGGTGACAGTGCATTCCAGGGTAACCCACCTCCTGCTGCACTCAGGCCTCTAATCTCCCCTTCCTCCCCCTCCTCTCACCTTTCCTTTCTCTAGACCAACATGCAAAGCTGGGAAATGATTTATAGCAGTTAGATGACACCAAGAAGGCAAAAGAATGTGAATATTTTAGATTTTCAAGTTTGGCATGAAATCAATATGGAGCCCAAACAGGCTAAAAAAACAACAACAACCATGCTTGTTATCGCCTGAACTTTGCAACTTAGAAAGCATATTGACATTAAAGTTTATAACGCAGCAGCCACAGGCAGAGACATGCACACACCAACACACAACCTCAGCCACCCACACGCACACTGAACTGAACATAAACTAAAGTATTACAGTCTAATGCAGAAGTGGAGAACTTTTTCCCACACGCAAGTCTATTCTGGGACGTGTGTGTGTGTGTGTGTGTGTGTGTGTGTGTGTGTGTGTGTGTGTGTGTGTGTGTGTGTGTGTGTTCTGCAGAGTGAAAGCTTTGTGAGTCTGACTGCATGTAAACTTCTCTGCAGGCGACCCTTATTTACCCTGGAAGTGGAGGGAGGGATACAATGAGGGTGAAAGAGAGATAGAGAAGTGTGCAGATGAAGGGAGATAAAGAGACAAACAAGAAACTGATAGAATGGAGAGAGAGCGAGGCGGAGAAGGAAGGTGGGTATCGGGTTCACACAAAGTGGAATTCCAACCATAATACAGAGTCAGAGGTGGAGAGATGGGGCTCCACAGTGACACACACACACACACACATTGGCGCTCGTGCCTTCATGTGGCTGTGGACCAAATGATGGTAAATAATAAATAGTGCTGAGGCAACAGGAAGAAAAGTATCTCAAAGTGCCATCTGACCGCTGAACCTCGATCTGGGTCAAACATCACAAACTATCTGACCAACCACGTCAGAGTGTGAGTGTGTGTGTGTGAGTGTTTTAGTGACGGGGCTACAAATATGTTCATGCACCTTTTTTACATGTTGATACGTTTTTATATCTTTTACAAAATATTATGTCATGCAGCCAGTTTTAGTACTTTCTCATGATGACAGAGGCCTAAATAAATCACATGTTTGGTTAGTGTAACTTTAGTTCTGCAGCTATCTGCTGCTAACTTTAGCTCGGCTGTTCCTACGAGCTTGTTTGGAGGTCACGATTTCCTCAATGTTCATCTTCCACAAGGTTTAAACTGAAGCAGAATTTAATGCAGAGGTATTCTTGTCTTTCAAAGAAACAGCACCGATATCTTATTTAGTCTGATACATATTAGTCTTTGCTTATTTTGTGTCTATGGTTGATATTTAATGTTATACCTTTGTACATAGAGAGCACAGTTCACTTGAGTGTGTAAGCATACCTGGCCAATAAAGCTGACAAATAAAAAAAGTTCTCCCCGCTGCTCCTTGGCACAAACTGGACTTCAGAAGGAGCTGTTACACGGGCTCACAGTAGCTGACCTCGTTACAGCGCTTTTTAATGAAGGCTTCCTGCAGTTTTGAACTTTCACAAGGTTTTTTTTTCGGTAAGCCAATTTATCTGCAGGGGTCTCTACCTCTCGAAAGCAAATTAATATTGTCATTTATACTATATAAAACATTAAATAAAGAAGCTGTAGGAAAAAAAAGCAGTCTTAAGGGGCTTTCCAGCAATGTCCATAGAACTAACATCACATCTCTTCTTTGGAGAATAACGGAAGTTCAGCTGTGTTTTTGCTTTGGCACCCCTTAGGGCAGCTCACTTCATCAACTTCAGCTCACCCACTGCTCTCCAGAGGGGAGTGGATGTGTACTAAAACAGAGCGGCCTTCATCAGGGCCGATACGCGTCGGTCTAATTTGTTCAAAAAGTTGATCTTCATACTATAAATGTTGCTGGAGCGTCATGACCTCTCCAAGACTTCCACTCTTCATGCACCTTGGTAGTTGGTGAAGTTGTGCCAGAAAATCCTGCTCTGCTTCTTCCTGTGAAAACTGTTTGACTTCCAAAGAGTGAAAACATCCGATTGTTATGGATCTTAATCTCCCTCTCCAGACTGTTTCATCATTTATCTCTAGTTCTGTCTTCTCTGTGTCCCTGGTGGTCTCTAAATATGAAATCTGGTTGTAAAGATGCTGGAATAAGCATCTCTTTAGATAGCATAAGTAAAACATTTGAACTTATTTAGATGAGTAAAAAGTTGATTTGACCTTTCATTGGTTATCTGTATTCCAGTCTGTGTGAACACTAAGCTTGAAGATGACTCAGATATGAAGTGTGTGTTGTTGTTGATGCATTTTGAATAAATATTTGCATTTATAAATATATATCTGTCAAACCATTGACGGCTCACTTTGGTGGGAAAGAGTGAAATGTTATCTTAAAAGTGGTGCTGATGTGATCGTGCAGATGGGGCAGGTGGCTTTGACCTGACGTGCCACAACATATTTACATTCACCCAGCGCAGAGGAACTACAAAAGCTCTCAGAGGCAGGAAACCACTACTTTGGGTGATGCTTTGCATGCTATGCAAACAGAGGAGCATCTGTAAAGTGATGACTGAAGCTGAGCTGCTGTTAGGAGAGGACGCTGGAGATGGATGGACATGTAACATGCACGACATGCATTCACTGCAACACAAAATGAAAGCAGCTATTTAACCTCAGCTGACTTAATGTATCTCTTGATGACAGAAAAAATAAATTAAAATCCAAAACAAGTTTCAAACTGATTTTCTGTTGTGGTTAGAAAACGGTTGCTATTCATCCTCGAAGCCTCAAACAAACTTTAAGACTTTCTGTCAGCGCCCTACGGGCACAGACTCAAAAAACAAATTCTGCAACACAACAGCTGTATTCACACATGTTCTCCTGTATTCCAAGATGGAGGACAAAGTGCCAGAGTTGGATGATATAAAGACAGTTCTTTGTCTTAAGATCAATGCTACATGTTTTTTGAGGAGGGCTGAACGATATATATTTTTTTTATAATCACATTTGCAACGTGCGTATGAGCAACATATCATGCCAATCATGTGAGCTCAGGCACTTTTCTGTTGTTCGATGCAAACAAAAACTGACCGTTTTGTCATTTTCCATGAGCTACATTCAATTAAAGTTCCCGTATCACAGAAGAAATGGAAAAGAAAAAGCTGTTTGAGCAGAAAAGAGTTAAGTGCACAACTTCGTCTTTTAGTGGGAAGTCAAAATCACGTCTGAGTCTGCCGCGCATGTTCAGGCTCCAAATTACATCACCAGCGTCATGCTAGCGCCCGACGCTGTCTGTATTTTGGCTTCACTTTTGTGCAACTGGATGAAGTGGAGACGTGCCGTCAATCTTTGTATGCAGTAAAAGGTTTGAGATGAGCAGAATGAATATCTCTCAGAGTCTCTCCCAGTGTGTGTTGCAGCCAGATAATAAAAACCAGCCAGGATTTTTAAACTGCTGTAGTCTAAACCCGGCCTGAAGTGTTAAACTATTCCTGAGACATAACTGATTTTTTTTTCATGAATCAGTCAGCTGACACCCGGGGTGTATCAGAATGTAATCAGTTGCCTAATGCAGAGATGCAAAGTTCACCTGACACCACACACACACACACACACACACACACACACACACACACACACACACACACACACACACACACACACACACACACACACACACACACACACACACACACACACACACACACACACACACACACACACACACACACACACACACACACACACAGTACATCTGCCGTGCTGCAGCAGGTATCAGGTGAGAGGTAGCCTCACATTGCCAGTCCTTTCAAGTCACAATGCCACGTCGGTGCCAGCAGCACCGCAGGGTCTGGCAGAAGACAGGAGGTCAAATTGTCTGGGCTGATTAAGTTCCTAGATACAATTGTTTTTAAAAAGGCAGGGCGGAGGCTTCCTGGATAATTTTTCACTAAACTCTGAAAATGACAGATAAGAGCACAAGCTGCTGACTGACCGTGTTGTGCTCGTACGAGTTGGAGGAGGCCACAGAGGGCGTGGGCGAGTGCTGGTGGTTGTTGTGTGTGGTGACATTGTTACTGCTGCTCAACGTATTGAATTTGACGGCGTTCCGCTGCGAGCCGTCACTGTAGTCCGCCGGGGGGAGCACCATGGTGGCCTCGTCCGTCTCCGTGTCCTGGTGGTGCAGGTTGACCACACTTCTGCTGCGGTACGGGGCAGCGGACACACTGCAGAGGAGACAAGAGGATGAAACATGACAAATTAGAAAAAGATGAATCTCCAAAACACACTTACATTTCAAACTTTCTTGGTTCTTCTCTAGGTTTGAAAAGTACTGGATCAGACGAGGACTCAACTCAAAATGCCCGTAAGGTTTTTAGGGACAATGCCAACACTAATGCTCTTCTACACAGACTAAAAAAAAGGATGTTGATGTGTGTACTTATGTCCCCCAGCGCTGGTTATAGTTTAAACTTTCTGTTCCCCTGGATGCGAGCAGGCTGGCAGCGTCTCTGTGGGAGGTTCAGCACATTAAGATCTAATAAATGTATCCGACAGGGATTAGTCTCTTTGAAGAACAGGCTGCAGCCCACTCTCTTTCTCTCTCTCTCTTCCTCTCTCTCTTTCTAATCAGCAGGAAAAATCTATTCATCAGCACACAACATCCTGGTTCCTGATATTTTCCTGCTGAACTTGCCTGAGGAGTCTATTTTTAGATCCATTTCGATTACACAGATTGGAGGGATGTTTAATATTAATAGGAGCAGAATAGTTCTAAAGGGGTTGTGTTAATCCTGAAGAACAATGAATGCATCACAGGTTTTCCTGAATGTGCATGAGTCATGTAACAGCACACACAGAAAGGTTTCATATGTCTCGAAGATGATGGAGGAAATCAGGAGGCAAATGTGACTGAAGCACAACGAGAATCAAAGATTGAGGAATGGGAGAGTCCCCGACAGGATTAGAAAGGTTATCACGCTAATAGTTGTAACCAAAGGAAACACGGCCAACAAAGCAGCTGCCTGCAACCTGAAACCACCTGCTGTGTGTGTGTGTGTGTGTGTGTGTGTGTGTGGGGCGTCTCCTTACCTGTTGTTATTCACGAGTGGCTCAGAGAGTGCACGGCAGTAAGATGAAGGGAACCAGCCCCTCCTGTGAGACACAAAGAAAGAGAGAGAGAGAGAGAGGCAAAGTTAGGGGTGATTACATCTGTGATTAATCATACTGCCAGCCTCCCCGTCGGCTCCCACTGCGCACACACATCGAAAAACCTCTGGATAGAAACAGAAGGAATAAAAGACACCCTTCATGCTCCTCAGACGGTCCCACTTCCTGAGTTGGGGTGTGTTCACCAGTTTTCAGTCATGTGGAAACAAAACATATATATTTGACTGTTTTACCTTTTCTTTTAAAGTTTTTATTTCTGCGCATTTTTAAGCCTTTGTTTGATACGACAGTGGATAGAGTGAGAAATCAGGACAGAGAGTGGGGGAATGACATGCTGGAAAGGAGCCAGGGGCTGGACTCCGAACCCGGCCGCCCCCCTTTTAAGGACCACCTGTATAGCCTCTCGCACATGAGGCGCAACATAAAGACACCTCCACCCCCACTACTGGTTACGGCCTTAGCCAAAAGCTGCAAAAAGCATATTCATGATACATGAATTAAGACAAACATTTTGACCATAACTCTAACGTTGACATCAATATAAAAAATCACATCACTTCTGTCAACGTGGAGAGTTGGGTATAAGTCTGCACAATTAGAGAGGATTTTGCAATGAGTGGTCATATTTTGATAACAACATGGAGTGTGGTATAACGTAAAGTAAAGCATGCATTTTATAATATTTACACTGAGAACACTTGTTTGGTTCCAACAGGGATTTTACTGCTGACCAATGGAGAGGTTAGCTTGACGTTAATAACAATCCTGTTCATCGACGACCCTCTGAAAGCCATGACTGTTCACTTTCCTGTACAGGAACAATGAACTCTTAACACTCCTGCATGAATAATAAGACTCTGCAATCCAGCTGATGTCAGAAAAGAGAGCATGCTATAACGATGTTATTGTTTGTTAAACGTTGAGTGGTTTCATTTATGACCAGCTTGTTTTCCCTCACAGTGATTCACATGTATCTTTGCCCTGCAGATATTCATCCCTCTGTCCATCAACAGCGTGTGTGGGCGTCATGGCGTCAGGCCGGGTGCTGCCAGGCATGTTGTTGGGGAAACATAGTCAAAGCTGATTTATGACAAACAGAAAAACTAAGTGTGAGACCCGAATGCATCGAAGCCAGCCCTCCTGCAGGACGCAGTGTCTATCTTCTTAGAAGCTGTGCTTTGAACATGATGATTTACACTTTTTAAGCCTGCAGGTACTTCGGCTCGCCTCGCTCTCAGTGGCCAGGCAGCGAGAACAAAGTTTTAGTTCGCGGCAGCCTCACTTTTAAAAACAACTCTGAAATGATGGCCACCTGCCCTTGATCGGTGTTTTCTTTCTGCCAGGTGATTTCCCTTGATAGTGACAAAGATCAAACATGATAAATGATTAAAATTCAAAAAACACACTTCCAAGGGCTTCGGATCAAATCGCTGTTTAAAAAAAGTCAGACATCAGAGACCCGGGGAGAGCCTCAGCTCTGGTGGTGTCTGTCTGTCAGTGTGGGAGAGCAGGTGGTGCTCTCTCTCTCTCTCCTCTCTCTCTCCCCCCTTCAGTCCACTATCATACATCCCACCCTCAGGCCATACTTTACTTTGATTTCTGTATCAGTGAGTGTTCCAGCTCTGGCAGCACTCTCGTGTGTGTGTGTGTGTGTGTGTGTGTGTGTGTGTGTGTGTGTGTGTGTGTGTGTGTGTGTGTGTGTGTGTGTGTGTGTGTGTGTGTGTGTGTACATGGTCAGCATGACAATCAGGCAAGGGGCCATCTGTCCAGTAATGAACAAGCAGAAACTCTCTGTCAATCACCTGAACGATGGGAAGACGGCTGAATGACTTTAACATTTTAGAACTCCACATTATAAATATTAAATGAGTCCAACATTTTCTTATTTCCATCTTCTTTAAAGGCTTCTGCACAATGAAAGTTAATAATCATTATAATTGAAAAGATATCAAAACTGTGTCATAAATTACAAATTAAATAAGACTTCAATTGATTCTCTAAATATACAGAAATATTGATAAAATCATTCATGAATGCAGAAAAATTCCAGAAGTTGTTTTAAAGACTTTTTCAGTAGTTTTTATGAGCAGAGTGCAAAAAGTTATATAGTTTATCTGCAATTAAAATATGATGCCTATGATGTTGCTCTCTGTGGGGATCTTGGATCACCTCTTAGTCGTTAAATCTGTAGAACTGAGAGGCTACAGTAAGTATTTTTCTTAATTTATTATTGAGGTAGTATTCTTACAGTGGTTTTCACCAAAATGCACCAGGAGCGATTCCACTTACTTTCCGTTCTTCTCCATTTCTCCGTACATCCAGCCGTCTCTCTCGTCGGGGATCAGCAGGGTGATGACGTCGCCCTCGTCGAAGCTGAGCAGCGTGGAGTTGTTGCCGGCAGTGTGGGGGAAGATGGTTCGCACACGCGGCCTCTTCACAATATTGTTGAGGCCCGTAGCGACAGACACGGACCTGGGCAGGCTGTTGTCCTCGCTGTCTGCGTGGTCTGAAGGAAAACAAGAAAAAACAAATGAAGGATGAAGAGTGTAGAGATAAACAATAACAATGCCATGAATCAATAGCTAGCATGCTAGCAGTCTAAAGCTTCAAGCCACAATGGCACAGAGGATAGTGCAGAGTGAGGGTCATCTCATGCTGAAATACCTGTGTGATTGTTGCTGATGGTGTTTACAGCGGACGTCTTGTTCTCCTGGATGAACATGTTGGCCAGAGGACTGGTCTGAGCCTTCAGAGGGGGGGCTGGGGGAGTGGACATGTTCTGCAACAAAAACAGTCATTATAATGTTAGCAAATGTTCACACTCCCCTGAACTTTTCAACATCTTTCAGGGTTGCAGCCTCAATTGACATTTATTTGAACTATTTGTAGATTAACTATAAAACAAACAAAAGTTCAAAAAGCAGAAATCTGTTTGCTGCACGTGTTAACATGAATACAACCTCATGTTGAAGGTCAGTGTTTCATAGAAAAGCATTCAAAGCTTTTCTTGATAAAGAATTTAAATTCCATGTTAAACACAAAAAGATCAAAATGTGGACAATTTAGTGTTAGTCTACAACATATAACCCAATTAAAATCTGTTTTTATTTGTATGTTTTATACGAAAACAAATTAAAAGTTCAAGTTCAAAGTTCATCAAAAGCTAAAAAGTAACCTATAAAGCATATTTAGCGAGATGCAAACCTACTAAAAACCCTGCATGAGTCATTTCAACCTCTTGAGCGATATCATGCTTAATACATTTAAACCCAGAAACCGGGGGGGGGGGGGGGGGGAGAGAGAGAGAGAGAGAGAGAGAGAGAGAGAGAGAGAGAGAGAAACGACATGCAGGAAAGGGGCCACAGGTCGGATCCGATCCCAGGCCGCCTGCCTGGAGGACTTAAGCCTCTGCACCACTGCTAGGTTACCAGCACCCCATTAGGTATCGATAAGATTGCTATTCTCTTTCCATTAATATGCACACGTCCACATCAGGGTGCTCTGAAATCGAGTCTTCAGGGGGAACATGTGGTGCAATTCATTATCTCATAAATAAATAAACTTATCAAGACTGTGTTTCAGCCTTTAAAACACATTTTGCAACATATCGAGTAAAAGCATGCATCTCAATTTGTCCCTTCATCCAACCCATCGTACCACACTGTGCCGGGACGGGGAGGGGGAGGGCAGAGGGGTGATGGTGATGGGCGCTCGCAGTCCTTCGATCATGGACAGGATGCTGTCGGGCATGTCAGTGGCGTCGTTGCACTGGTCCTGCCAGCTGCTCAGCTTTGAAGTCAGAATGTCTCTGGCCTGTCCAGAGGGCACGGGAAACAAGACGAGATATTTAAAGAACACACATGTAATCAGAAGAAAGAGAGAACATAAACATGCTGAAATAAAATGTTCCTGCTGGTGTTTTAATTAGATTTAAAGATGGTGAAGGTTTTCAATGTGAGGTACAAAGTCATGTGTTTCACGTCCGAGCACTGCTGTCAATGTTTGGATTTCTCCACCGTCTCCACCACACTGCCTGTAGCTTCTAAAGTCAAGACAAAGCAAAACCTTCTCCTTGATTGTTACATGAGGAGTGACAGGAGTGTGTTGTACCTTGTCGTGGAAGGAGGCGAACTGGTAGGAGTACAAGCAGTGTTTGTCCACCAGGAAACAGAAACGTCTCTTCTCCTCCAGCAGAGCCTCCTTACAGCCGTCAGCGATGAACAACTGCATGTCCATCTGACGGCTCGTCAATGTCTCCAGGCACTGAAAGCAAACACACACAGGAGCAGACCATTGTTACTATCCGCTGCCTCACAAAGTCTCAAATGTATCATTGTGTCTTATCTGCTCGGACACATGCTTTGCAGCCATCTCGTCCCTTTACCTTTCAGATCTGTACACAAACCTAACAAGAGTGAACACTATGGAAGGAGCATGTTTCCTTTCTAAATATTCTAATCTCTCTCTTGCAGGGTCAGAGGTATCATTAGGAGAGTTAACTGTGTTGACAGATTCAGCGTTCAGTTTAAAGGAAAAGAGCAACAAAAGGAGGAGGGACCAGCCACTTTGGGGAGGGGAGGTCTTATCTATACAGACAGACCAGGATCATAAAGAGGTCAGAGGTCATCTGGTGTGTTTGTGTGTGTCATTGAGAATGTGTGTGTGTTAAAGTGTAAAAAGTACACTTCAATCTATTAATCTTCGAAGTGGATCATTCATTCATCGTCAAACCTTTTTGTTTTCATAATCATGAAGTGTGTTTCCACTGCAGGAACTTTGCCCAGGAACTAGGGACTTTTGTGGTGTAACAAGTGGGTTTCCACTACTAGAACCAGGGTCTAAAAGGACATTATTTTAGCCATTGAAAGGTTCTTGGTCTTTGGCATTAGTACGGGGACTTTGGAAACTATTTCACCCATCAGCAGAAGTATTTCAATTATCTAATTGGAGGCTTAAAATTTGAAAATAAACTCATATTCAGTTGTGCTTCTGAGTAAATGTAGACATGAGTGTAATATACTGAGAAAGCTGTTTCAGATTATCAAGAATTCATCATATAATATATATATATATATATATATATATATATATATATCACAGTTTCACACTGACACCAATGATGACATTAAGCCATCAGAACCACACCCATCAACAAAAAAAAAAAAAAAATGGGAGTAAGAGAACTTCTTTTGTCCCTGACTTTCAGTCAAAGCTTCATGTGAGATCCATGTCGTCATCCTCATCCAGCGGGCTGGGATTGGCACGCCTGTAACGACTGTTAACTCGAAGGCACACACCCTCTCTGTTCAGCTTGAACAACTGCTCTCCTCAAATGGCCCAGGGCTCGATTCATCACTAAACTATGTCGGCTTAATTGCATTTAGGTACAAAAAGTTCACACTCTCGTCTTCTGAGGGAAGCCCAGACAAACGTCCTCGACATTAAGTCTCAGATTGCAGGCTAATTAAACCGCATTCATTGGGAGGGCAACATTAAGGGCACAATGTAAAGGCCTTTAAACCCACAAACCCAATATGTCTGAATAAAAGCAGCTTGAGAGGATCTGTCATAACTTAAAGTAAGTGCCGTCAGTAAACCAATGGGAGGCTACAATCCATGCTCATCCATGCAGTGAGCTATCTTTATTGTTCTTATATGTCTATGTTTCTGTACACTGTGGTAAACATAAAAAGGTTGGACTGAGTAGAATCCAGTCATAAAATCTAAGTGACTCTCAGCAGATGTGATATCAACTTTGTCCACACAGTCATGTCTGTCTGTCTGTCTGTCTGTCGTTCTCTCTAATACCAGGAAGTCCTCACATGAACCCGTCCATTTATAGCTCATGAGAGCTTGATAACAGGCTTACCTTTGTGTCAACAGATGAAGCAGATGCAAAGTTCTGCAGCAAACATGCAACACACTGCTTCTTCATTACTGCCCCGTCGCTCTCGCTTTACAGTACTGTGTCTTTAATCTTAATCCTCTATTTTTCCAGTTACCGCACTGCCACAGGTGTTTGCATTTACCTGGGACATCCCGCCATCTTACCCTGCTGCTGTAAGGAGCGCCTCTCCTGCAGCTTCATCAACTTGAGAGGCACGTTTAAAGAACGTAATGGATCACAACAAAGTCAGATTAGGTTTGACAGACCTAGATGACATGATGAAAACTTTGAGTCATTGAGAACTAATCTGAGGTAAACATCTGATTTTTACACAACCACCATGTACGTATATGTCTCTGTTGGACGCATGGAAAGTCATCAATATGCAGTAACTTGTTTGCAGTCAGATAAGCCACGCCCCTTATTATGCATTACACTCATTCTTCATAAAATCAAAACCTACAGTAAATGCGAAGTAAGACATGAGCTATTCATACTATGTTGCTTTATGTACAGGGCTGTAAACATGTTTACTGCTGATGTAAAAACAGGCATTTATGAACGGGACTCTTTTGAAGCCAGCCTCAAGTGGACACTCAAGGAACTTCAGTTTTTTTTTGCACTTCTGCATCGACTTCATCTTTCAACACAGCAGGTTTCCGCTTGATCCCGAATTATAAAACATTCTGTAAAGTGAGCATCAAGACGAGCTCTGTACAACATTTGTAAACCATCCCTCAGGTGTTTGATCACGCTGTTGTTCTGGTGCTGTTTGAGAAACCTTAACGACGCAAAACAATCTGATAAATTGCATTTCTTTTCATCAACAAGTCAAATAAGTGTTTGCATGTTTTTTCTTTTAAAAGAGTGTTTACATTCATTTCTGCGGGATGAAACAGAAAAAGTCAAACATAAAACTGATAAAAATGTGTGTGAGTATTTCTTTCTCCCTGCATATGCACAGCTTTAATCATGAACCTGTACTGATTTATGTATCTATCATAAGCTGCCTCAGATATATCTGTCACCTTTGTTAGTTAAAATAGTTAAGAAGTACTAAGGGTTCATTTAAACTATTAACCAGGTGATTACATCCTTCAAAGAACTTTCATAGAAGTGGTGGAATAATTTCTACTGAGAAATGGATGAGGGAGAAAACGTCGAGTTGAAATGCTATTTCTTCATACACACACACACACACACACACACACACACACACACACTCACTCACTCACAGACACAGCCTACACGGACACACACCCCATCTTAATCACTTTGAATCTATCAACACTGCAGCGGGCTTGTTGCCATGGACAACTACGGACAACATATGTTTATCTTAAGAACTACAGGCAAGAAAGAGCGAGGGATGGCAACAAGCTACGCTACGCACGCACGCACGCACGCACGCACGCACGCACGCACGCACGCACGCACGCACGCACGCACGCACACACTTTCCTAACTGACATTTCAAAGCCTCCATTCTTATCTCAGTCTTTTATTTTCTATTGTTATGCATTTGTGTTCATACAGTAGAGCTTGGAGCTCAATTGTATTTTCTTGGAGAGTCACTGAATCAATTAGTTTACAGTTTTAACAACAGAAAAATATATATTTTTTCTGCTTTTTGACAGATGTCTGTCATTCTAAGAGCTGTCCTAAAAATAAGATAAGTGAGCAAAAACTCTGACTCATGGCTGGGTGACGGGCGACGGATGACGTAGAAGTGGAAACAAAAGAAGGTGGAGAAGGGATGGAGAGACTGTCGGGAAAGGAGTGCAGAGGAATGGGGAAGCTCATAAAAATATAACCTAGATGAGACGAGGAAGTTAGATTGCTTTTCAAGCATTGCAAAAAATGCTTGAAAAGGTGCTATGTTACACTAAATTCTTACAGTTTGTTTTATGTTAAACTATAATGACATTTCCGCTGAAAAGTTAACTTGTAAGACTGAACATAACTTTTTTCATCGATTCATCATCTAACTTAACTGATAAACTAGACTCAGGTACAAGGTGTCATTTATAAAAAACAGGCCTTCATATAACTCTCACTCTCAGTCAAGTGTTCAAGTTTATTTTGTTTTAAATATTTCTTAAAATGTTTTTTTGATTTTGTGAACGTGTGTGATTTTGCTCTCTGACTGTGTTTGTTGTCTATGACGCTTTGTGACAGAGTGATTTTAAAGGTTCTTCATAAATAAAGTTGTATTATATATTCACATGTTCAAATGACGAGATGTCATGCTTTACGATGACGTGAAAAAATCCTAAATTCTAACATTATAGCACTGAAACTAACAAATGTTGAGCTTTTCTTTTAGAAATTATGGTTTGAATAAGGGCATCTCGGATGTACTCGGGAAGTGACCAGCCACCTCTCCAGCTACCAGAACTTCCATATGATCCAGCTCTTTACACTTCATAAAAACTGGGTTAAGTCAGTTTCTGTCAGCACTTTTTCCATTCAGTAGGACAGTGTATGTAGAAGGTGAAACCTGCAATACGCCAACTTTAGTGATGTATTGTGATGTACTCCTGTTCTTTACCTCAGTCAGCCTATGGGAGGGGCTGAGCGTGGTGACCGAATACACAAACCCTTTAATACTCACAGTGACACACACACACACACCCAGGTGAACAAGCTCTCTGACTGGATGGATGATAGAGAGGGTTATGTAAATCTGAGGCTGCTGCTGTGCTCTTATAGAAACAGCTTTGAGATTGAACTCTTCTTCTTCTGCTGTCGTTCTAGTCACTGTGAGGGTGTGTCCGTGTGTGTGTGTGTGTGTGGTAACAACTTCAACTAACAGTAACAACACAATGTTCCACAGTGATTCATCGTTCACACTCAGTTAAACAACTTAAAAGATACAGTTACTTTCTGAAAAAGAGCATGAATAATGCTTTATACAAACAGACTGAACTGCGAGGAGAATGTATATCAATCACATCAGAGGTGTCTTTTTAGAGGCTTGTGTAAAATTATTATCATGTACGGAGGGGGGGCCAACATAAACTCAAAACTACAAAAACAGCTGAACTTTGTGAAGCTACCATCACACTTAACATTTCATCAAACCCATGCATGGATGTGAAGTTTTAAAGGAATGTCAGACAGGAAAGGAAGTAAGACCGCTCAAAGCCTGAGTGACGTCACCCAATGGTTACTGCAGGGGGCTTTGGAAGCCCATTGATGGGGGTCGCCATACTGGAAAAACGCTCTCCCCCTAACTTTCAGTCAACCTAACACCAGGCTAAGAGCCAAAGCTGTTTATTTATGTTTAAAAAAACAGGCATTTTTGAATGGTTGTGTATGTGGCTTCTGCAGCCAGCCTCAAGTGGACACTCGGTGAACTGCAGTTTTTTTTTTTTTTATCACTTCAGCATTAGCTCCGTTGTTTTTGAAATCGGAGGTTGCAGCTTGCATTTTTTTTTCCTACTCGTCCCTTCTCTGCTTCTTCTGCACACATGTCTGTTTATATGTAAATTGCTGCAGTCAAATTCCTTGAATGTGTACACATACCTGGAAAAATAGAGCTTATACTGATTAGAGTAGAAACAAATGCTTCTTCTCCTGTTTTGCTATGTTTGGAGTGGGAGCAGCACATTTTTCTGAGATGCAAGCAGAAACTGAGCTGCTGTTTATATCACGATGCTCTTCTGTTGTTGTTGTTGTTGTTTTGTTGGCGTGTGTGTGTGTCTTCATTTATCAGTGTGTATCAGTAGGAGCTATGCTGGTGCAGGAGAGGCCTGCATGTGGGTGTCATGTGTGGCAAAACAACCAACATGGATGCGGTCCTGCATGAGCACACAGAGATGACACCCTATACATCGGAAATGAATACTGTTACACAGCCTTTGACATGGTGTGTGTCAGGTGTCAAGGGTTCTTAATGTGTGTGTAATTATGTCCATGCACAAATGAGTGTGTGTGTGTGTGTGTGTGTCACGTGTCTGCAGGCGTGCTCACCTCGCTCTCCTTGTTCTCGTACTTGTTGGCGTTCTTGCCCTGGCTCTTCCTCCTCAGCTTCTTCAGGTCTGACTGCGACTTCTCCAGTGAGTCCTGCTTCATCTTGTGCTCCATCTGATATCTCTTAAAGGTGGCCTGCAGCAGAGGACAGATCCACGTCAGTGCTGGAGCATCAACATGACATCAGTGGCCATGTTGGCTAACTTCTACTAAAAGTGAGTTTGCACTTAAGGATGTCTTAGAACAGGAGAAACTGTAATGTCCCCTGAGGGAAAGCTTTTAAATGCTCATTTGTATCAACTCAGTGAAACATAATCCACCCATCTTATTCCATGCTCGAGTTTGGATGCTTTAAATATCCAGTGGACAGAACAAAAACCTTCAAATGAAAAATTACAAATCCCAACAGCAAGTACATGCCAGCTTTAATGGAAGGCTAGATTTCTAAGGTTATTGTAACTGCATTATTTACAACCTTTATTAATTTTTTATGTATAAAATGTGATATCCTAGAGTAGCCTTTGCTGCATCTACAGTTTGCAGAAGCTGCATTAGAATTTGAAAATAAGACAATAACAACTGAATCATGATATTAAATCAGATCAAATGTAACATTTTATTGAAATAACGCTCATATCCAGCCACCTCTGTGCAGATGTTTGCACGTGTAACACAACAAGACGAAGCATTATCTGTTACAGATTCTGATTTTAAAAAGGAAAACGGAAAATGCTCGGTGTTATAGTTTGCATTGCAATGCAGCTTGAAACATGTTTTCTTCTGTATGTTGCTGTAGCAACAACTTGCACATGGACATAAATTAATCACCATGACAACAGACATGATGGTAGAAAATGATAGCATTGAGTTGCTGCACAGAATAATGTCATGCTGTTGATAAAGCCCTCGTGTAACTGAGTTATCACCAAACTCTTCATGATCACAGTTCTTGATCATGAAGAGTTTTACACTGAGGCCTTTTGAACACAGACTTGATTATAGGAGCTTCCTGAACATTCAGTGCAGCCAATAAAAGAAGCATTTCCATCAGAGGAACAGAATCAATGTGCAGGGGACTTTACAAGGTTCTCCATCACAGGGACTGAGGTCTGAATAAAGTTACAGGAGCTTTATTTTTCACTCCAAAAGGACATGACTACAGGGGTCACTACAAGGTTCTGAGAGTGTACTGATTTTAGGGATGGTGCATGCAGTATTTATCATAAGTCAAGTTTTCACATCCTTCACAACTCCCGCACACATCAGAAGCTAAATACGCAGAATCCCTCTTTGTGTTTAGATTTTGGTGGAACAAACAATAACTTGAGGATCCTTTGAATGCCTTGAAAAGAAGCTTGTGTGTTTGATACACTGATAAAAAAAAACATGAAACAGACAAAACATATTTTATAAAGCAGTGTGTGTTCTCCTGACACACAGAAAGTACTCACTGTCATGTATTTGACATCCATGTCAGTCTTTTTCTCCAGCTCGGCTATTATCTCTCTGTGAAACCTTTTAAACTTCAGGAGAGGAGGAGCAGGAGAGGGGAAGAAAACAGAGTGGTGATTAGAAACATGAGGGGATGATGGGAGTGCAACAGTTTGTCCGTTAGCTGTAAGCGTCTCAAAGAAAGAAGTGGAGAGTGATCGAGTCGAGTGTATGGGTGCGTGTGTGCGGAGGCGACATCCAAGGCCGAGGCAGCGCTTATGAATGAGTCAGACACAAAGCGTGGGAATGCCCGCAGCTTTCTCTCTTTCCGTCTCCCGTCCTCTCTGCTCTCTCTCATCAGAGCCGATGTGTCGAAGTGCTCCCTTCAGTGCAGCGTTTAAGCGATGGAGCTCGAGACCCCATATGGGGAGGGGAAGTGAATTAGAAGACCCCGAAACTGAACACACACACACACACACACACACACACACACACACACACACACACTACATAGAGCTTCTCAAACACACACCCTCACCTAAGTCCACATGGGTTTTCTTCCATCTTCTTCTGTGACCTGAACTGATGCTGTGACTCAAACGTTCACAATCATCCCACTCACAGAGACTGTTAGCAACAAAGCCCCAGAGGAAAAGTGCTTTAAGACCCCCAAAGAAAGACTTGAAGATGCAACTTTCAAACTCAAACTCTTGTTGTTTTGTCTGGAGTCTTACAGAGGGGCAAGGGGTGCATTTAAAAATCACATTTTACCAACTGTTGCCCTTTTATAAATGTGATAAGTAGGGACAGAAAGAATGTGCGTCCGATCAGACTTAAAGCTGTTTGCACTTCCTGATGTTGTTTCCTCTTTTTTTAGATCCTTGCTTGTGTTGTTCTTTCTCTCACATGTACGGCACTTTGAATAAAAGCGTCTGCTAAGTGCATGTAGGATTTTAAGATGACATCCTGGGATCAGGAAACGTCTTGAGTCATTTAACAGACTGAATAGGTTTGAAAAAGACAGCACAACTATTAACCACTCGATCCGAGGGCAGGGATGTAATAATAGTGTGTGTTTGCATAAAAAACTAGACAAATGTCTGCCTTTACATTAAAAGGAGACAATGAAGTATATTCCAGTCTATTCTTACACCAAGTGAATCTTTGAAGAGATGGACAGATTTCAGAGGATTTGCAGGGCTCGTTGTACCCATGGTTTGGGAGATGAGTGTCATATTTTGTTTAAAGGCTTTATATGTATATTTTTTGATCCAGCAGATGTCGCCCTTGAGCACCAGCATGAAACCAAAACAACTCGCGCTGCATTGTTGTGTTAGCATGCTAATGCTAGTGATCTTTAGTATGCTCGTATCTTCACACTGCATGTAAATTTACCTGAAATGAGCGTGATCTAGAAACACAGTTAAAGAGCCCATATTCTGCCCTTTTTGGGGTTCGTATATTTAATCTATGTACCTACTTTTGTACGTTCACAATAGATAAAGTTTAGAAAAAAGTGTCTGTTTTCATGTACTGCTCCTCCTTGCTCCCTCTACGCTCTGAGTCCGTCAGCTACGCTCTGTTGAGCCCACACTGTTAGACCCCACGTGGGCCAAGTCTGCTCTGATTGGTCTGCCGATCCGCTCTGTCGTTATTGGTCAGTTGCTCAGCACGCTTCTCGGAAATTTCAACATGAGCTGCAGGGCTTGCCACAACGAGCCAATGGGCTTAGATCAGTGATCTCACACTGACAATGACGCTGCACTGACAAATTTTTATCGAGGGGGCTAAAACCGAGCGTTACATGCAGCTAATGCTACAGCCAACAGGAGGACGAAGGAGAAGCCGCGTTTCCGCGGACTTTGAATTTTTGCAAATAGATGTGCCTAAACATGCACAGGACACTTGGAAAACACACTAAAGAGCATATAAAACCAGAAAATCATAATATGGGACCTTTAAGCAGTGAGTACAGTATGTTATTCTTCTTTTCTCTAGTCCCTCAATTAAACAACTTTTATACGCGAGGGGAGGAGTCGGCTGGCTGGCCCAACGATGTAAACAAACTGAAGATAGGACTCGGAAAACTCGGAAAACATCACAGACAGTGGGACTCGGGTGTTACACCCATTGTAGACAGTCATGACTCACATATAAAGCCTTTAAATGTAAGAATGTAAGATTCTGTTATGGACTATGGTTTTTGTTTGAAGCATCATGTAAGCTGCTCCTCAATGTTTGAACTTATTATTTCACACTCAGAGAGGCGAACAGTTTTCAGTAACCTCCGTTTCTTTTTTGAAGAAGTGAGTTTGTTGTAAAGAGCCACGCCTCGTGTTTATGAATGTTTGAGTTTGTTTATGCTCCATGCTTTGTGCTACTGGTCTTAAATCACATAAATAAAACAAAGATGATGATGAGATTGTACTGTGGTGTAAGCATCCTGCAGCCTTGATTACTCTAAATGTATTAACAGCTCCAGCTGGTGTTTTCCCCGGGCACGTCAAGACCTGTCTTCTGTTCTCATCGAGGAAACTAACCAACAGGTGCTCCTGCAGCCTCAACCTGTTGTTCTCCCCTCCTCTACACGCGATTCTTATTTGTGAAGATACTGTAGTTGATGGTGAGGAGGAGGAGGAGGGAGAGAGAGAGAGAGAGAGAGAGAGAGAGAGAGAGAGAGAGAGAGAGAGAGAGAGAGAGAGCTGCAGGCTGAGTGTGTGTGCCTCTAAACGGTGTTTAGTGAATTGAGGCTTGGCGTGCGGTTGTCGTGAAAAACAGTGAACAACAGGTTTGGAGGGTGATGCGGGGCAATTAGGAGAGCAGTTATGTTGCATAATGATATTCTGGAAGCGTGTAACGTAAGCACACAAACACATGTAGCACTCACATTTTCCTCCAGCTCCAGATGAACCATCCTGTGGACCTCGGAGATTTCCATCAGCACGACACCTGAAACACAACACAAGAGAAGAAAAGAGAGCGAATCAATGTAAAGGTGAGGATCAGTATATCATGCAACAGTTTCAACGTGTGAGTCAACAATGATACGGTGTGTACTGTATACAAAGAACTCAAATCCATCAGATGTCAGCAACTACAGATTTGTGTTACAAAGGATTTCCTTCGCTGGGATGAAAGGAAAAGCAAACACGTGTGCCAGGACCGGAAAAACCGGACCACCTGCCGCTCGGGAAGTAATAAAAAAAAAAGCTTTTATGGCAGGCAGCCACAAGTTATAACCTGCTGTCTCTAACTGCCAAAAAAAACAATAAAATTAGGATTATGTTGCATGGTGACTACATGGGAAACTGGAATTAATTTCCTATTGACCTTCCTGCTAAAGAACACGGCACAGATATCAGAACTCAACAAAACTGATCCAGACTGATCCTTCAGGACGACTCGTGTGTGTTGTGTTTGTTTGCAGCACAATCAAGGCTACAGCTGTGGTGGCTGTAGCCTCGATTGTGCTGCAAACAAACGATAAAAGGCCTCTGCAGGAGTCAGTGTTTATGTAGTAACACTTCTATGAATGTTTGGCTTCCCCCCAAACAAACATCGTTATTTACACCCCGACGACTGGTGGACATGAAAGAACAATGTGTGTTTTCGCAACAAACCGTGAGAGGGCCGACCAATGACAGACAGAAGATGGAGACTGAATGAATTGCAGGAAGTAGAAGAAGAAAGAATGATGGAGAAAGAGCAAAAACTACAGCAGCTGAACTCTGGCTGGAGTTTCATCAGAGAATTGGCCAATCTGGGAATAAACTCCTGGAAGATATTTCTTCACAAATGCGTCTTATAACACACAGAGAATAGAGCATGTCGCAATAATAGAGTAAAATTGAATTATTTCAGTATATCTTCTTCTCTTAAAAACAGCTAAGTAGACAGTTGTTTCAGAGACACGCTTAAATAAAAAGCAGTTTAAAGTTCATGTGTGCAGCATTAAAGTAGAATCAAGGACAGATAGAAATGTTTGAGTGGACCTGGGATCATGTGTTGTTGGATGCAGAAACTCAACACTAACACTGAACATTTCTTTCCCACACTGAGCTTTTCCCATGTGTATTTATTTTCCATGCACAGTGAGTAAATAAGGAAACATTCCTCAGGAGCCAGCACATACAGCTGCTCTGTACACACCGGGGTTGTTAGCAGTGATGCAACCTCGAGAAAAAAAACACACAGATTTCTTCCGGCCCTGCAGACGAAGTGGGATATTTTATTTTGTCTGTTAAACATTCAGCGACCTGGACTAACACTGAGGGGAGGTGTTAGCTCGGTACATTAACGAGACTTCAGACATTTAATATTTCCTGAGTTTTGAAGTTTTAGTTGCTGCAGACGAGTGACACACCAGACCAACTGATACAGAAAAGAATCAAAGATATCTGCCAACCAATGGGACAATTTGATGATTTCCTCATCAGGGCAGTGATGAATGTGTAAAAAATGTGTGACTGCATAACTCCCTGACAGATGTTCAATGAGCAGCCAGTCTGATGTATGACCCTGTACATTCATCAGCATGTAAACAGAGCCTCTCCCTGCTCTGTCTCCAACACCTTTTACCGGCACACCTTCCCTAATGGGGGAGACTCGCTCTTTGACTCTTTGAGCACTTCAAACAGCTCGGCAGAGAAAGGACGAAAGATCATCTGAGTAAAAGAGAAAGAAAAGACGGAGGAGAGGTGGGAAAGACAGGGACGAACATGGTGGAGAAAAAAATGTCTTAACAAAGTGAGTGACACATCTGACTTAAAGTCTCCTTATCTACAATCAAAACAATGTCTTCTGACAACAGTCAGCAGGTATAATGTAGAGCCAAATACCTGACTTTGAGGACATAAATAATTATCATGAAATAGCTGAATATCAATGTAAATGTGTCTTTTTATCTTGTGCATACAAAAAGTCTGAGCTAGCATAAAGCTCCAGCAATCAACTGTCTCCTGCTTCCAGCCAGACCTCACTCATTTGTTTATTGTTGTCGCGGCCTTTGCAACACAGTTGCCGGGCAACAGGTGTTCTCTTTCGAGGCAAGGTGTGAGGGCAAAAGTGTGTCATGCAGAGGCAATGCACCGCCAATAGCTAACAAAAAAATGAAACGGAGATAAAGCCACACCACACAGACGGGCTGCTGTTTGTCCAGGATGGAGTCACGTCTGTCTGACTGTGAGATGTTAAAGGTTTGATAGAAGCTGCTCAAACACAAAGTGAAACACACTTCAGCCAGCTCAGGAGTTAACCCACAATTGTTAGATTCTTAAGATGATCCCGTTAACGACCGGTGTCGTGTTGGATACTGATGCCTGGTGACGGCTTTAATGACAGTTTGCATACCATGAGAGACGTGTCCTTTGACGATGATGATAATAAAAGATACATTCAGGTGCGCTCAGAAACGGGAGCTGCAGGAACAAAAACTAAGCAGGACAGACCGTTACAAGTTCAAGTAATTCTTCAGTTGCTATAATGACTGCTGTCATTAGAAGAAACACAAGAACATCATGATCTCTTTAAGTATCTGTGGGTGTCCATGTTTTTAGTTTCATCAACTGTTTCCCTGTGTGGTTTCACTTTCACTGTGTCACATGTCTTCATCTCTGGGCAGTGGTCAAATTCTGTGAAACTACACTAAACACCTGCAGAATGAGTATTCTGCTTTGTTATAAATGTCAGTGTGTCAGTTTGTGCTGTTGAACGACAACATCTACTGATTTCAATCAGTCACTTGAGTCTTACGAGCCTTCATTCTCAAGCTGCTTTGAGGTTTCCGTGGAGCAGAGATAAAGTACAACAGATAACGTTAAACAGAAAATACATAAAGTCTGGGAGTGACGTAACCTCAGCAGAATGTGCGCAAAAAAAAAGTAAGAAAGAAAAAAAAAATAAGAGCAACAACAACCTACTGTGAGCTGATTTTGACAGCAGCCCACAGTTCTTCCTGTGTGGTTTACCGTGGGCAAAATAATCCTGGCATCGCAGAGCGCCACCTGACACACCCTGCAAACATGCTGGGATTATGTAAAGTGGGACCGCTGCCATTTGAACGAACCAGGACCATCAAAGGACAGTGTGTGTGTGTGTGTGTGTGTGTGTGTGTGTGTGTGTGTGTGTGTGTGTGTGTGTGTGTGTGTGTGTGTCCATGAAGTGGCTGCAAAGCTATCGCTGCTGTTGAAGAATAACAAAACGCTGCATGTTTGCGGTTTGCCAGAACTATTCCAACATATTTTAGCAAACTGAATCAGTTACATGTCAAATCTCTGAACCCATCGACTATAATCGGAACGACTGTATGTGCTTCTAGGGGCGGTGGACAACTTCTAAGCAGCCATCGCTCGGCGTTAAAAGACTTCCAGCCGAGACTTCCTTTCTGTGCGCTGCATTGTTCACAGTCCAATTACCAACTTGAGAAGCGACCATGTGTTCAGATCACAAGAGAAGCATACAGACTGCTCCTCCTACACCAAAGCATGCTGATACGTGATTGGTCAGTACACTCTGACAACAAATGGAAATAAGAATCTGTAGGATCTGTACATACAGTTCCATGTAGTCCAAACTATTTGTGTTTTTGTTTTTTACATCTTGCACCTTAAGATCTTAATTCTTGTGATGTTTCAACCAGATAATGAAACAGCTCGGAAACCTGAGTGCTTGAATGAAACAACTGTTGATATTTGACCTCTGAGGAGGAGGAGGAGGAGAGACTAAAGGAATTAAAGAAAGAAGGTAGGAGGACGAGGTACACTGGTCCTTGAATGCCTCTCGAGAGTATCTGGTTTCTGGTCGGCTACACGTCAATGGAGCTCAGGTTTCTGACGGGGTAGCTTCACTACAACCACGAGAAGGAACAGGAGCAGGAGGAGAGAATGGAACCAGACAGTTTTCTAATTCTTTGTCCAAAACATTACGTTTCCAACCAGATGTTATGCCTCCATGTCCCTCTTTATAGGACGACTCCATATCAGTCTGGAGATCCTGATGGCACTTAGTTGCACAGGTCCGGCTTCTTACTGGGATGTGCACGTCGGACTCCAGTTACAATTCATTTAGGTTAACAGCCCCGCTTCATTAGACGAGATGACTAGAAGGGTGGTGTGTTTAATCGCCTCCTGCTTTACATAATCCCCCATAATGAGTCAGACTACACTGATCTGCCTCTCCCCTGTCTCCGTCTGTCTCTCTCTCTTTCGGGGATTAGTGGGAGCTGTCTGTCCACAGATCAGAGGTGAGTGTGACTCAGCTTTGACATTTTGACTTCACCCTACATAAAAACCGTTTCATAATGCTAATGGCACTCCTGCATCATGTCTACTGAGGGGGGATATTTTTCTCTGTTTATGTGAATATTAACACCCGGGATAATTAGTAAAGAGTTGAGGTTTAATTACTTTCGATGAACGCTGATAATCATCAACTTTGTTTGCATCCCTCCCTTCATTTCCTCTTCATTTCCCATCACAGGAAGCAAGCTGTCCTCATTCTTCATTAACTGCTCTAAAGATGCCCTCACACCACACAGCAGGAGATCACTCAAACATTTGAATGCATGTGAACTTTACTAACTGGAGAGAATCAGTCCAATAAATGTTCTTTCTTTAAGATTGTTGGATAATTGGGGTTAAAAAGAATAACAGTGTTGAGCCCTTGAGATCCCTAAAGAGACATGAGTGTGTATGAATGGGATTAGTTACTGATGATGGTTACTTTACATCGCAGCCTCTGTCATCAGTGTGTGAAAGGTTGTGAATGTGTAGGTATGGCCTGCGATGTAAAAGCACTTTGAGTAGTTAGAAGACTGGAAACTCAACTCCATTTACCATACACCATTGGGTAGGACAGGTCACATATTCACATTTTCAACCAGTTTGAATAAGTCTAAGAGCTCCCCAAAAACATGTGTGAAGTTTCTTGTTCTAAATCCACTCTGATCCTGTATTTGTTCATGCCTATAAACCCCTCTATTTCAGCCATGCTCAGAACAGGCTGTTTCTGTGTCTGTACCTTTAAATATGTAAATGAACTGTGTCTGACCACGCCCCCTCTCTGGAAGTGTTTGGGTGGCTCTGGCTTTCTTGCACCATGCCCTATTGTTTAAGGTGGAAAGATGGACTCAGACTCCTAGCTATGGAAGTGGACAGATGCCCATAATTCCTCCTTTTTGTTTGTCTCTGTTATCTTCTGGGGGCTGATTAATGACTTGATGTTTTGCTGTTATGTATATTGCACAGATCCAACAGCTTATAACCCCACTCTTCTTTACAATATGTTTTCATACCAAAACTTATCTGGCCGTTCATGTCAGCATAATTCACACCTTATTTTCTGAAGTCTCATTAGCTGCCAACACTCAAAGTCTTAGCAACAACAACAAAGACTGCTTCCAACATGCTGAACAGATGGAGGGATGGAGAGCCGACATGTGAATGCCAGTCACTTTTAAAATGTATTGTAGCTTAAATGAATTTAGGAGAAATCACAATGTTATTCAGGCTACGCTCTCTAAAATGAATCCTTCATTTTGTGTGGAGCGTCACTTGGGCTGTGCCAGGACTTGGATTGAACCACGTGGCACTTCCCATTGTGCTGCTGAATTTAATTAGCGGTTTTGCAGCTAATCAGCAGGGGAGCTGAGAGACGTGCAGCGGTTAAATCAAAGTGTGCCACCAGTGACGCCAGGTGAGGACGCCAAACTTCCTCAGGCTGCAAATGAGCCTGTGGGAGCCGGAGCGTGGGGAGTTAAAGAGAAACTAACAGAGAAGCAAACAAACGTTTCTCACACACACACACACACACACACACACACACACACACACACACACACACACACACACACACACACACACACACACACACACACACACACACACACACACACACACACACACACCACACACACACACACACACACACACACACACACACACAGTACTGTAGTACATCCATCACACGCATCACGCTGACATTAATCAGAGTATAACTGCCGCTGTGATCGAGCGGCAGGACTCCCTTGTTTGTCTACCTCGATGATAATGACAACATCCGACAGTGCACACTTGTTCTTCTTTTTTATTTACTTTCTGCTGTTTCAAAAGGTACAACAGCTTGTTCAAAATGCCGCAGTGATTCCTTCAACTGAAGCAGAAAAAAAACCCTACAAAAACAACACAAGCTTGTTTTCATTTTTTTGTGGAATACATTAAAGACTTTGAAAGACTCCTCTCTGTGTTCTGAATATCTGATTCTTGGAGACTTAACTCTGAACGCTGGAGAAAAATGAGACCAGACTTTTCCTGCAGGACTTTTTTTAAGTGGTTGTATTTGCATGTTTGAGTTTTAGATCGATGACTGGGGGTGTTTATGTTACTTTATCTTCCTTTTATGACTGTTTGTCTCATTGATAAATGTGTCAGTCTTATATTTGTATTGATCGAGAAGCGCTGCGAGCAAAACACGGCGATCAAAATTAAAGACATAATTTATGTAAAGGGCAGAAGAGAAAACTGACAAAGAGGATGGACAAGAAGGGCTCCAAAATAACTGATAAAGTGTTCTAGGAGACAAAGAAAGTCTCCTCAGTCTTCAGACCTCCCCCAGTTTATCCCAGTAGAGAGCCAGAGGACAAAGACACTTACCTAATTCTCTGGAGACTGGAGACACTGCAGCGTTCTCCCCAATCTTAGACATTGCATCAAAATACATCTTTCCTGCCAGGGTCATTGCTGGGAAAATGAAAATGAGTATTAATGTTTGTCATGAGAATTTGTGAAACAAACAGAGGCTAACAAATGTGTGCAAAATAAATGTGTCCAATATTTTTGTGCATTTTTCAGGACATTCGTTTCTTTAATGGTCACATATTCTCCTCCTCTTCAACCAGTGTAATTAAGTCTCAGAGCTCCTCAAAACATGTATGTGAAGTTTCTTGAACAGACTGTTTCTGTGTCTGTAGCTTTAAATATGTAAATGAGCTGTGTCTGACCACGCCCCTCTCTGGAAGGAGATGTGGCTCAGGCTTTCTCGCTTCATGCCCTATTGTTTACGGTGAGAAGGCAGACTCAGGGAAGAACAAACACCTAGCTGTGGGAGTGTCACCCACCTGGGGGAGGGGTTACTGCCCTTTGTGATGTCATGAAGGGAAAATCTCCAAATGGCCTGTTTGAGGCACACGTTTTCTGAAAAGTGGAGCAGGCAAAAGACGGAGAGGATGGACTTTTCTCATCATTGGGGGGGTTTGTAGACAGACTTGGGACACATATGTGTGTTATAAAGACATGGTGAAGTGTATTTTGAATAATATGTGACCTTTAAAATATCATTCAGAATAACCCAAAAAACATTTTTGTTGTTGGTTATAGGTGGCAATCCAGGCAAAACATGTGTGATGAAAAAAAATATTTTGTTGCCATGGAAACTCTCAGGAAGATGATCGGCTCTGTGTTGAAAGCCTCACAGCAACCCTTCAAAGATCTGGTTACAAGATTTCCTAAACTGACGGTCCCTCTTGTAATAAAACTACTCACCTGCTACGGATTTCTCGTAGTTTTTCCCCAGGTTGACCAGGTTCCTCAGCCCTGGGTTGAACTGCTCCATCACACTCTGGGTGGGTGGAAACAAAAAAGGAGGGGACAGTTAGTCATGCAGTGTTCATTCAAGCTTTGTAATTGTTGAAATTATGTCGAAACACAGGCGGGTTTCCAGTTGAGTGACTCAAATGTGAATGAGTGATATCACTTGGGAGTAAAGGTGAGGGAGGATGAGACGCTCTCAGTCCATGTCCTGGACTGTTTATTAACTGGAGCCCTGACCTTTAGGCACAAAGTCACCACATACCATTCTTGATCAATGTTACAGAGAGGCTGCATCATGTCTCAGATTTTATCACCCTGTAACAGATTGAGGTCTTAGCAAATGGAGAAAAAGGACACAACTGCAGCAGACCTCTTAAAGAAACAGCTTCGCCTGCAGTGATCAAAAACGTGTGACTCAGAGCATCAACAAAAGGTGAATGATAAGTAAACCGCTCCTGACAGTAAATGACACCTCTTAGCATTTCTGGAAAATATGCTCTCTGAAGTGCAATCTTTGCACAACACAAAGACAGCAGAGCGTGGCTGTAAGTGGCTGCCCTCCTCCTGTAAACATAATCGTATCATAGGGAGGTGATGGCTGCTGAAGGAGCCTGCTGCTGTATAATCTTACCACACAACACACAGGCAGCTAAATTATTAAACCTGGAGTCTTTTACCTGCGTTTCATCACACCAAGGAGCTGCAATGGGCTGTCCCGAGAGGGAGGGCAGACCTAGGAAAACTGTTCAAAAAGACTTAAAATGCCCTTTTTTGACCCCTCTAGACTCTTTATACAAACTCACCTTCACTTTGGTAAGAGCAAATTTGGCTACACAGTGTGTGGTAAGTTATATAACTCTCACTGAAGAGTGGCTTCCATCCACTGATGTTACTTTTATTGTTATTAATGGTCAGATTTCTCTTTTGGTAGCAATCAAATCCCATAGAAAACCTTCTTCATAGATGCAGCAGAGTACTCAAACAATTTTTAGGAAACTTTTCACACACAAAAAGTGACTGACTCCTTAATTTACTTATACAAAATACAATATTCCTCATTTAAGTGCTGAATTTGTTGCAACACCTTCATGAGTTAACGTCGCTCCTAGGGTGGGGCTTTTTTTTTCTTTAACACTAGTTATTGTCTCTCACAAATCCTCTAAGGATAAAGACAGGTGTTGAGTTTAAATATTTTGTGTTTGAATTCTGTGTTGAACTCAAAAAAAAGAAGTAACTAAAAGAAGAGGAAACACTCAGGGGTCCTTCAAAAAGGCTGAACTACCCTGGTGAAATGTTAGAAATGACTCACGTTTTAAAGTACTGACAGTTATTTATCATCTTTACAAAAGCCTTAAATTAACATATGTATCAGCCATGTTAGGTTTCCCTTGAGTGCAGCAGTTTTATCCATTCAAATAGCTTGAGTGCTTCACTAAACTAAAGCTAATTAAAAACTCCTGCAAGACAATAAGCAGGTCAAAACTATTTTTTTTTTTTCAGATATTGTGAAAAGTTGAACCACAGATCAGGGCAGCAGTGGGCACATGAATTCATGCAGGTATGTTGTTTTTTCCCCCCACCAGTCGTGGTCGCACCTGTTGTGTTCCCAGCAGCACCCACCTTGTAAGTACTTTCGGTGAGCTTGGACACCTCCTCCGTGCTCCTCGACATGTTGAATTTTATATCCCAAGCGACTCCCAAGACAGAAAAAAAAAATTAAAAAACTACGAAACGCCAACTCCAGGACAACGGGAATTTAAAAAAATGGGCAAAGTGGCCAAAGCTACGTACACTTGAGATCCCTCATAGCCAGCAGGAGACGCAAGACGCGCACATAGCGACCAAAAAAAAAAAAAGGTAAAAAAAAAAAGAACTGTGAGAAAGAAAAAAGGGGAACGTAGAGAGAGTCCAGCTGTCTTTTCGCTGCTGCTGTGAAAAAGCTGAGCTGTCAAACTTGTTGGAGGTGGTTAGTTCAGAGGAGGGGAGGAGGAGGTCTGTGGAGGTAGGAAAAGGTGGACACAGGTTGTCAAGCCAACCGGAACGAGCGGTGAGACCCGTTTCCGGTCGGCTACCTTCAAATTAAACCTGGGATTTTTGCAAGGTTTGTCAAATAGCCTATTGTGTTGTTTTTGGTTATGTCTATGATTTGCTGTAGCCTTCCTCCAAACAGTGTATCTGCTTAATTAGGTTACATTATTAACATTAAGCCTATAGTTGTAGGCTAGATTTTTAAGTTTCTAAATTTGTTTCTGGCAACAAATCTAGACCTCAAACTTCTGCAGAAAATCAACCATCATTTGACTATGGTTTAAAAATTATTTTATTCATCTTAAAAACAAAAAAAAAGTTTCATCCTGTAGGCCTACTAGTCTACCTGTTATTACTTTTGTTTCTTTTTACAATTGTCATCCTTCACAAATGATATACAAATTTCAAAACAAGACAAAGAAACAACCAAAAACACGTGAAAAAAATAATAAAAATAAACACAATAAAGCATATATCTTAGTGCTTATCACAGATTTTCATATCTCAATATTAATGGCTGTCCCATTTTATTACTCTGATATTGAATGTCATTTTTTGACTCCCAGCATCGTGGTTTCTTCATCATGCTTTTATTTTGTAGTACTTGCGTCAGTATTGTTCTTCTGGATCTTTCTTTATGGCTTGACGCTGGCTGCAGGCTGCAGGCAGGTAGAAAATGTGGACAAAAGACTTCATGCATGAGACGGGCGCTCCCTGGAGGTAACTAATCCACAACACAATGAAATCACACATCACATCATCTACCAAACACACACACATTGTATTAGATAATGAGCAACTTTTACTAAGAGAAGAGCTTAAGATGTGTAAAAAGTTTTTGACTTTCTGTAATTATTTACAACCGAATTTTGCACAAGAATTACTTGGTAAAAAGTTGCTCATTCTTTTCTTTTACCTCCACTATTTCTATTTTACGGAAGCCCTAAGAGGACATGGCATCCAAATGTTGTCTTCTTTTTTTTCCTCTGTTTTTCCATTAAAATAAGTAGGCTACTATTTAGTTTTTTTTTTTTTTTTTAAGAGATAATTTTTTAAGGGAAACTTGATTTATTAATCTCCTTATTTTAAGATGACAATGCTGGTTTCCCAGTGAGAACATGTTGGTTTCCATCGTTTCCTCAAGATCTCAAGAAATTAACTTGTTATGCAGCACAGACGGCCTTGCGGTCATAGGTCACACCCCACGTATGGAGGTTATACTCCTCCAAGCGGGTGGCCCCCAAGATCAAGTCCAACCTGTGGCTCCTTCATTACATGTCATTCTCCACTCTATCTCCCTGGTTTTCTGCTTTATCTACTGTCCTAATAATAGCAAAAGCCTGAAAATAAAAATCTAATAAAAGAAGAACTCGTTATCAAGTGAAAACAAGCTTTATTATTCAAGATATAAGGAGAATCATAAGTTAAGACCTCATGAAAACAGAAAAAAGTCAAATTTATGGCCTCATGTCCACTTGGGGCTTCCGTACTATTTTACCTTATGTGTCACACAATAAACATTTTCAAATAGCTCATTATGGACATTAAATTGAAACAATGAACCGAGTGGAATAAACTCCAGGGACAATACTTTGACAAGTAACAGACATGAATTGATTTGGATACTTATATTTGGATATTTCCAATTTCATCTCCACTTTTCACTCTGAAAACATTTGTTGTAATTCTTTGAAAGCTCCACCTATGAAATACAACGTAATAATCTTGAGGAAGTTCCATGATCCACCACTAGATGTTCCCCAAGGTCAGCTAATTTTTTTCAGTCTGCTAGAAGTTGCAAAATTTCTGGTACCACAAAGATGGCATGCACGGATTAAAAAAAGTCAATCTGTAGTACTCTTCCTGCATTTTTGATGTTTCTTTACCAATGGTATTTTAGATATTATCTTTTTAAACAGTTTTTAGATTTGATGGTAATCTTGCATGCTGAATACCAACAATGAATTCATGAAGGCTAATCAGCAGGCCCTGCCCTGTAATGTCAAACTTGGACATCTTGCTAACAAATCAAACAAAGCATCTGCAAGTATCATGAGGATTCAATGTGAGCAAATATGACGAATCTTCGCTTCGTAAATGTCATTTCATATTAAACTATGGACAGCTCCCTGCAGCCGTGGGGAGCTACAAAAGGCAGCTGAATGTAAAATGAGATTGTGCCCTCAGGCTCTGTACACATACCACTGCCTTCAGCCTTTCAACCACTGTATGGTCACACAAACAAAGTAATTAGTCTCCAAAGCTGCCGTGTAAGTGGTATGCTATATTCTTTCTCTTGTTGTTATCTACTGCTACACGCTGTCCCGACAGCCTCCCACTGAGTTCTGCTCCCGTGGGCATGAATCAATACTGACAGAATATGATTCTAAATAAAGCAGGATGAGGGTCAATTAGAAGCAGTCACTCACATTTCTGAAGAGCTGAAAACACATTTCAGGCTTTTCACAAACTTCTCTGTGCTCAAGGACAGATGTGAGCTAATATTAAGTTTCTAATGTTCTCTCTATTGAATGAACCTCTTACGTAAAGCTCTGAATGCTTCAGAGAAGTTATAAGTCTTATTTTCAAATATATTTAGCTGACGCACTCTAAATCTGTGTCCTTTTAGTAAGTACACAATTTTAAAACATCCGTTATAAGGAGTGTAGCAGGTGTCACCTTTGTGTTCAGGTCATGCACTTTATAGGTTGGTAGTTTGACTCAGGTGTTACAGTAGGTGTTGCTAGACGAAGAGTTTTTTTTTTTACCGCAATGCCACGCTACAACAAGCAAGGTAACGAGGAGTATATGAGTGAATCTTTGTATGGAAATAGACAGACAATGACAGCATGACTATAACAGACACTTACACACAGTTTAAGTTAGAAGAAGAATAATAATACTGTTATATTATAACCTGAGTAAGCACTAGGTGTTCATCTTATCATCCAAATGAAGTGTGTCTTTCCTCAAAGAGCTACTTTCTTTTTTTACTTCTTGATGTTCACATAATAATGCTCTGACAGAAAATCATTGTTCCACCTTGTGCAGAGTTTAAAAAAAATCAGCGTATAAATGCAGAATTTGAAAGACCAGTGTTTTTTTTTAAATGTCCTTGTTTCTGTTTGTAGTAAAAGTCGTGTTGTGTACTTGAATTTGAGTGGGCTCTGGTTGTATGCACAGTCTGTGTGGAGAATAAAAGAGGGGAACTTGCACAGTGTTAAATGCAATCTCAACGGCCAACTCTTTAAATAAACGTCTGCATAAAAGTGAAGCTAACAGTCAGACCATCGTCTTCATCACTCTGCTCCAACTCCATTCTGGCATCTCAGGTTTGGTAGTTGGACTTTCAACAATGATCAATGCAAGGATTAATCGCTTTACACCTGCAACACCACAAGTCCATAAATAAAAATGCTTTTAGAGCATAATTTTACCTCGGACCGTAGCTAAAAAGAAAAATCAAGATTGGTGCAGAGTTAACCGGCCAAACACTAAAGTAGGTAGTTAAAGCTTTACTATTTTGCTTCACTCGTTATTCTTTAACTAGTTAGATATTCACACCAATTATTGTTTCTGCAGCAGGGCAGAGAATAGAAAGAGAAAGTACATCAGAGCACAAAATCAAAGCATTACACACTGTTCTAATTGCCCCCTGAGTAAAGGTACAAATGTAAAATGGTACAGTTTCGCTATACTAATTCAGTACTTTAGTTAATATAATGGAACAGTATGAAATAAGGAGTTACGTATGTACTGTACTCTCTGTCCAAGCTGGACCGCTCATTCATTGTCCCTCAAGGACAGCCTCCCATCCTTTGTGACAGAAGAGCTTAAGTCTGCCAAAGCATTCAAAAGACTGCCTGCTTATGCTGTGCGATTGCTAGCAAGGCCACATCCTTTTCAGACGTTCCATATTTTTCCTGGCAGTGCTTCACAGATGCAGTTAGGTTGACAATGGAGATGGCTATTTATTTGCTTTGCGCCCTTGAAGAAGATACATCATTTTGCAGTTTACAACCGAGCAGGATTAATCAACAGCAGCTGTTTGAGAGCATAATCTGCTAATACGTTTGTTTGAAATCCTTGGAAAATGTGGCTTTAAATTGAAAAGAGAACATGTGTGTATGATATCAGGGCTGGGAGACTCAAACATTATTCCCTTAAAATCTGACTGAAAATAAACTGTCATAACTGTGAGAGAACCTAGATCCATAAACAGCTGTGATGCATGGCCAATCACATTTTTTAATTGACATCTTCCTGGTTCTGCACATGAAAGTAGCACATGAAACAGTCAGTGTTATGCAGTCTGACAGTCTGTATGCATGTCTGTCAGAATATAGGAGGCAGAAGGGTTACTGAATGATGAGATATATAATGTATACAGTAAATGGAATGCTCTTAGGAGCATATAGCTACTGAATGAAATCATGAAATGACCTTACCACATCATCAGACATTAAGGAAACATGCTATGTTGAAGTGCTGGATTCCACTGACAACAATGCAGCAGCCAGTATGTCCTCCTTCTAACTTTAGATACTGCTCCTGAATGCTCTGGATTTGTTTGGACCAGAGAAGGTATAGACGGTTTTAAGGCCACCCCCACGGCCGTTTTGGATGCCCCTCGGTTTTCCAGGTATGAGAGCAGTTATCAGGTCAAACCAACAGGTATTGCAGCGATGGAAGTGGGAAAGAGAACTGGTTCAGATCAGAGTGTCTGATGGAGAGACTGGCCTGCAAAGCCTCTGCAGCTAACCTCAATGGTTTTGTACTGGGCCTTACATGGGGTTCTAAAGCCCTCCACCAGATTTAGATATTTTGCCCTCTTGTGCTCATGGGCCTCCTTCAGGTGATCTTTTCAGGGGACAGTGAGTTCCACCATGACCATGAGTGTTGCGATGTAGTCTGGAAACTTAAGTTGCTATAAGATCGAACTTTAGCTGCGACTCGAGGGCTGTGGCTTGCAGCCCAGA